CTGGCCAAGCAATCAGGTAAGATTGGATTACAAGAAAGTCTTCATGTGTCCGATAAAGATAGTTGAATGCTTGGAAAATGTATTTCTCAAAAAAAAGAAAGAAGAAAAAGAAGAGGAAAAACCAGAGAAGATAAAAAAATTGAATTGTGCTTGAATCAAGTCCCTCAATCTCAATTTGCCTCGTAGCCAGAAATTAAGAGGTAAATTGAATAAGCTTGAAAACTAACCGCGAGAGTCCATTTTATAATCTAAAATATTCAAGTTTTCTTTTCTGCCTTTTTAAAAAAAATTGTTTTTTTGGCAAACTTTCGACAATCATATAATCTTAAACGAATTATTATTGTCTCATCATAAAAATAAAAAAGAAATTCCCGCAGTCCTTCCAACTGCACAGTCAACATTTTTTAAATTAATATTTCAATATTTAATTTTATTATTTGTCATTTATAATAAACAAATAAATAATAAGAACATACATATATAAATAATTCCTTAGATCAGAAAACGTAAAGAAAAGTTAAAATATCGAGTTTGAAAATTTTCGGTACTCTCTAAACCCGAATAAGTGAAATTTGACTGAGAATCAGTGACTCTATTCTCGTGATTTGAATCAGTAAAATTTCACTAAAAATCAGTTAAAAATGACTAATATTTAAATAATATTTAACTGATTTTCAGTAAAATTTCACTGATTTAAATCATGAGAATAGAGTCACTGAAGATTAGTTCAATTTCACTGATTCAGTTTTAGAGAGTAAAACAATGTTTTCATGATGAAACAAAAATAAAAACTTACCCTAATAATAATTAAAAATTATCGATAATTATAATTATTTACTTAACCCTTTCGTGAATCTAAAGTCAAATTTAAAAATTTTCAAAATTCAAAACGGCGTATCCAATATGGAGGATCTTTTTTTAAAATTGCTCCAATTTGCATAAAGTTTGTTATTCGGGGGTTTTCAGGGTCGCTGATTACAAATTTGAAGACAGATTTTCGAAATTCAAAATGGCATAACCCTAAAAACCCCCTAGTAACAAGTTTCAAACGAATATAAGCAATTTTGAAAATTCTGAAAATCTGACTTTAGATTCGTAATCAGTGACCCCGAAAACCCCTGAGTAAGAAGTTTTAAGCATATTTGAGCAAATTTTGAAAAATTAAATTTTGCTATTTTTTAACGATATTCTACCTATTGTTTATAATAACTATAGTAGTACTATATGATTCCCTATTTTTTATATATAGTAGTTACGTTAGTGATTAAAAAAATCTATATTAATTGTTGATTGGTTTAAAATTGTAAGAGTACCGGGGGCGTAAAAGGGTTAATAAATAACGAAATAAATAAAGAATGAATTTATTTATTTAAACAATACAAATAAAAATATAATATTATAATAATATAGTATTACGATTTATTATTATTTCTCATTTATTTATTTATTCATCTGTTTACTTATGTACTTATTTATTTACATTTATTTACTAATTTATTTAACAAATATACTGGCTCGGTATACATATATGCACGTTTTATTATTATTATTACAAATTTTAACATAATAACGTAATGAAGTAGTAAGTAATAACTTACCACGTGTGTTGTTTATTTATTGTTTTTTATTAATAATTTTTGTATTTATATTAATGAAAAGAAATTTGACAATTATTTCCTTCTTTTTTATGAGCCTCTATATTGCAATCAGCGATTTGTTTTCTCTTTCTTTCTCTCACATAATCTTCCTCTTCTCTATCACATTGCCTCATTCACGATCCTCGGACGATTTATCACTTCTCGATATAAAAAAAGGAAAAAAGAAAAGTGGGAAATATTAAAGGGCGTTCCAGCAGGTGCTGGTGTTTTACTTCCTCTAACGATAATTAAATTTCCCAAGGGTATATTATGTCGACAAGAGGCACTTTAATACGTTTCCCCCTAAAAAAAATCTATTTTGTCAGATCGGAATCTATCATTTAATTCATTTTCAAATTAATTCATTATTAATTTCAATTTATTTTTCCCTTGTTTATTTCATTTCTCAGCTTTATATAAATATCTTTCTTCTAATTTCATGGAATCTCCTGTAATAAATCTATGTATAAAATACTTATATTGCTTTTTAACCCTCCTACGGTTTATAATTAAATTGCAGAAATCGGTACCAAAATGGTTCAATTTACCCTGCATAGAAAATTTTATATCTCAACAGGCTTTAATAGTTTTTGGGGTCGCTAATTACGAATCCAGTGTCCATTTTTGAAAACTCAAAATGGCAAATCCAATATGGCGGACCTTGTTCAAAATCTTTTTATTTTTAAACAAAAAATTTTTTTTAATGACCACCATAGGGTAAATGTGTGTATTACCGTGGTTTGAAATCTAATTGACTTAGTCAATAGATTGTGAACAAACCTCACAAGATATTTGTATAATTTTTTTTTAAATTGATCTTTGACTTTATTTGATATATTAATTAAAAAAATTGAGAATGTCGTAGAGCGTATATTTTATTAAATAATAAATATTTTTAAAAGTAATGCAAGTGCAGGTATTATACCGTGGTGCTCAAAGCTTCAGGATCGAAATACCGTGGATGATCTAGTTACCGTGTGCCTTATATCGCGAAGATTTTAACTTGTATAGAAGTCGCAAACGGTTGAATGAAATTAAGCAAAATTGAAACAATGGTTTATTAATTTAACAATAAATATTCTTATATTTTAGCAGATACTAATAATAATCACAGAATTCGTTATAAATCTATTAATAACTTTATTTAGTACCAAATAACATTTAATTAAATATTTTTTATGAAAATAGTAATTATTACTAAAATAACAATAGTATTTGGTCTAAACCATTTTGAAATTATTTTTTAATTCCTGCAGTTCTCCATTAACTTGAAAAGCACGATTTGTCACTTTACTTATTATTTGTAATGATAATGACGACCCACGGTATTTGACGCACAAGTTCAAAACGTTATCCAATTACCGTGTTGAAAAAATAAACATACATTGAATCATAATTTACCACAAAGTTTTGACTTTAAGAATACATTAATTAATCGAATAAATACAATAATTAACAAGTATAAAAGTATTAATAATAAAAAAAGCGATTTATATAAAACTGTATTTTTGCATTAAAATGAGCAATTTATCAAACTTTCCTCACCTACTAGATTTAGAATTTTTTAAAACGAGAAATATAAGTTAAACAACTATAATGTTTTATTTATTAAACACGTACAATATGAAAGTAACTATTTGAATTTTTTGGATTAACAAATTGGGTCATAAAAGACAAAATTTACCAAAAATAGCGAAACAACGGTAACTCATGCACCCACGGTAATACCCACATTTACCCTATTGGATCCGCCATTTTGAATTTTGAAAATCTGATGCCAGATTCGTAATCAGCGACCCCGAAAACCCCTCGAGTAATGATTTCACAGGCACACAAAAAAAAGTCAAAATCCAGAGGTCACACCCCCTATCCTCATGTTTTTGGGGTCGCTGAAACCGAATATGACCATGAAAAATTTTTTTAATCGCCCATTTTCCCGCTACCACCTCCTTACACCTGCTCCCGGGGGTTGGAATTTCAGTTTAAAAAGAAGTCGAGTAGGGTGTCTATTCCTATGTTTTTTGGGTCGCTGAAACCAAAAAAGACTACCAAAAACAAATTCTTTTCTCCCTTAACCCCCTTAACACCCCCATAGTGGGGGTTGAAATTCGAATTTTCACGAAAAGTCGAGTGCGGTGTCTAAACCTACGTTTTTTGGGTCGCTGAAACCAAAAAAGACTACCAAAAACAAATTCTTCCCTCTCTTAATCCCCTACAACCCCCTTTTGGTGGCGCTAGCATGGTGCCACTCTTGCATTCCATTGCGCTGTAGTACTTGAAACACTTTTGTAGTCTACCCAGTAATAAGGGGTGAATTAAAGACCAGAGTCTGAATTCATTAACTATTTTACTTTTATGTCCACTATTTTGGATCCGCTATTTTGAATTATTAAAATCTGACTTCATATATTCGTATAATAATCAGCGACCCTGAAAACCCTTGAATATATAGTTTTATTAAAATTCACCCCAGTAGCACGTAATGTTCTAGTGACATTGACAACATTGAGGCAATATTGGTAATGTTAAAGCAATGTTCTCAATATTGCTGTAATATTACGTGCTACTGAGACATTAATTATTTTACTTTCATGGCCGCCATATTGGATTCGCCATTTTTAATTTTAAAAATTTGACTCCACATTCGTAATCAGCTACTCCAAAAACAGTGAATGTCATACTTGACTACTTTAAATTTTTTATTTTTTGAGAATTATGAATTTTGGCCAAAAATTAGAACAATGATGTATTTCATGTTTATATATTTATTTATATAATTCTATTATATATTTAAATATTACTTTTCGTTTATTTAAATTAACGATCAAAGAAATTTAAGGAAAAAGAGAAATACTAAAACTATTGTACACTGGAGCTTCACTTATTTTCAGTCTCACTTATTTGAAGTCGCACTTATTTTTACAATTTCCAGTCTCACTTATTTTCAGTTTAAAGGTTCTCCGTGCGTTCTCATTGGTTGATGTTAAAGAATATGCACCAATCAAATCAGCTCAAATATTACGTTTCAGAGTGAAAATAAGTGCGACTCTGCCTTTCAGTTTGTTTGGACTTGCTCTCTAAATTTGAATCTCAGCGAAAAGTAGCTGATTCACCAGCCCAGAGTATGCAGCTGATGAAATAGCGTATATACACTGATGAAACAGCGTATATGCACTAATTTTCCAGCGTATATACGCTGTTTCATCAGCTGCATACTCTGGGCTGGTGAATCAGCGACTTTTCGCTGATTCAAATTTAGAGAGTGGTGAAAATAAGTGAAGCTCCAGTGTATATTAAAATATAGAACAATTTCTGTTTCATTAATGGAATAATAATTGCAATGATGATTTCTGTTTGTTTTAGGCTCAGGAAAGTAAAAATGGACCAGCGAAAATTAATGGATAATGCCAACACCATAACCGATATGGCCAAGGTAAAGAATGAAAACTGCTTGCACACGTGGAATTTCAAAGCAGGGTAAAAATTCCTGAAGTGGGCAACGGATTTTCCAAGGTTTGCAATTTCTATAATAAACTTTATAAAAAAAAAGTACTAATAGAGGGACAAACAGACACCAAGTTTTATATGAAAATATTCATTTGTTTATTTTTTATAAACAATTTAATTTTAATGTAAAATTTTTTTTAAACATTTATATCTCAGAACTGGATTATCGAATTTTAATGAAAATTTTTGGACACAATTAATGAAGATTTGAGCTTTTTAAGAAAATTTATTTCAATGTTGAAAAAAATTATTTATTGTAAAAAATAATTGTTAATAATAAACGAATGAATAATTAATTGTGTTCTGGACCTTTTTCGTAAAAATATTTTTCAAAACCTTAAACTATATAAATCAAGGATTAAATTAGTAGAATTATTTTACCACATTATTCTTTATATTAGTGACAATAATATATAAAAATAATTTTTTTATTCAGGTATTTTTAAGAAATGTAATTTATTTTCAATTAAATAAATTTCACTTTGTTGGTGTTTAACTAGTATTTTTGTTTTAATTTTCGACTAAATTTGTAAGTAAATAAAAAATTTTTTTGTTAAATAAGTAAAAAGTTCACAGTAAAAAAATGTTCTTTAGATTAAAATTTTTGTTATGGATTTTTATTGAAACTGGTAAAATTTCGTCTAAAGCAGAGAATTCAAATTTCCTTGTGTTAGATTAATAAAACAAATTATACAATATTTTTTGAACAAAAAGTTAAAATTGAAAACTTTCCAAGTGTAAAATATTGTCTTCTGAGTAATAAACAGTTTTTTTTCTTCAAATTATCGCTGATGATATTAAAAAAATAAATCTAACACAAGCAAATTTGAAATCTTTGCTTTAGACGAAATTTTACCAGTTTCAATAAAATTCCATAACAAAAATTTAAATTTAAATTTTTACTTTTACTTTTATCAAAAAAATTTTTTATTTACTTACAAATTTAGTCGAAAATTAAAACAAAAATACTAGTTAAACACCAACAAAGTGAAATTTGTTTAATTGAAAGTATATTACATTTCTTAAAAATACCTGAATAAAAAAATTATTTTTACATATTATTGTCACTAATATAAACAATAATGTGGTAAAATAATTCTACTAATAATCTTAAATTTTAGATACTTATTCTGTATTTCAGTTTTTAAGAATAGTTGGTGTTCGTGGTGAGTGTGCAATGAACTTATGGAGCTCCACGTCAAGCCGCGACGCATGGAACAACGCGACCGCGCTCACAAAAAAATGCACAGTTAATAAACTATTTCGATCTACCAACTTTTTCTTTCAGTTATTTAATCCTTGATTTATATAGTTTACGGTTCTGAAAAAAATTTTTACGAAAAAGGTCCAGAACACAATTAATTATTCATTTGTTTATTATTAACAATTATTTTTTACAACACTGAGAGAAATGGATAGTCAGATTTTGATGTTAAAAAGATGATGTTACACGATACTATCATTATGCTACTGCCAACCATCACAGATGCTAAAAAAATATAGTTATGCTACCCCGTCCCAAGTGCGAAAACCAACGCGGCCCAACACTGGCCCAGTATTGGCAAAGCTGGCATCGAGACTTGGCAGACAATATTGGCCCGACTTTGCGCCGACTCTTGTGGTGTTAACCGCGGTTGGACGTCGGCAGCCAGATCTCGGCAGACATTACTGTCCCAATATTGGCACCAAATCTCGGCAGACATTAATGGCCCATTATTGGCAGCCAGATCTCAGCAGACATTAATGGCCCAATATTGGCTGCCATTACTCCCCCAGTGTTGACAAAAGTAGAAAAAAATAAAAATAATTTTTTTTTTATTTAATTAACTAATTAATTTATAACATTTATACGGCTTATTTCCCTAATTAACTTACAAATATTTGAAAAATTCTTACCTCTCGCGGGGATCGATACCTGAACCTGACGCTCCACAGCCTAACACTCTGACCACTCTGCTACTCTGACTTGAAGTCGAGGAAGCAAAAGGGTTCTTATAAGCTACACTACACTGGCCAATACTGTGCCATTATTCGGCCGAGCTACGTCCCAATATTGGCAATTATAATTTGCCATCATAGATACAAAATGATAGACATTAATGTGCCATTCTTGGGCCAAGCTACATCCCAATTCTGGCAATTATATTTTGCCATCAAAGATACAAAATGTTTGCCATTAAAGTGCCAACAATGAGCCATTAATGGACCGATCTTCGTCACATCACTGGCAATTGAATTTTGCCATTAAAGATTGATCAACTTTGCCGTGAATGTGCCGTTATTGGGACAAGCTACGCCCCAATACTGTCAATTATAATTTGCCATGAAAGATACAAATTTTTTGCCATTAAAGTGCCAATAATGAGCCGATCTTCGTCACAACACTGGCAGTTGTCTTTTACCATTAAAGATTGATCAACTTTGTCGTGAATGTGTCATTATTGGGCCAAGCAACGCCCCAATTCTGGCAATTATATTTTGCCATTAAAGATACAAAATTTTTGCCATTAAAGTGCCATTAATGTGCCTTTAATGGGCCAATCTTTGTCACATCATTGGCGATTGAATTTAAAAAAATTTTAATATCATAATTCATGGTATATTTTTAATATTTAATTATTATCTGAAAATTTGACTAGAATCCATTTTGAAATCAATTTTTACTACAAAATTCTACGAGAATTTAATTATTTAAATGCAAAAATAAATAATTTATTGAATAACTAAATGTTTCTTAAAATTGAATTATGAGAATTAAATTTTAAAAAACATTCATTTATTCAATAAATTTTCTTAAGGAAATAATTTGCATCATTTCTATTTCTTAATTACAATTGCTTTAAGAAAAATTCAAAGATTTTTAAAAAATGAAGGAAAAAAATGTTTATAAATTCTATTTGTCAATTGCAAATATTAATTGAAAGTGAAATTGAAAATTTCTTAATTTTTAGATAATAAAGGAAAAATTTTACTCAAAAAAAGGTTTCTGTAACATTTATTTACGAATTTCTTTAATTGTAAAATTATATGAAAAACATTAATAACTTCTTTTTTAAATTAATACTTAATTAAACTTTTTCAAAAAAATTAATTCTTTAAAATTGACAGTTAAAAATATAGAAAATTCAAAGTTTCAAATATTTTAATTTGAATCCTTTTCAAGCTTATTCAATTATTTAAATACAAAATAAATAATTTATTGAATACCTGAATGTTTCTTAAATTTCAATTCTTATAAAAAATTATACCAAATTAAAATGGCATTAATGTGCCTTTAATGGACCGATCTTCGTCACATCACTGGCAATTGAATTTTCCTATTAAAGATTGATCAACTTTGACAATAACGTGCCGTTATTGGGCCAAGCTACGCCCCAATACTGGCAATTATAATTTGCCATCAAAGATACAAAATGTTTGCCATTAAAGTGCCACTAATGTGCCATTAATAGGCCGATCTTCGTGACATCACTGGCAATTGAATTTTGCCATTAAAGATTGATCAACTTTGCCAATATTATGCCGTTACTGAGCCAAGCTACTCCCCAATACTGGTAATTATAATTTGCCATGAACGATACAAATTTTTTGCCATTAAAGTGCCAATAATGAGCCATTACTGGGCCGATGGTCGGCACATCACTGGCAATTGTCTTTTGACATTAAACATTGATAAACTTTGCCATGAATGTGCCGTTATTGGGCCGAGAGCTGGCCCAGTCTTAAAAAATTTGAAATTCTGACCATCGGCACCATCATTGGCCCAGTAATGGGACGTTTTGGTTACCAATAATGGCCCAGTAACTACTGCCAATTCTCGGCAGACATTACTGCACCAATGATGGGCCGTTTTTGCAGTCTTGGCATTTCGCACTTGGGGTCCCAGTAAAAAAAAAAGTATTCAGAATAGAGAAAAAGTATTGGTGGAGACGTTCGGTGAATGCGTTTTCGCGACAAAACCGTATTGGTGGGTCACGGTGAATACATTTCGCTTACCGTGAATACTTTTTTTAAAAACTTTCGATTTAAAGATTCCTAAGCAAAGTTGAGAATATTTATAAAGAGCGTAAGTGACCTGAAGTATAAAAATGACTATTGCGAGAAGGAAATAAGAAATTTAAAAAAAACGAAAAATTAAATGTGACAAACAGATTGTCAAATGTTGATCAATTACCATATGCTTTTCTGTGCCTACAACGTATGATGATTAAAAGGAACTTTGACGTTACCGGCGGAACTTACTGTTTCACATACATTTACTTGGATTTCTCAAGTTTCTGTCGGTATCGTCAATGTTCCTTTTCATCATCATACGCTGTAGGTTTGTCACATTTAATTTTTCGTTTTTTCTCAAAATTTCTTATTTCCTTCTCGCAATCGTCATTTTTATACTTCAGATCACTTACGCTCTTTATAAATATTCTCAACTTTGCTTAGGAATCTTTAAATCGAGAGTTTAAAAAAAAAGTATTCACGGTAAGCGAAATGTATTCACCGTGACCCACCAATACGGTTTTGTCGCGAAAACGCATTCACCGAACGTCTCCACCAATACTTTTTCTCTATTCTGAATACTTTTTTTTTTACTGGGGTACTACCAAGATGTTACTCCTGATGATATTGATGGTAACGGTGACTATCTAGATAGCTGTCTGTATACGTAGCATTAAAGATGGTCACCCTAACCACAATTATGTTACCCACTACTATAAATTTCTCTCCGTGAATAAATAATTTTTTTCAACATTGAAATAATTTTTCTTAAAAAGTTCAAATCTTCATTAATTGTGTCCAAAAATTTTCATTAAAATTCGATAATCCAGTTCTGAGATATAAATGTTTAAAAAAATTTTACATTAAAATTAAATTGTTTATAAAAAATAAATAAATGAATATTTTCATATAAAACTTGGTGACGGTTTGCCCCTCTATTAGTACTTTTTTTTATAAAGTTTATTATAGAAATTGCAAACCTTGGAAAATCCGTTGCCCACACTAAAAAGAGGGAGTTAAATTTTAACTCCCCAGGGGATTCTATAAAAGTCGCCCCCATTGGGGAGTTAATGCCAGGGGAGTTAAATAAAGAGAGTTAAAACTTCACACCCAAATGCTAACTCCCCAAGGGAAAAACAACTCGCGCGGGTGTTGAATGAAGGGAGTTAGAAATTAACTCTCTTTTGGAGTTAATTTTTAACTCGAAAAATTTCACTCCCAACTCCTGAGTCCGTTAACTCCCTAAATTTTTTACAGTGCACTTCAGGAATTCTTACCCAGCAATGATTTGTCGGTTGTATCGCTTTTGAACTACAAGACCAACAAAGGCTTTTGTAATTTTTACACGAAATTGAGTGACATCTTTCCCATAATATACATTTACGTTCTGAAACTTACAAATTTTAAATATTATCTATTAATATTTTTTCATTTATTTTTCTTCTTATCCATTTAAATATTTTCAAATTTAGTATACTGGAGAATTGAAAAATAATGTAAATTCAACTATTCTTAGTTATAAGAATTAATCATTTTAATACACGCAAAATAATAGGTATTTTCTAGTAAAATACAAATTAAAAGTTGTAACTTCGATAACGACATTAATTTTATTATTTTTATTTATTTTATTGTTTGTTTTATTTAATTATTAATATAATTTTCATTTTATTATTTTTTTCTATTTTATTTAATTACATACACGGAGAAAAAGGAATTGTTAAATCTACTAATTAATTGTTAATATAGAACTAGCAAATTTAATTTGTTGTTGAAACAGTTTTTTTGTTCTCCTAACAAATCAAAATTGTTGTGATAACAATTAATTTGTTTGTAGAACAAAAAAAATTGTTGCAACAACAAATCAGATTTGCTATATTAACAATTATTTAGTAGATTTAACAATTCCTTTTTCTCCGTGTATCGTAATCATATCTCTCATTATTATTTTATTAATTTGTTGTTTTTATTTAATAACTGAAAAGACACTTTTTTATTTTATTTTTATCTCCTTTTATTATAACACCTGCTTTATAAATCACTGGTTTTACCAACATTCACATGTTTTTCTAATTTTTCCCATTCGCTCGTTGGTGTTTTTTTCTTTAATGAAATTTTTAATAGATATTTGAATTTCCCTCTGGATAATAAACTATTCAATGCATCACTTGAACATAAATTGCAGTATTTGTATATACGTATATTCTTTTTGGAGATTCATTTCAGATTCGAGGATTATTTGAATTTTTCAAGAGAAAAATTGAGCGGCCGTATCGTAGAAGGGCACGTAAATTTTTCTCGAGCGAAATCTAAGTCCCCTAAACACTCAAAATTCAACTTCTGAATTTAAATATTTTAAATACACATCCTTATAGAAAATTGCATTCCGCATCTTTTTTTCTTATGAAATTTTTTTCTATCTATTACCGTTTTCGAAATATTTTGGAAAAACTGTTTTTTTGAAAACTGTAAATTTAATGACATTTTTCACTTCAACTCGCGATATTTCAGACAATTTTAAAAATTTTTCAATGAAACAAAAAAGAAAATACGTCTTAAGGTATTCTACGAATGATAAAAAAAGAAAAAAGTGGTTTTCTTTATAAACAAAATTGTTATTAATTTTTTTCTTTATTAATGTAAAAATCACGAACTACAATCTTCACGGCTCTCGTTTAACGGGCGAATTTTAAGTAACAGAGAACTTCCAGTGAGAAAGTTGTTCATTATGATCCAAAAAAGTTTTCTGGAAAATAATAAGGTTAATAATTAATTAGTGTCGAAATGGTAAATGTTTAAAGTTGCTTAGCTAGCGACCAAACGCATAGCACGCGTCACTCGCCATAGTTGCTTGGGAGTGTTGTTTCATAGGTTATGGCCAGTGGTGCGTGCTATGAGTTTGGTCGCTAGCAACTTTAAACATTTACCATTTCGACACTAATTAATTATTAACCTTATTATTTTCCAGAAAACTTTTTTGGATCATAATGAACAATTTTCTCACTGAAAGTTCTCTGTTACTCAAAATTCGCCCGTTAAACAAGAGCCGTGAAGATTGTAGTTCTTGATTTTTACATTAATAAAGAAAAAAATTAATAACAATTTTGTTTATAAAGAAAACCACTTTTTTCTTTTCTTATCATTCGTAGAATACCTTAAGACGTATTTTCTTTTTTGTTTCATTGAAAAATTTTTAAAATTGTTTGAAATATCGCGAGTTGAAGTGAAAAATGTCATTAAGGTATTTGTCGCGTAAATTCGTTTTCGACAGAATTTTTTTAAATTTCACATAATTATTCTTTGGATATTTATCTACAAAATAAGGCCTATTAAAATAAAATTGACCGTCTGTAAGTCTCAAAAAATGAAATCAAAGTTTCGATTTTTAACATGTACGGTATAGGAAAACCATATGAAAACCACAGATTTTTAATTTTTGCACTTATACTAATCGACAGATTTTTTAGAAAAACTAAAGTTTTATTTATTGAACCAAAATGAACTTTTATAAAAAAAATGAAAATTTTTCACCGTCTTGTTTAAAAGATATTTAACATCAAACTTGAAAAATTATTTTAACATTTACTGTAAATGACAGGTGAATTTGTAAACGTGGCAATAGCGCTTGTTAAATACTACAGCTTGTCTGCTACTTTTGGCGCGAAATTTTAAAGACGGCCATACGCCAAACTTGCGACGTTGCCACGATCGTTTTTGCATGCGAGAGGTTATGAATATACTTTGAGAACATCTGTGTGTCAAACTGTACGTCGGCAAAAGTTTTTCGGAAACTCGCATTCATAATCGTTTCATAAGTACAGTCAACGGATACAAACTTTTGACAGTGACCAGTCGCGCGACAAATACCTTAAATTTACAGTTTTCAAAAAAAAAACAGTTTTTCCAAAATATTTCGAAAACGGTAATAGATAGAAAAAAATTTCATAAGAAAAAAAGATGCGGAATGCAATTTTCTATAAGGATGTGTATTTAAAATATTTAAATTCAGAAGTTGAATTTTGAGTGTTTAGGGGACTTAGATTTCGCTCGAGAAAAATTTACGTGCCCTTCTACGATCCGGCCGCTCAATTACATCCTTCTCTGATTCAACGGCTGATTCTTTTACACTAAGAAGGAGTTTACACCGTAAGCCTTAAATATAAGCCTCCGCGCGCATAAACGGATATACCTCCAGGAGCATATATTTGCGCCTGCGCGAACACGTGGTCAAGGCAAACTCTTTCACAACACAGCTGCAGGCAAACACTTTGCGCAGACGCAAGTATATCCTCATGGAGGCATATCCGTTTATGCTCGCGGAGGCTTATATTTAAGGCTTACGGTGTAAACTCCTTCTAAGAAAACTGGAGAGTCAAATTCAGAGGTTCAAAAAGTGTATGTTTCCTTTGCTTATGAAGAGAGTTAAATAGTCCTTCTAAAATAAATTTTGAATTGATAATGGAAATCTACTTGTATATTCTCTCCCATTATATCTGAGGGTTAAAAGTTGCGCAGAAAATGTGTACGATCTGATGCGCGCGAAATTATTTTTCTGACATTTTATAAAATGTCAGAAATACATATATGTATTTAATTTAGGGGTTAGGTTGCCATTTATTCATTTCGCGCCGAATAAGGAAGGGATTTCTCAAGATGGTTTTTGTCCCTCTGTTATAAACTCATTTTCCCTCCAAGAGAAATAGCACGAATATCTGTCAATGGTGTATTTGTGACGCGCTATTAAGAAAGGTACCTATAAGAAGCAAACGAATTATAGGTTGTGTTCGAGTTAGATTTATCTTGATTAAAAGTTCATTTTCAATAATTTAAATTGAGGGTTCACGTGCAATAAGGGGATACGCATGGAAGTGAAAGTCCCCGCGTATAACGATTCTGTGGCTGCGCGAGAGGACAACGAATAGCCTGCGCGTCCCCTTATTACACGTGAACCCTCAATTTAAAACCAATATTCATTGAATATTTTGAATATAGTGAAGACTTGAAGACCAACAATTTTTAATTAATAATTGATTCTCTTTCCGTATTTTTACTTACAAAATTTAAAACATAACCTCAAATTTTTTGCTTCTCAGGTACATTTCTTGGGAGCGCGTCACATTTGACCATTTAGATTGTTATCCAATAGCTAACTCTCAAATATCAACGATTTGTCCCTTCAGATGTTTAGTCCAATACTCCAGTTTTCTCAGTGTTGCAAAGAATTTTCTTCTATTTTTTTTGGCATGGTCATCAGTGAAATTAGTTCTCAAAAATTTTACTTATTTTGCAATTATTTGTCTACTAGTTTCATTTATTTTTATTTTATCAAATTATTAATTAATTAATGTATTTGTTAATATTAATTGATTAATTAATTAATTTATACATTTGTTCATTAACTTATTTATTAATTTATTTTTTATCTTCTGTTGAAACATCTATGTAACGCTTTAGAGACGACTTTTTATATGTTTTGTTTCTATAATAACTATATATATTTAAAAGAAAAATAATTTTACTGATTACAGTACCTCCCCTAAATGAATAAATATGGCTTACAAACATTTATAATAACGAAAATAGCAAAAAGAACCAGATAATTTAAAGTAAAAAAATTTAAAAAACAAAATTTCAGAAATTTACAATGGAACCTTTCTAATCGAAGAGTATAATAACTGTTCGATTAAATTGAAGTTCGACTGTATTTTTTAAACAACGTTCAAATTTCTAAAATACTAGAATGAAATGAGATTTTTATTTGATAAAATTTAAAGCACATGCGCCTTTGTGGTTTTGTAAAACATTTGAATACGACGAATTAATTTCTAATTTAATCAAGACAAGTTTCTAATTTAATATTTTTTGGTTATAAGTGTGTGTGCATGTCTCTCTCTGCGCAGGTACAAAATAATGTACACGAGTTAGTCTCCGATATGAGTACGCGTCAAACTACACTCGAGGAACGTTTAGTCAACCTCGAAGAGAAATTGACTGAGCTGCAGGAACAGGTGGAATTGCTACCGGAAGCTCTCACACGATGTTTAGCACAACACACCGAACGACTGGAACAGAGACGAAACTTTCTGCATCCGGATACAGCTGTGGCACTTATTACACCCGGAAGCGGTGGCGGTGCCGTCAATAGTTTAGGTACTTTTATTAATTCATTACAAAATTTATTCATACATCATTTCAATAATTTACAATTATTATTTTTTTACATAAACAGATAAATACAGTATTTATTTGTTAAATTTTTAAAAATTAGTTGATTGTACCAAAACATTAATTATCATAGCATTTTTTTAAATCTTTATGAATAAAATCAGACTTATGTCAGTACACAGTACAATAACATAGCCCACATAGCACAATAGTATGAGGTAAGGTTATGTTGAATACTAATCGTAAGGCACATAAGGTTACACGATATTGCTGTGGTAGACCTAAGGTGAACTAAAAACTTCCGCCATGGAGGTGAGGTTACATGTTAGGGTGTGGTGACTATATATGATAAGGCCATGGTAACCTTACACGTTAAGGTTGAGGTAACGTTACATGTTAAGGTTGAGGTAAGGTTACATGTTAAGGTTGAGGTAACGTTACATGTTAAGGTTGAGGTAAGGTTACATGTCAAGGCTGAGGTAAGGTAATTATTAAGTTGTAAGGTTGAGGTACCCAGATAACAAAATGCGCGTTGTGTGCTACTAATATCATCTGCACGCGTGCCGATTTATCCGCACTATGCGCGTTCACTGGACCACTCAGATGCGTCATCATATGCGATCCATAACTGTCGCATATTGTGATGGGCACATGCGTGACGGTATAATGCGAATAAATTATATTTATACTTCAGCCTTATTTGAATTAAATAAAAAGAAAAGATTATTGACATTAGTAATTTTTTTTAAATTAAAATGTTATTTATAAAAACGATTTTAATTTAATATTTCAGTACAATTTTGGAATTGAAATTGTTAAAAACTTCCAAATTCTTTTTTTGAGGTTATATCTAATACAACAAAAATATATATGTACTTTAAACAAATTAAATTTAACTTTCTTATTTTGCTGCAGTACTAAAAATTAAATCCACAATAATTCCTCACAATAATATCGCAATAAAAAACAATAAAAAATGAAATCACAATAAAAACTTATTTTGATAACACACCACAAACAATGCTGTCGCCATTATAAAATGTGTGATTGCCGATACGGGTGGTTGTGCATCATTAATTGCGTGCGTATTAAGTGCAGTTCACTGCACACGCATTCACAGCATTCGCACTGTGGATGGTAAAATGCGTATGGATTGACTCTTCTAGCGAGTCGCACTTGTGAACGGAACATGCTTATCATTTTGTATCACAGGCGCTTACGAAATGCAGTTCACAACACTCGCATTATTACCAGCGTCACAGACGATAGTAAGATGCGTATATGAACCGACTCATCTGGTAAGTCGCAGTTAGTGCAAGAAACATGCGTTTAAATGCGACGCACGATTGTTATCTGGGTAAGGTTGTGATAAGTTTACCAGTTAAAGAAAATATTGAAAAAATAATTAATAAATAAATATTCAATTAAAATGTTAAGTTTGTTGCTCTTCTCTATTTTGGAAACCTGACATGAAGCAGAAAATTTTGAAAACAAATTTAGGGGGACTGGGATTCGAACCCGAGATCGACGCGCATAAACCTATCATTCTAACTAACTGAGCTAAGTAGAGAACTGGCAGAAGGAAAATTAATGTTGCCTTTAAGGTGAACCAAGAAGATGATTAACTCCTTAAAGGCAACATTAATTTTCCTTCTGCCAGTTCTCTACTTAGCTCAGTTAGTCAGAATGATAGGTTTATGCGCGCCGATCCCGGGTTCGAATCCCAGTCCCCCCAAATTTGTTTTCAAAATTTTCTGCTTCATGTCAGGTTTCCAAAATAGAGAAGAGCAACAAACTTAACATTTTAATTGAATATTTATTTATTAATTATTTTTTCAATATTTTCTTTAACTGGTAAACTTATCACAACCTTACCTCAACCTTACAACTTAATAATTACCTTACCTCAGCCTTGACATGTAACCTTACCTCAACCTTAACATGTAACGTTACCTCAACCTTAACATGTAACCTTACCTCAACCTTAACATGTAACCTTACCTCAACCTTAACGTGTAAGGTTACCATGGCCTTATCATATATAGTCACCACACCCTAACATGTAACCTTACCTCCATGGCGGAAGTTTTTAGTTCACCTCAGATCTACCACAGCAATATCGTGTAACCTTATGAGCCTTGCGATTAGTACTCAACATAACCTTACCTCATACTATTGTGCTATGTGGGAGCATAACAAATATTGTAATTATTAAATAGAAATTATCCCAATTTTTTTTATTTATTTTTTAAAAGATCAGAATTTTCTTAAAAATTGTCATTAAAAAATAAAAAATTATGCAAATCTTTTCACCTTTTTTTAATACTATTTAACATTTTGTTAAACAATTTTCGAATTTTTTAAGAAATAAATAAAAAAAATGTATATTTTCGATTTGTGAGATAAAATATTTTAACGAAACTTTCATGGTTTGTACTTTATTTCAAAACTTAGCTTAACCCTCCGTCACACACATGGGAAAAAATTACGACTTTACACACGTTTAGAGGGAATCCCTCACCACATTGTAAAATAAGCAACATTACAACATAAACAAAGGAATCAACAAAAATTTAGTTTTAACACAAACTTACAAATATGTAGTAAATTATTCTAAATTATAAAATTAATAAAATTAATTTTCGGTCTCAAAAATAAAAATTAATTACACGAATGCACATCTTCGAAGGAATTCCACTTGACATGTAAAAATAACCTTTAAAGTGCTATGCCGGTCTGACAGACCGCTATTAAAATTTTCTTTGCTTGTAACTTTTTTTCAAAGTATAATAAGAACTTGAACTTTTTAGTAGCTTCATATTTTATGAAAATCTGTTAGGAGACAACTTTTTCAAAAATTTTTATTCGTTAAATTTTGTAATATAAATAAATATTTGAAGTATAGCGGTCTGTGAGACCGGGGTTAGCTTTAAGTGAAAGTATATTCCAGTATATTCCCATGAGTGACGTCTGCGCAACTTGACGCGCAGGGCGCAGCTAGTTCTACTGACAGTTCTCATAGACTGCATTTATAAAATAAATAAATGCATAATACAGAAATGACTTTTTTTGTTAAAAAGTAAAAAATATTTGTAATAGTTGTCTTTTAAAAATTATAAATGACTAAAAAACTGTCAAAAGGGAATAGCGGTCTGACAGACCGGGGTTAGCACTGAGCGTGATTTTTCAACACTTAGCACTTTAAAGGATAATGTAACATTAACAAATAAGCAAAAAAATCATTAAACAATTCATTTTAATTATATTTATAATATAATTTTGTCATTAACCAACAGTGGAACAAAAAATGTTTTGAAAACTTGATTTTTTTATTTAACATAACCTCACTTTTTCGAGTTTTTTCTGGCTTTGAAGCTTTATAATTAAATATTAATTATGTTTAAACTAAATGTTTTTTTAGAAATGTGTTGAGGAGTAAATTGTCGAAAGGTATAGAAACTGATTTTATTTTGCGATGAGGAAAACAAAAGTTATTTAAAATAAAAAATACTGAAACCGTAGAGGGAATCCCTCCCTGAGTGTGTGACGGAGGGTTAACAAAGCAATAAAAATAAATTAATAAACATTTTTTGGAATTATTAAAAAATAAATAATACTATACTTTTCTTATGAATTTACTAGAAAAGAAAAATTTTAAAGTAGAAAAGAGTTAAGAAAAGACTGAAAAAATGTTTTTTTGTATTTATTTAGTTATGTTTTTTTATAGAAAATTGTAAATTATGTTATTAGTTTTTTTTTGTTGACAAAAATTGCCTTTTATTGGTCGTCTTTCGTAATCCTTTTTCTTTCACAGTTTTACCACTTTTTCTCGATGTTTTCTTTATATCTTCAATTTTTTTAGTCTAATTTTTTTTATATGGTTGCACATAAATTATGTTTTGCCACAAATAAATAGAAAAAGCAACCATAAAATGAAGCCGCGCGCGACTTTTATTTGCGTCATATTTTTCTGTGAAAAGCAAAAGTGTTATTCAAATAAGCAATGAACATGCGGCTCTTCGCTAAGTGAAACATATTTTCCTCAATTTTGTTTTATTTTTTTTCCGTCGCCTTTTCACTGAAGCCAAAGAGATGAGTTTTGTATCTCCTGATGTTCTCGCAATGGTAAAGCTTTTTTGGAAATTGTAAATGCAAAAAAAAATTAGCAAAAATTACTAAAAAAGACATTTTTTTTCCTTTTTAGTTCTAGAGAAACTTGAAAACTTGTGCAAAAGTGTCTCGTAGCATAAAAAAAGAAGAAATACTTCCAACTTGTTTGTTGTAAAGCCGCAAACAAGTCTTTTTCAAAAGATATATATACTGGGTTTATCTTTGAGAGCAAGAAAAAAAAACTTGTGCGGATTTTTTACCCTTCACGAAGGGAGAGATGTGATTGTTAGGCGGCATCTTCTTTTCCCGCTATAGAATTATATTTTTTTTGCCTTGCGAGATTTACTTTCAAAACTTTTTAATCGTCCTAACTTCAATCTACTTTTTCCGACTTGAGAAAAGTGCCACTTTCAGCATCTCTTCTCCAACGACTTTTAATTTGCTTACGCTATGAAAATAAACTTATTACTCAAACTTCATTAACCGTCATATATTGTAAACTTTAAATATTTACTTTTCTTTCTTAAAGAAAATTTATTACTTTTCTTCATTCTACGCTATAAAAAAGAACCTTGTATTCAATTTTTTCCTTATTTTACATTTTTTAAGTTTTTTTTTGTCTTTTTAGGGTTCTGTACACCGTTTAATTAGAAGAAAAAAGTAAAAATAATTTTTAGTAAATTTTTACTTATTTCAAGTGTAAATTTTTTTATTTTGTTTCCAAAATAATCAGAGTAACTCCGGGGGAGATGGCCATATGGGAGAGATAGCCAGTTCAAATATTATACAGAATTTGTAAAGAAATGTCACTTCACCTACAGAACAGATTTTAACTTAAATCAAAATCGCAAACTTGTTAATAAAATAAATGTAATTAATGTAATTTAAAATTTAAAAACATTAACCGATATCAATACCAACTTCATACAAAAGTTAAACAATATTCAACAAAAAAAATTAATTATAAATTTTGTTGAAAATCAAAAATATAATTTTGGCTTAAAAATTCGGATTTATTATTTATATTTCATTTTTATAGTGAAAATTAGTTGTATTTATATTAAAAAGAAGCTACAAAAAGTGTCATGTCACATCAATTTGCCAAAAAATTAAAAAATTTGCATTTTTTCAATTTTTTGAATTTTGTGAAAAAAGCTATAACTTTTGTTCAGCTTAATATTTTTCAGTCGAATATGGCTAGGATTTTAAGTTAGACTAATACCTAAGAGTCTGTAAAGTTTCCTTTTAATCGGTCAAGTAGTCTTTGTGTTTATCCCTGACATACATACATACATAATTTTTTTTATTGTCATTTTTGGAATTCTTATTACTCGAATAGAAAAACTAAACATGAATTTTCAAATTCTATGCAATGTAAAGACAAAAGTCTGATCTTATTTATAAAGATTTATTAATTAATATACCTAATTAATTTAATAAAATTTAATTTAAAATTTATTCTTGTAAAAGCACAAAAGATTTTACACTCTATTTCGAAAAAATTACCATTGTAAAATTAAATTTTTGAAGAAATTGAAAATGAAAAATAAGAAAAGAATAAAAAATTCAGTTGGTGATAAATGAGATTGCTGTGAATGAAATTAGAATTTCATTGAAGCGGATAAGAAAAGCATTTTTCTTATAAAACCCATTTCCTTTTGACTTTGATAATACCTGTGACTTTATCTCAATGTTAAAATAAAAAGAAAGAGAAGCATTATTTCTATCGCGATTGCTTTTATCAGCACAATTAAATTTTTATCAATCTTCTCGAAGGTGTGTAACACACCATTTATTAGAGGACATTGAAATCGAATATTTCACGATTGAAAATCGAATCCAATGTACATCGAGTGTAAAACTATTTTCCGCTTGTTCAGTCCAATTTTTGATTGATGTCAACTCAACGAATTGTAAATTTTTATATCCAACGGGCAATATATCATTGAATATTCACTCCATTCTCAATCGCAAAATCATCATTTTCAATGACAAATCAATTTCACTTTGATTTTACTTTCGAAACAAAAAAAATATCATTATTTTTTATTTAGATTTATATTTTTTTATCATTGTTTTTTAATTGTTTCTTTATGCACTAGCAAATGTTACGCGCTCCAGATCGCGAAACGTACTATAGGGGTCATTCATATACCACGTGGACAATTTTTTGTCAATTTTTGACCCCCCTCCCCCTAACTCTCCACGTGGACATTTTTTGATGAGAAATTAATATTTTTGGTAGAATATGAAAATTTATAACTATAAAAAATCATCTTTAGCAGAATAAAAATAAAGAATCGAAAATGTCGTTTTTTGTTTAATGTTGTTACAAAAATTTTATTTTGCATTTCTCTGATCTTTCAATGATTTCTTAATTCAATTATTTAGAACTTGAGTAATTTTGTTAAATAATTTAAGGTCATGTTATTCAGTGGTCGCACGTGCTCCATGTATACTTTACATGAGAACATCTCTTTATATGAGAACACGTGACCACTGAATAACATGACCTTAAATAATTCTTATTTGTTTTTCCATTAAAAGAATTTTAATTTTAAACCATCTAAAAAATTTAATATTTTTAAATAATTACAACATAACCCTTCTGAAATTCAATTACCGTAAGTGAGGCTAAATTCGCTCATGTAGGGTAAATTCGCTCAACCGATGTCTATTTTTTAAAATTCGATTAACATACTTTTTAGACAGAAATATTTAAGATTTACAATTGTTTTGGTTAATATAAATGGTAAACTTTAATTTAAAATTTATTTGCAGCAAATTCATTGGTAACTTTCAGTAGAAATTATATTTAAAACACAAGTGAATAATTTTCATATTGAACAAGTAGTATGAAAAAGTAGGAAATAAAGCTTTACTTCAAAATTTTTAAGTTGAATACTTCTGAACATTACATTTCCTGTATCTCCAACATGATATTCATAAAGCACAAAAATTAAAGCAATAAACAGATTCTGCAAAAAATCAATTAAAAAAAAAAAATTCAAATTTGTTGTGTAAATTCGCTCAGGAAATAAGTCTACAAAAAAGATGTTTGGGCCTGGATATTTTAAGTATGTTAATTACTTTAATTTATAATTCGATTTTTTGAAATAATAGTACTCTTATAACTGAAAATTAAACGATTTAAAACGGTTTAAGCACTAAACTGTCAAACTTAACCTTGTTTTTTTATGGTTATGAGTACGTTTGATTGAATGATTGAATCTAATTACTTATTGATAAAACAATATTAAATATTTATTCCAATAACTTTGAATATTGTTCTTAATTTTTTTCTTTATTAATTCTAAAGAATATTTAGTTTCATTTTTGCAGATTATAATATATTTTGCCAGAATAATAATGGTGAGCGAATTTACCCATCATTTAAAGGTAAATTCGCTCACAAAAAAACGGCTTATAAATAATTTTCTGCAACATATTTCAATTTCTTTATGCAGTAATATGAAAGATAAAGGGTTAAAGATTATATATTTTCAGTGCCAATGTTTATTTTCATCGTTTCCCGAAGTTATTTAAAAAAGAATTGAAAAATTGAGCGAATTTAGCCTCACTTACGGTATTTTCTAAAATTTTTAATTAAACTTCATCTCTAAATCTGTTTTTTTAAAATAATTTTCCGAAAGTTCTTCGAGAATTTAATTATTCAAATACAAAAATTCAATTTTTTATATTAATTGCAACTGTAACTATCCTTTTTTAAAATTATTAAGGTATAATATTTTCAAAAAATTATAAAAAGAAATTACTTTTTTAAAAATATTTTTAAATAATTTTTGAAAAATAATAGTTTTTTATTTTTTATATTACCTACAATTAAAAAATTTCCAAGCAATTAAAATTTGGTAAAATCTTTTACAAATGATTGAATTTTTGAAAAATTGAAAAATATACAAGGAAATGATAAATATTTGAAAAATTTTAATTAAAAATTTTATACATGATATAGTAATAAATATATAGTAATAAAATTTTTAAAAAATTATTTTCAATTATTATATTTTACAAAATTTTAATTATTCTACAATTTTTTAAGTATGTACGTATATTTTTAAAATTTAATTATCGTAAAAAATTATTTAAAAATATAATTTTAAAGATTTGTCTATAGTTATTTTTAACACTATAAAAATTGAAATAAGTAGCATTTTATGCAAAAAATGTGGTATTTTGTTGCAATGTTTTTAAGATAAGTCAAAAGAGTCGCAATTTTTAAAAATGAGTCGAAAAAATTTGCATTTTTTGAAAATAGTCGAATAAGTCATAGTATCCGAGGCCTAGTACTACCTATTAAAAATAATTTTTTTGATTACAAATCTTTTTAAAATGAAATAAAACAGCGGTGCAAAATTTGAAAGTAGGATAAACAAAATATAAGGGATTTTTTACTGGGTCCACGTAGACATTTGCTTTGATCCCCTCTCCCCCCATCGTGGACAATCTTGGATTTTTGACAAACTCACTCTCCTCCCTTAAACTGTCCACGTGGTATATGAACGACCCCCTACCCAAATTACACAAACTTTTTCTAAATATTGATATTAACATTAACTTCGAGTTCATTACAAATAATTAAAGAAATGTACTCTATTCTCAAATATTATAAAATAGAAAAATAAAAGATTATCATATTTATTTTTTCTTCAACTCAAATTGTTTAGTAATGGATTGAATTGAAATAATTAAAAAAAATGTCTGATTTTTAATAAATGTTTTGATTTTTTGCCCACAGGTATTGGAATGTCGGGAAGTATCGCCTCGTCTCATCATCCGCTGACGAGTCTTTCGAATTCGCCTCTACTGCCACACTCGAGGAGTGTACCAAATGCACCAAGTGCAATATCACTTCATCCATGGCCAGCGAGTCCGGTCTTGCCGCCGGTCTCGAGTCGAACTCCACACCTCGTGCCGGAAACTGGTACCGGAAGACATTACAGCATTCCAGCGTACTCAACACCAACGACAACACAAACACAATCGGCAACGAGGCTCGCATTTTCACAAACAGGCATGGGAGGTCTTGGGAACAGTCAAGGCTCTGACACGTCGCGTAGCTGAGCCACAAGTTTGCAGCCGCAGCATTCATATTAAAAAACCAGGGCCTTCTTCTTGTCGTACCAACAAATTATTTTCTATGCCGTTCTCACTCATCAAGTCGTCGAATTACGCTTCGTAAAAACCATTCTTCATTTTCATCATATAATATATAAATAACTGAATACAACTCAATATTTATATAAATATATTTGCCAAAAATATATTTATAAACATATTTGTTTGTTAATAAATCGAAGCCGCGTTCGAGTGCAAAACGTTGCAGCCTTATTCATTCATCGTCGATATTAAATATTCAATCTTCAACCGCAACAAATCCTTGGGACCAGGACTGGACATTTATTCGAATTTTTATTCGCGAGGATATTCATTTTTTAGAAAAATCATCATCTTCTCCTTCTTCTTCTTCTTCTTCTTCTTCTTCTTCTTGTTCTTCTTCTTTGTTATCTGTTGTATATTTATGTAAATGACTTGTAAAGAGATTGAAAATATATTTATTAGACAGTTTTTTGGGATTAAGATTAATTTTAACAATGGTTTTTCACGTCGATAAAAATTTCTTTGTTTTTAACTCTATTTAACTTGATTTACAAATTTAATTACTTCAACAGAAATTCATTATTTTAAATCTTCTCTGGAAATTTTAGTCCAAATTGAAACAAAAGAAAATACCTTTCACAAAAGAATTCTCTTTTTTTAAAAATAGTTTAAAAAAATAGGTACATAAATTATTTTCAATGGGAAATAATAAAATTTATCGAAACTGAATGAATTGATAAATTGTTTAAATGAAAATTCTCAACTACAATTTTTTCTATATTCTTTCATTTAGAAATGACATTTGATTGAAAAGTATTCAATTGAAATTGACAATTGAAAAATTGTCTTATTTTTATTTAGAAGTGAATTTTTAGATTTTAATGCAATTTTTTTTTCATTAAATTCTAAACTATATGAAAATATGGGAAAATGCATTTTTCAAAGAAATTTTTATCATCGTGTTGCACTGAAATGTTATTTGCACAAATTTAAACCCAAAAGAAATAATTAAAAATTTTGTCTAAGTATTGAAAAATATTCTGAATAAGTGTCCATCCTCGTTTTGGAACTTCAATTTTCACAATTTAAAAAATATTTCTTACCTGTACATTATAAATATGCTCTAAACTAGAACGAGCTTAAAATTAGAGATTAGTAATTTTTTCATTAAATCACAATTTTTTAATGCCATTTAGAATAGAAATTAAATTAAATGATCTAAGACAGTCTTTGCTAAAAATTGCAGTTTCATCAAAGGATTTAAAAAACTTATTTATTTTTGTAATTTATTCAATTTATTTCTAATCTTATAACTTCTAAATCATTTTTTAACAAAATAAATTGTTTATCAGCAATTTATTAAATAAAAAATCTCTTTTCTATCATTTTTAATTATCTTAATATCGTATTCTGAATAATTTATTAAAACAATTTTAAGAATTAATAATAAACCATAGATTTTTTAGAATTAATATTTTCCTATTTATTTCAACAAAATATAACTTCCTTTCGGCAAAGACTGTCGAGAAAGTCAACTTTAAAAATTAAAAACTTTCAAATTGAAAATAAAATAAAAATAATTTTTTTTCAAAGTGAAAATTAATGTGACTAAATAAAAGAAAGGCAAAAATTTCTGAAATAAACTTTTAATGAAATAATGATAGAATTATCGACAGATTTGATATAAGGATTGTCAGGGATTTACATCAAATTCTCAACGTTTCGAATTAAGGCTCGAATTGAAAAAAAAATCGGTAGTCGAAAGTATAATATTCGGTTTTTTTTTATTTGTTTTAATATTCTTTACAGTTTTTCAAAATATCTATGAAAATTTCATTAAGAGAGAAAATTCTCTGAAAATTAAATATGAAAACTTTTGCGCCCTTCAAAAGAATTCAAGAGATTATAGACAATCGAAATCGTTTGACGGTTTTTTTCCTCCTCCGCTGATATATTCCACAAAGAATTTCCCTCTAAACCGAATTTACTCTCTCGAGTCCCGTTAACCTTCTTTATTACCGGTTCTATTTCCAATTTATCAAAAGCTCATTTTCTCCAATGGACTCTGGTGAAAAAAGGACAGACAATTGCATTTCAATTCATTTTAAGAAATTCGATCTTGAAATTTGATTTTTTTCGTGCTATTTATTTATTTTATTTTCTATTTATGTTTTATTTATTTATTTATTTACAGCTAAACAATTATTATTTATTTAATTATTTTTAAATTATCTTTTAGTACTTTTTTAAAAATATTTTTAAATGATTTTCTTTCAAATAAATTTGTTTAAATTTTTTTTTTAATAGAGAAATGATTTTTTGATAAATTGGGAAAAAATGACTTTTATAAGAAAAAACGCCAAAAAAATATTCTCAACGCACTTGTCGTCCTGTTGATGCAACGAATAGAAAAAAAAGAAAGTACTGTTTTCTCATATAATATTTATAATATAATTATGTAGTCAACGTGTAGAATTCAATCCGCAGGCGAAAAAAAAATTTTTTATTTGAATGATTCAAGGGCGTGTGAAGATTATTTTTAATGAAGTTATTCGACGGTCTATCGTATCGCAATCCAATCAGTAAATTTTTATTAAAATTTACAAAATGGGTCTAAAATGATTGAAAAAAACGAATGAGAAAAGAAAGAAGTCAGAACGGAACAGAAACTGAAATGTGGGTACGCACGGATTCTTCCACTTGCTGCGAGCTGCTCTTACCCGTCTTGCGTGCCTGAAAACTTTTTTCTTAAATAATTGATACTACGAATATTTGACACGAACTTATCTCGTTTCTGTATTCCGAATGAATAATCTTCGACAGGCGCCAATGTACAGCATTGCCTCGCTTCCAAATATTCTCAAAACTCTCAAAAAAGCTCTCAATATACAAGAAAAGAGAATTTTTTATGTACAATTCTTGAAAACAATATTAAAATCAATTATAATTGTTGTTTTTGTTATTATTGTTAATTATTTATTATTCATTTAATTACTAAATAAGAAAATCTATTTTAAAATACATTTCATTTTTTTTTAATTTATGTACAAAAATTTATAAAAAAGATAGTATCTTAAAATTGGTTTTTTTCTACTCTTGATATTAATATCGGATTATTGAATTTTGTATTGTAAATAGTGAATGGAATGAGATGATAATATTGAAAATAAACTTTTTTTAAAAAAAAGTAGTGGAAAACTTACAAAGAAAATTTTTTTTCTCCAAGATAAAAATATGCCCGATCAAAAATGCCTCGTTGAAATTGAAAAGCTTGTTTGAGAGTTACGAAACTTAAAAGTTTAGAAAAGTTAAGGAAGCAGAGTGCAAAGTGATCTTACTGCTTTAACGTCCGTAGTTTATAGGAAATTGCTTTAGTGTGAGTATACATGGGTCACGGATGTAAAAAAAAAAAAAGGATACGTTTCCACTAAAGAAAAAAGTGCATTTTTCTACAAAAAATAACATTAAAAAAAATTACAAAAATCTAAAGAAAATAATTACTCACACATACTATAGTCTAACTTTAGATCTATTATAAAAGACATTTTTCCATTGGCTTTCATTGTACATAAGCAAATAAAAAAACACACATAAAATTAGCGATTTTTCACGATATTTAAACAAAAAAACCAAAAAAAAAAAAAATGAAAATTTAGCTACAAAACTAATCTTTTTATTAGTCTTTCACAAAGAGATCTCACAAGGTGTTTGAAAAAAATAACAAATTTAGTGAAAACGTAATCCCACAATCGAATGTCAAGAGAAATAAATTGCAGAAAAAAATTATTACAAAAAAAAAATAAAAAACACAGAAAAGCTTAATAAACGCCTCCATGGAAAAGTTGGGACCTGGTTCGTACTTGTCCGTAATTTTTCGAAAACATTATTGTTTCGCGAGAAATTCAACGTCGCGCGAAACGGGACCAAAAATATAAAAAAGACACAATCGTCGTAAATTTCTCTCTCAACTCCAAAAAAACAAAAAAACGTACTGGACACGACGACTAACGCGATATTTTTATATAGAATTTCTTGAAAGTGCATTATAGTGCCAGGAGGATATTATGCCAACCATAAATATAGAAAAAAAGTGCAGGAGTCTCGGTACCGATGAAACTTTATAGAATAAAAAAATTTTTAGTCGTACCATACTTTCGAAAAATGTTGTTACATATTTCTTTGAATTAATTAAAATTTTATTTTTAAGAATAGAAATAATAATTAATATTATTATCAGTTTTTTTAATATTGTTATTGCTATACTGTTAATTATTATACCTCAATATTACACCTATATCAAAATTTTTTTTTTCATTTTGACCCCCTTTTCACAGCGATATTTTGCTTTTCAAAGTTGAATCAAAGTGAATCGAAGTGAATCGAAGTGAAAAGAAAGCGAGGCACACAAAAAATTTAGTCTGTAAAGTATGAAAAAAATGAAAAAATTAAGGTTGAACTATAGAAGAATTGATTACCTTCCTACTATAGAAAATAGTGAAATTAAATTTACCTAAATTTTAGCTTAGATTATTTTGAACAAAAAATCAATACGAATTCGTAGTCTTATTAAAAAAAAGGAAAACACGTTCTCACAATATTATATAATACATATACCTATATATGATTTGTAAAGATCGAAGAGAGTGTATAACTAAAAGAAATACTTAAAAAAGCGAAAGTCGTTGTTTTTACCTGGCTAGTGTATAGAAAAAAAATGTATAAAAAAAACCTAACAAAAAAAACGATTTTAATCGCAAAAACGGAATTTCAAAAAAGTTTATACAAAATAAATTACGGTTATTACGACTATACATATAAATATATAGTATATTTATTTATGATTATTGTTGTTGTTATATGACTATTATCATTATTATGATTATTAATAAATAATAATTATTATTATTATTGTATATTATACACATAGTATTATATAAAAAAGTATATATAGCGACATAGGAATTTTCGTAGATACTTGACAAGTTTAACACACTCTATAATAAAGAGGTACTTTATTAAGAAACTTTACTGAAATTATCAAGTAACTACCGCCATACTAGTTGTTATATAAAAATGACCAAAAAAAGAAGTTACCGATTATTCATATACAAGAAAAAAATGAAAAAAAATGAGAAAAACTTAGGTGATAATAGATGCGCGAATAATTGACGAAAGCACTTTTACATGAGTTGTATATGTACACTTGTATAAAAAAAAATCAGTGCAGCGTCTTCTCTTTAGAAAAAAAACTTACATCTCGTAACAATTTATTATTTATTGCTATTATTGTTATTATTATCACCGATATTTTTATTATTCTTTTTGTTATTATTATTACTTTTACTATTACTATTTTATTACCATTGTTGTTGTTAATATTATTTTTATTTCTGTTATTTACTAGAGACGCGATAATAAAGACCGATTTTTTATATACCATATTTATTATCGATCCGCACAATATTCGTTCTTAACTTTTATAATTTATGTCTCCCTTGCTTATATTGACGCTATACCAATATTGATTGACCGAGTTTGATCCATTGCGATTTATTTCTACAAATTGTTTTTAACCGAGCTAATCATTATTTTAGAAATTTATCCCTTTTCCTGTTCTTGAAAACTAAAATTAAATAATTAAGATTTGAAAATATTAGAAAACCTAAATGTTTAATTATTCGGATTATTAGAAAAAATAGATCTTTACTAAATTTTGTTCAAATTAATGAAAGATATAAACAAAAAATTTTTTTAATCTCTTTAGGTAACTTATTTTTGTAGCATTTTTTGAAAATAATTCGCAAAAATTGACAAGTTAAAATTGAACAATGTAAAAATTTTAATAAAAATATTTAAAGAAAAATACATTTTAACATTAAATACTTGACATCAGAAAAAAATATCCACAAGTTTTATTTTAGAAATTTTTATGCATTTTTACATTACCTAAAGTTTAATTCCATTTTTTCCTAAAAATCATAAACGAATATTTATTTCATAATAGGAAAAAAAATTCCAACCGTAAAATCAGAAACGATTTTTTCAAAACGAGATCTATTTAGGAACAAATTTCCGTATCTATTGAAATAAATTTTTCGCAATAAAAAATCGAAGCTAACTATTTTAGTGAATCATAAAAAAGAATTCCTAAAGAATATTTTACTCGAAAATATTTTCAAAAAAATAAAATAAAAATAAAGTCACGCAAAATCGATAATGCCATCGCAAAGTTCAAACAGGAATTGACAGTCAGCCTTTGTCGATCAATATTACCATTGGCGCACAAATAGAAAAGAAAATTGTTGAAAAAAAAATTTACTTTCTATTTTCTATTCTTTATGCCAATAAAACAAGCAGCGAAAATAGTGGAAATTTTTTTTCTATTCTTTCAGTGAATTTTATCTATAAACATTTGTTTTAGAAATATTTGAATATTTCTAAAATTATTGACAATGTTATTTGAATTAAATTCGCCGAAGAAATCAAATTTACAATCTCCCTCCCAATTTTCTTTTTATTATCTAAATTTTTAAATTTACAGAATTTTTTATAATTTTCAATCATCTTTCTCCATAATAATGCAAAACTTCACCATAAACACCAATAAAATAATTAACTGTATTTTTAGGGATTTTGAAATCAGAAAATTTTATTCATATACATGAAAACTATTTAAAAATTTCGTTTGTTCGCTGCGTGTGTGCGATAATTTTACTCGAATTAAAACGAGGATTATAATCGTCATTAATGTGACAGTTACACTGCCCGTCAAATCTCTTTTTCCTGCAAAGAAAATGAAAAAATTTCGTTTTATCATTATTTTTTTCTTTTTTTTTTTATCGATTTATCTAGTTAAGAATTTTTTTCTCTTTTTTGAAAATAAAAACTCGCAAAACATTGAAAAAGTTGTCTCTTAAAAAATACGTTAATAATATAAATAAATTCTATAAACAAATTTGATTTAAGTGAAGAAATCGTTTCTTCAATTAAATCAAAAACATTTTGCATCGAAAGAAAAAAATAAAATAAAGCGCGACTTTTATGACAATTTTTCCAGTGACTAGATTTGTATAGAAACGTCTAAATTATACTTACAATCGTAATTAATTATTAATGATTAAACGTAAAATGTAAAAACTTACCAAAGAGAAAGCGTTAAAAGGAAAAATAATTTTCGTTTAAAAAAATTATTTTCTCCTGAAAAATAAAAAATTCTACAGAAAATAATCAGTAAAATTTTAATTCTACGTACTAAATTGTAAAATAAATTATTAATTACGAATGTAAATATATTTGATAAATAGTCAGTTTTTGATTATTTTGTAAATGTAGCCTTCAACCCTGTAAAAAGTTTATAAAATTCTAATTTACAATACAAAAATTGTAAAATTAGAATCTTTTAATTTGTAAGTAAATATCTCGAAAAATAGATATACATATATAAAAGAGATATTTGACTGGAAGTGTAGATTCGATGTATGTATAAAAAATGTTATCTATGATGGCAGATTGTATTTAATTTTCTACGTTTCTGTAAAGTGAGGAAGTTTAAAAAAAATAATAAGGATATAAGACTATGTATAGAATAAAAAAAACCAGAAAAGTGAGTGTGTGTTCATTACAGTGTTCTCGAGAGTTCGTTAGTGTGAAAAAAATTATTATAATAATGACGATGATAATGTTTGTTATCAAAGAAAGGAAAAAAAATTTAGTGTATAAATGCGCATTGCATTAGGACCAGATTTTTTTTCCATCATATATAAAATATAGCCTCGAGAAAACTCAAAAACGCTGTTTTTTGCACAGTAATTTAAAAACGCTATATAAATTTAAGGTCACCTCGAGAATTTTTCAAAAAAGCGCCAAGTGATAAACGATTATGAACATTTTTTAACGATTTTTTCCTTACTTTCCCCCCTCCTAAAAATCGAATTTTTACCATTCTTTTCATGCAAATTATTGAGAAATTTTTCTGCAGAAACGAAACTCTGCTTTGTCGTGCTGTTAAATTTTGAGATGACCTATAAAAAACATTTTAACAAATATAGAACAAAAACTTCCTTGTTAAATAGATAACTTTACTACGTTTGTTTCATACTGGACGCTCTTTTTCTGAAAAAAATATGTATATTGTATAATACTGTAGAGACACTTACGGGTAAAGTGGTCTATAAATTTGTAACGAGCTAGCTAGAGAAATTATCAAGGGACTCCCGAGAATCGCAAAACACCTAATTTACGATGATTAATAAAAATAATACGTTTACATTAATATTGTTTTTGATTTTGCATTTTTACCCCTTCCTTTCTTGTAAACTGATTTTTCCTGATATTCAAAATTTCATTTTTGTTCACTTTTATTATTTTAGTCAACAATTTAAAAGAAAGGAGGAAGAAGATTTAATGTAATGGAAATCTGATTATAGAAGACTTAAATGAAATTTGAACAAGAATATAATAAAATTATGTCTGACAAAATTTTAAAAGAGGAAATATGATATGTACACAAACACAAGTAATTAGATAATGTTTTCTGCACCCTACTTTTTTATTAAATACTTGCCAGACACAATGTATCTGAATATAAAAATAATATACAAGATTTAATCATGGCGAGTTTGAATAAAGATTCTATTTTTGATGTTTGTAGAGAATCTTCTCGAAATAACAATACCTGAGATTTCATTTCAGAATTGAGACTCGAATATCCTTCTTACAAGAAATCTTTAAAAAAGAATTTCTCCACTTTTAACTGGAAATCGTATTTAATTTATCAGAAATAAATTGCAAAAATCCGTTTAAGAACTTTTTTAAAACTCACAATCAGTGATTGATTTTTGAATTTGGTTCGAAGTAAGTTTATTTTCTTTTTCTTTTTGTAAAGACTTCGGTTGTAAATTTCGCTTTAAGAAGGTAAAATTCAACTTTTCATCCCACTTACGTATCACTTGTTTCATTTCTTTCTTCGAGAAAATTGGAATGTTAAGAGGTGTTTCCTTGAAAATATATTTGGATACGGAAAGAAACTTTGGTAACTCGAGTTGCTTCTTCTTTTGTATCGTTCCTTTCGCGTTAATTTCCCTTTTCCGATGAAAATGTCCAATTAGCTCATCACCTTGTCTATCCACGGTACGAATTTTTGTATGTTTGTGTAAACACCAGGCAAATGCTCACGTCCACAACCAATTCCCCATGAAACTAGACCAATTAGAACGTGTCTTCCTTCCACGGACATTGTCAATGGACCTCCAGAATCTCCCTGTTTTTAGTAAACATTTTTTAATTATAAATATTCCTATTACGTTTCATTATGTTAATCATTTTCCATTTAACAAATTTGCCTTTTCTTAATTATGTACCTTTATGTAGGTAATTTCTCCAAAAATTCCATTAAATAACAATAATAAATTAAATACATTTTTAAAAATGAAAAGTCGTTTAAAAAAATTACTAATTTATACATAAAGAAATTATTATTTTTTAAAATTGGTTGAAAGTAACAATTTTCATCAAACTACAGCAATTTAAAAACTTTTTCTTTACGATTCATGAAGAAAACTGACTAATTTCTGAAGATTTAAACATAAAATGTAAAATAATTACTTGACAAGAATCTCTTCCGCCTTCTTTGTATCCAGCGCACAAAAAAACGTCGTGAATCGTTTCTCTTCTGCCAGCGGCTCTAAACCATCTTTGACACCTTTCATTCGGAATCACCTGATGTTCAAAAAAGGAAATTTTTAATAACAAGAATTAGCGGATCCAACAAAATTAAATAATTCTCCAATCCAAAGTTTAGAGTCTAAAACGTATGAGAAAATTTGAAATTAATTAAATAATTTAACAAACCGTCGCGTCGGTAACTAATTTAATAATTGAAGAAAATGAGAATGTAAAATGGAATTTATAATTTGAAAAATATTTGAAATTAAAATTTATTAATATTATAATTAAAATTTAGAGGTATTTTAAAATATTATTTCTTTTGATAAAAATCTGCTGGTAAAGTTCCAGAAGGAATAATAAAAAATATTAACTTGAAAAATCTCATCTGCGATAAAGTGGAAAAAAATTTAAAATGTTTTGCCTACTTTTCTTTAACAATTGTAATGTGAAATTTAAAAAAGTTATATTTGTGAGTTTTTCACGAGACTTTCTTTCTTTCTTTCTTTCTTTCTTTATAATAATTATGTTACCTCGACTTCGACTTCCTGCAGTACCGTAGGCGCAGAAACCTGACCATGTCGTGTTCGTCCCCAACCAGCAACCGTGGCCGCTCGTCCCGAGAGTTTCAAATTTCTAGCTGGCAAACAAACCGGCACGATATGTTGCTTAAAAGAGACAGTCTTTGATAATTTGATAAGAGCCACATCATTTCGAAAATCCGATGGCGAATATTGTGGATGTACCTAGAAAAGTAAAAATTAATATTTTATTTACATTTTTTCACAGAAATTTACAAATAAAAGAAAAATTACACATTTCCAAAAAATATATAAAATAATGATTTTAGTTCCAAGCAAAAATATTGATTTAAACGATGTATAATAATTTTCAAATTTAATTAAAAATATTAATAAACAACGAAAAAGGAACAAAAAAATACAGTTAATGAATAAAATTGTAATTATTTGGTTGATTATCAGAATGAAATAAATATTGACTTTGAGTAAGAAAAAAATAAAGTCAAAATAAAGAAAATTGAAATTGAAAATATAATGAAAAGCATGATTAGAACTATCAGGAAAAAGAAACGGCATTTCTTGATGTTGAATAACTTCCACGTAATATAATTTTCCTTTAGTTTTGCTTGTTTTCTCTTACCTCTTTTCGCTCAATGTTAAACTCCTCGTGAAGTAATCGTTCTGAGGCGTCCCTGACGTCCCATTCTCCAAGCCTGACTTTTAAGTTGCTGTTCGGAGACCTATTGCACGCAATCTCTGTATTCAACTTTGTTCCAGATACAAGAGTCAATTTCAATTAAATCAAACGCAATCTCAGTTCTTTAGTCTCTAATTTTCTTTACTAATTTCCTCAAACATTTATCAATTATTACAATTTTTTATTTTTATTTAATATTTTGTTTACCTAAACAAAATTTTTATATTGTAAAAAAACAATTCTATCAACAAAAATGTATTGCATTGAAATAAATATTACTGAAAGAAATGCTTAAAAAATATAAAATTAAATAATTATAAATTAGGTATTATAAATTATAATTATAAAATTAAATAAAAAATAAAAAATGTTAAAATTAAAAAAAAATAAATTTTCTATTTAATTGAAATAAAAAATAATTAACAATAAATTAATTAGAAATAAATAAAAAAAAAGTGATACAGAATTCAAAAAACTCCTCTCTTTGTAAACAGGGAAAATACTAACGTGGCAACACAATGAGCAGCGGTTACAATCCACCGATTGTTGAGTAAAGCTCCTCCACACGAGAGCTTTTTCGACAGGAATCCTGATTTAATGATAGCGGCCTGAAAAAATGAATTCGCAAATTTTAAAACTTGAATTAAATTCCGAAATAAAAGTTATATTCACAAAAAAATTCATGAATATAAAAAAGTAAAGAAATTAAGGGAAATTTAAATAGAAATAAGAGGAAAATGTAGAAAATTAATAACCATAAAGAAATAAAGGAAAATAAATAATAAAAGAATAATAAGAAGAAAAGAAAAATGAAAATACAAAGAAATAACAAGAAATTAAATAAACAAAGGAATATAATAAAACAAAAGCAGGAAAAGAAAAGTTAATAAAAATTAAAGACAAAAAAATAAAAGAATAAGAAAAATAAAAATACAACACTTTGTGCAGATGAATAGTGATGTTTCCATTCACAAAAGGTGAATCTTAAAAAAGATACGTAAATAATAATGAAGAGGAAAGGAAAAGTGTTCGACTTGTGTGAAAGTAACCGTGAAATTTATGACGAAAGAAAATAGAGCGAATCTTTTTTCAAATAGAGAAATTTGATCCATTGGAAAAAAAAGTTTTTACCTGCCACGGATGACTGCCAAAACTAGAACTATGTCCACCAACAATTCTATTACTTCTAGTGTAAAGTTCTCCACAACCTATAAAAAAGAAAAAAAAGAAAATATCATTTATCAAAGAAATGAAAACAAATAAAAAGAAAATAAAATTTTGTTTAATTTTTGCTTTTTCACACCGAGTTCCAAACAATGACGATAACAGTAAAGTGCTCCACAAGAAGTGCTCCATCACAAGAATAGTGTGCGATTTTTTTCCCAGTTGAACCTGATTGAATTATTCGTCCTGATTCTGTAGAATTACAAAAAAATTGTTCATGTCGTGTGTCTTTTGATTGTAGTTTTTGAGTCTCGAGAAGATACTCTCGTTCGAAAAAAATTGTCTCTTCATTTTTGAACATTTTCTGTCTCGTAGGTTTTTTCTTCTTTTTTTTTGAAAAGGAAAATAGATAAGAGGCGTTTACAGTTGCTTAAAGATTCAATAGGCAGAAAACGAAGATAAGGATTTGAGCAACTGTGCAAGTGCTACACATTTTCCAATCCTTTCTGTCCTTGCGGAAAAAGAAGACGAGAGTTTAAAAGTGCACTTCAGAATTTTTTTTTCAAAACCATTTTTTAGAGAAAAGCACGAGTTATTTTATTGCTCGAAAATTAATGTAAAAAAATAAATTAATGCATTGACGAGAATATTTCAAGAAAATAACAATAAAATAATTAATATTTTTGAATACAAATAAAAAACTGCCACATACTATTAAGCGGGAGATTTGGCTGCATTTTAAACTATATTATCTACTTAGAAAAAAATTACAAAATTATTTTTATGTTAATTTTTTCGAAAAAAAATAATATTTTTTTAAAACCCATTCGTGATTTTAAAAAAATGTGTTTTTTTATGTTTTAAAGAACTGGCGACTCAAACTTTATATTTTTATTATTTTTAAAGAATTTTTTTAGAAAAGAAAATTATCTTTTCGCTTCAAAATATAGTTATATTTACCATTACTATTAAAAATTAGATAAAAAATATTTTTACTATGATTTTCTGAAAATGTCTCCTAAAGGAAATTATTAAAAACTTGTAGATTTTAGAAATTTAAAGTTTTCAATATTTACGGTCATGAAATAAAATGCATTAAAAAACATTTTTTTCAGAGAACATTCTCTTATAATTGCTTACAAAGAATTATGAAAATTATGAGCTTTTAATAATAATTTTCCTCAAAACAAGTTTTCAGAAAATCAGCAAAAATGTTTTATGTCTAATTTTTAATAGTAATTTTAATTATAACTATATTTTGAATAAAAATTTTTTTTTTATCTTCAAAAAAGTAAAAATAAAAATATTTTATCGCCTTATTTTTTTTAAACATAAAAACACATTTTTAAAACAATTACAGATGGTTTTTATAAAATACCTATTATTTTTTAAAGTCTGAAAATTTTGTGACCTATTTTACTTTATGGCAAAAATTAAATTACTTGACAAAAATTACTTGAAAAATAAATTTATCCTCTTTTTTTAAGCAGATTTCAACATAGTTGAAAATGTAGTCGATCTCTCCCCTTAAAATTAATAATAAAAACTACAGAATAGAAATTATTGTAAATTTTGGAAAAAGTAAAAAAAAAATGTAAATAAAATAAAAATTAAGAAAAATTGCCGCAAAAAATCATTAAACTAGAATATTAGAAGAAATCCCAAAAATAAAATTGTGTTTTGACCATAAAAAATTTTTTTTGCAAAAACAAAAAACAGAATGTAAACTTTGAAGCATTTCTCCAAATCAGTTTTCCGCGGGGGAAAGAAAAAAAATTCCCTCAAGTCCCCACACAAGAAGAAGAAAATAAGGAAGTAAAAAAAGAAGATTTGCAATAAGCAATGTTTGTGCAAAATGGATTTCCTTAGGAAAATTGCGATCTCTATTACCACGATATCTAAACGAATCCATTGAATTGGAATAATCCTCGACTGGATTATAAATATCAGTAGTTGTCGGCAGATAATTGTCGTAATTCCCAGTACCAATTGCAGCTTCAGGTCGATTTACGAAAGGATCATTGCCAGATGCACTGGGGCGATTTTGAGTCCATGGCGAATACGATGGTTTATTGCTTGACGGTTTATATGTGGAATGTGTGTAAACGTACGAAGGTCGATGAACATTGTGTGTATATCCTGGTTTCTGATGCACATTATTGTATATATCAACTTCATCATCCAGGTATGGACGTTGATTCGCCAAATTTAACGAGAATGCTAAAGTCCACGATAAACAGTATTATTACAGAAAAACAAAACTCGTTCAATTATTATCAATGAATTTTTCCAAACTCATTTTTCTTAAGCTCTGTTCTGTTATCTTTCGGACAAAATAAATTTATACTTGTATTTGGTTATTTTTGAGAGAGATTAATAATTTTGAAACAATACTCACTGGCATTTTGAAGAAGTCCAACAGTTGGCTTCGTCACTTTTTCGGGAATGTCGTCATCGTCGACGCAGCAGCTCCAAATCATGCCTCCGGAACAAAGATCAACGGGACGACCACCGCCAAGGACACAGCTTATACTAAGGCCACATTCGAATTTTGCGCCCTTGTATTTACACGTCTGAGGAATCACTGGAAGGCAAACAATAGAGTCATTAACTTTAAAATCGTCACACGAAAAATTCCATAAACCAAATCAATTAAGTTCTCTATTAGAAACACCTTGAAAAAGATAATAATTTTTGTCGAAAATTGTCTTTAGATGCAATTTTCTTTCTTTTTTAAGTTCTTTTAAAAGTAGCCGTTTCCTACCGACTTTAACAAAAAATTACAATTTTTTTTAAATATCAGTTATGAATTAAAATTAAAATCAATTAAGAAGAAACTTTGAAATTGGAACTAAATAAAATAAAATATCTTTTTGGAAAATGGCAGGTCGAATTTCTGTTCCATCCAAAAGGGAGAGAAAGAGAGAGAGAGAGATGTCATTCGTCACAGCTGCCTTGCTCGTAAAGGATCGCTTGCTCTGTTTCTCAAGGTAAACGATCGGCCAACCACTTTCGTTCCGAATCGCAGTTTTGTAAGTGAAATTTAGGACTCCACTCGCGAATGAACGTGAAAGTTTCCAAGAATCAGTATAACTCGCACATATATTTCTTATCAATTGAATTTTTAATTACAATTACCACCTATCTAAAGTCGACAAAATAAAATGCCCAATAATTAGAAATCCATATCCGTTCCAATTCTTAAAAATTTACTCCTACTGAAAAATTAAATAAATTCTTTTAGATTCACAGAATTTTTACCATTCATGACTCTTTTCCTAATTGAAAAATATTTCGAAGCAAATTTTTAGTAGTCAGGAATTTTTATTTAACGAAATCTATAATTATTCCAACTTTTAGCATATAGTTTCGTCGAATTTTCAAAAATTTGAAAAAATATTAACACCACTTAACTAAATTTTCATTTATTATTATTTAAAATTTTTATTTGGACCAAATCAATTAGAAATTGTCAAAAAATTCCATTGAACTAAAATTCACACTTCTATAACAAAAGCAAAATCCATTAAAATTCCGTCAGTCAAAATTTTAATAAGCAAAAAATATGAATTCGACTCAAAAAAATTTTCATTAATTAGATATTTTTCAACGAAACTTCCGTAAATAATAATTTCTAATAAAATTAATTCTTTTAAATAATACATATAAAAGATAATAATTTTTTTATTCATTATTCAATTATTATAAAATATTATTTTTTATTATCCAGTGAAAAATTCGATAATTGAATATTCGGTTGAATTAAAATTTCAGTCAAAATCCAGTAAATTTCACTAGATACAAATTTCGTGTAACGAACATTCTATTTTAATTTTAAAAGAAGATACGAATTATAATTTCGATCATAAATGAAAATTCGATTAAATAAATATTCGATAAAGCAGAGAACAAAAAATGTGGTTAAATAAACATTCACCTCAAATGTTACTTTAGAAAAATATGACAAAATAGAAAATTCGATATCAATTTCGATAGAAAATCGAAAATAAAAATTTGAAAATTCATGAGCTAGAAAAAGAAAAAATGTCCAAGAAAATGTCGCAACATACTTTTGCCGAGCATATCCATAATTCCGCTCTGAATATCAGCTCCGTGACCACGATGATCGTTAACGTAGGTAAAATTTCGTTTCTTTCTGAGAGCCTCAACAAGAAGAATTCCCTGCTCCTGACTATTGAGTTTTCTACGTCTCCCTTTTCTTCTGCCCGTTTCCAAATTCAAATCATCCAATTCTCCATTAGTTCGCTTCTTACTAATAAGTTGATCCAAAAATTTCTCAAACTTGACACTTTCATCATCACTCACATCATCCAAATAGTCATTATTATTATTATTATTATTATTATTATTATTATCATTATTATTAAAATCATCAATTACTGCCGGATAATTTGAGATAGATTGTGGAAAAAATTCACTATTTGAATTCGAATAATCCTTGTTGTTAATTCCCCTAATGAAATCTCGATCGATTACATTTTGTATAGTGCTCTCGATGGCTCGATTTTGACGAACGTACTTGTCCCTCGAATTTATCAGATCGTTGAATAACTGATCTTTAGCATGATTGCTTTCACCAGACCTTCGATTATTGAATTCGTAATCATCGTTGAAAGCTCGTTGACCCACCAATTGATGGGCAATTGGTTTCTCAAATTTCGAGAGACTTTGAGATAATATGGAAATACTTGGATAATTGTAATTCGACATTTCTTTGATATCGCGATTTCCATTTATTCCATTCAGGGCCGTTATCAGCAGCACGTACCGAAAAATCAACGAGATCTTCAGCTGCATGATCTATTATTTCTTCTTTTATTAATTTTCACTTTTTTTCATTGCCAAATTTTATTCACTCCCACAATTTTTCATTAGACTCCGGACTTCATTTTACGATGAAATTGCGAATTTACTGAAAATTGTTCTCTTTTTTACTTTTTAGAAGGGAAACATTTTCTCCAAAACACTAAAATTGAAACTCTCTTTTCAGCTTTTGCCTCATTTTTTATTTCTTGATATTGGCAATTTTTCTTTTTTTCACTTCTTCTAAGTGTACACTAAAGAAATTAATTTTCGATTTTCAAGATATTTTTGTACAACTTTAAGAAACTACATTTTTTGGTCGTAAATAATGAATTTTCTTGTTTAAAATAAAATTCGAGTTGAAAATATTGAAAAATTGATTTGTAAATAGAAATTTCGATTTCTTCTGGTGGTTTTCTTTCTGTACTTCAGAGGAGTTTAAAAAATATTGTCGTAGGTCGTTCTCAATGTGGCAGCGTTCGTTTTCAAGTCGATCATGTTAATTTATGATAATAACCGTGAAAAATATTGAAATTTGGTTGTGTTTTTTTGTTGTTGTTGATTAATTATTGAGTGAGTGAAAAGTCATGTAACACCCACGTCCCACGATATCACACAATGGAAACGTGTAAAGAACGCGACCTGCACGTGGACTGACTTAAGTCAATATCTGGGGACTTGATCGGAGCCTTGGCTGCTTTCACCGACATCAGCTTTCCCGAGGTGTCTTCCTCACGTTTTGTACCCCTCTCCCTTGGAAATTTGTCCAACACCATTCAAGTCCTGGTACCTTTCCATCCAACGTCTAGGAATCGCAATTTTCATAAATAAGATTCCACACAAGTCTTTTACCTCTCATTTCATTCTAAATATATAACAAAAATCAAAATCTCCGAGACCACTGTAGACATTTTTTCAAATTTCATCCTCTTTCATTTCATGTTTAATTCCTAGAAACTTTAACAATAATTAATTTCATCCATTTTTTTTTCATTATTACCCAGAAGTTGATAATTTTATCATTAAGCGTTTTCTTCACTCCTGGGTAATTCGTTATTTCTTATTTTCTTTTCTTTGTGGAAAAGAAAATTTGAGCAATATATTTAATATTTTTTAGAGAAAGCCAAGTGCAAATATATTTTCTTCTCTCTATGAAACTTCGTCTCCAAATTATTTATACCATATGAAAATTTATGAAGACTTTGATTTCTTTCGCATTCTTCAATAAACCTCATTATTTGATTAAAAAAAAAATCTTCATTGTTTTATGTTTCCATAAAACTTGATAAAACTATAATTTAAAAAAAAAAAAAAAAGTAAAGTGGTCTATAAAAATAAATTAGCGAATAAAATTGTTTCTTCAAAAAGAGAGCACTATAAAATTATCGTTTAGATAAACAACTTGAATACACAATGCATTCTCGTAAAAAAATTAACTTCCGGCCTAATTCCAAATAAAATACCTACTATCATATTTTTGCAACGATTATGTAAATTAAAGTATAAAATAAAATATGCAATATAATTAATATAAAAAATTGTAATAAATAATTTTAATATAGATATTAATTTATTTTAAAAAATGGATGGGATTTTTTGTTCCATTTTAAGAAATTTGCAAAAGAGAAAAAATTATAATAAATAAAATAAGTAATGGGACTCTGGACACGAGTTTCCGGTTGGATGCATTTGTCCGGGTTCAAAAGAAACTCTTTTGTCGCAAGCAAGAAGGATGTATGGGCCTTTCTCTTTCAAATAAAGAACAACACTGTCCATGTGCTTGGTAATTCCGTAATTTCTTCCGCACACATAAAAGTCAATGCCTTCCTATTTTGAATTTTCGTTTTCTTCTTCTTCTTCTTTTGTTTTTAATGAAATAAATGATTTAAGAAAATCGCTTTATAAAATCTCCTAAAAGACTTGCTTTACACGTCCTTATTTTTTTTAACTGAGCGTCAACCGTAACGTACAATTAGAGAATAATTCGTTCTTCAAAAGGCAAAAGTTTGTCACTCATTATTTTCTCTCCAAAAATTTAATTAGCTCAAATTTTTTTCATTTCAGATATTATGAAAAAAAACGAAATTGTACTTCCTTTCTGTCATTCACTAATCATCTTTATTCATATATCCTTTCCCTAATTATTATTTTTCTATTTTTTCTTCATTTATCATTTTTAATTATTTAATTATTCTCGTTAAGTATAGTTCTTTATGAATTCTCCATTATTATTATTATTATTATTTATTTATTTATTATTATTACCTACTATTATTCTTTTATGCCTATGACTTTTTGCATTACATGAATGTTTAAAAAGTAAAAAGAAGAAATTTTAATTCAAAAGAGGAAAAAAGTTATAAATCAAAAGGTGAAATAAAAATAAAGAAACAGAATAAGAATGAAAAAAGAATATTTAGCAATAATAAAAATTCAAAAAGAAAAAAGTATAAAAGAAAAATATTTGTAATGCCGAAATTTCGAAATTTTCTAAGTGGCGGTACTTTAACTTTAAATTAGAAAAACAAAAGACCATTATCTGTTGCCTAAATGTGACAAAAGATTATTTCAAAAAGTTGTGTACATCTCTGATTTCAAGAATCTTTGTCACAGGGACAATTAGCACGTTATATTTGATTTTAGAGATAGTGAAAGTCTTTGTATTGTTTCCTGAATGATTTTATATTTAAACGTTTCCCGAATATTAATTTGGTTTCTTTTCTCAGACCAAATCAGAAAATATTTTCACCTTTAATTTCTTGGCATTAAAATAAAAAAATTTAATACTTTGTTTTGCTTTTTATGTACCACAATTTTTATATTTTATAAATATATAGATTTTAATGAGTTTGAGTTTTTACTTAATTGCCAATAAAAAAATTATGAACTAGAGCGAAAAGTGAAAATTAAACTCACGTCCAAGTTGATCGAAAAATCGTGATTCATGATTACTTCCAATTTTATTTCCTTCGATGTCTGGACTGTCCACGGAATCTAAAAGAAGAGACTATTTAATAATTTTTATTAATTTACATAATAATTAATTAAATAATCACTAAATAAAATAAAATTTACTAAATTGATTAGAAATATTTGAATTTTAATTGAGGGAATAAAAAAAATACTTTAAAAATAATCAACGAAACTCACCAAAATTCGATAAAAATTTGTCGTTTCTCCTTTGCTTTGACAACGAAGGTGAAGTCACGATTAAAAGAATAATTAATGACATGAGCAAACCGGCCATATCGTAGTTTTTTCATAAAAATAAATATAATTAACGGTATTCAGAGACTTCAAGTATCATTTACATAATTACTAACTAGTATATTCATCTATATCGAATTTTGAAAATAATAAATAAACTCTTGCAATCATCATGATGTTAATTTTTCCATTACGATTAATAATCTTCATAATATAAATAAAAATAAAAAAAAACCGTTTCTTAACGTAAACGAAACCAACTTAAAATTTAGAAGTAAAAAAAATTCTTTTTACATTGATTTTTAAATAGAAAATAAGTTTAAAAATTTTAATTTTTTCCCAAAGAAAAAAAAATTTTAATAAAAATAAATTACTATAGAAAAAATTTTTTTCTCCTTTTCTTTAAACCAAAAAAAATTTTTTAATAAAGAGGAAAAATTTTCATCAAAAATTATTAAAAGTTATTAAATTAAATTCCAACTTTCATTTTTTTTTTATTTAAAAAGATTATTTAAATTTGCCAAAGTGTTAAAAATTGAAATGATACAGGAAAAGAAGATCTCTTTTCCCTCATTTTTGTTGGTGTTTCTCTTTGTCTATCGATGAATCAAATTTGAAAAGCAGAAGTTCATTTGGAGTTCAGTGTACTGTCTTGGGGGAGTCTTGAATTTTACAATCTCTACGAAGAAATGACACTGAAGAAGATGGCTGTGTACACTCCAACTAGGACACGGAACCAGGCCACTGAAACAAGTGGAACGCACAGTGTTGCTATAAGTAACCAATTCTGATCTATATGGAGAACCTCGGTATTATAGTTTTAGGTTTTTTAGTGAAAGTTCACCGCAAAAACTTTCAACATTATGTTTATTCAAAAAGTCTTTGTATTCATAATATATATATATATATATATATATATATATATATATATATATATATATATATATATATATATATATATATATATATATATATGTATTAAAAAAGCACAACAGAATTTTCTCTCTCACATTTTAATTTCAATTAAATTATACACATCTCGAGAACTTCCGAATCATCAAATTTCACTTTAGTCTTCTTAGTCTTATCTTTCTTTTCAATACTTTTTTTACGCACAAATTCAAAATATGGAAAAATAAGATATTTTTATAATAAATTAGAAATAATTTTTGAAGGGAAGTAAAAAGAAAATTCGAAAACGAACGTTTTTAATAGAAAAAAAAGTTTTTCAATATTAAAGAAAAAATTTTTTGTATAATAAATTTTTTCAGCCGTAAATAATAAAATCTACAAATAAAAGAGAAATTTATTCATTGCCTTTTTTGCTTGATAAAAAATAATCTAAAATTTTTCATTTGGAAAAATTCTTTTAATAAATAAATGTAAAATTAATAAAGAAAAACTTGCAAATAAATTAGAATTCATGGAAATTCGATGAAGACGAATTATTCTTTTTAATAATTGTCCACAAAGAAAGAAAATGTCTTTATTTAGATCTTCCTGTTTTTTATACAGACAAAATGCAAAATTTAATATAATTGTTAGATAACGACAATAATTTCTCTAATTAATATTCAAACGTTGAAAAGAAAATTCTTCCTCGAGACTTAATGACCATTTAAAAAGTCGCAAGGAAAGTGAAGATATTTTATATCAATTTTTTTATAATTTTCCAAAATTTATAACTAATCTTTAGATTAATAAATAGTGAAAATTAACGATCACTCCGAGTGATCGTATTAAAATACGACTGAGTGATAGAATCATCTCTACTCTTAATCTTTAGATTCTTTTAAATTTTGAATAAAAAATGTTATATCTTGAATTAATATATTTATGACTGTTATAATAAATACCTGTCTGACCAAAAACCTTTACTTATTTTTTATAAACAAAGATCGATAAAATAAAATTATTAATTCTTTTCTTAAAAAATTCACAATTTCTTCATATTAAAATTATTCTAATTAGTTTTTAAATTCAATTTGATAAAATAGAAAATAAAAAATTGAAAAAATTTTCCGTGACAAGAATCTTTTACAATTCTGCTTTCTATTGATGAACAATTGATTAATTATTGGGACGCAACACTTTCTTTCGAACAAGGCACTCTAGATTCAATGATAGTCTCGGAGTCAATGAAAAGGAAAACTTCATAAAAAGCAGACTGTTCATTTCTCAACAATGTAGTCATGTCTGTGAAGGAGAAAGGATAAAGACCTTAACATTGAGAAACATCAAGGGCATTTTTACGCGGCAATTCAAGTGTCATTTATTTATTAAAAAATTTTAATATCGCTTTCATAACGAAATAGTTTTTCTTTTTGAATAAATTAACACTTCCAATTTCTCCATAAATTAACGCTTTCAATTCTGTTTTGATCAACAATATCTTAAAGGTATCAGAATATTATCATAATCATGTCGTCAATTAGTGTCAAATATTTTCGTCAATTCTAATTTTTCTTTATTTCACTTTTTTTTATTTCAAAAGAGAAAATTACTGTTTTTTCTAATAGATTGCTTTTTATTACTCTATTACCTATTACGTTACCAAGAAATTTTTTAAACAAAGTAAAAAAAAATTTCATAATGATTTCGAATATATGTGTCATTTTAAGCAAATTAAATTTTACGAAACCTATAATATTTTTTACGAATTTTTATTTACTTTTGAATTGAAATTTTTTATTTCTTTTCTCAAACAAAGGATCGTAAAATAAAATTTTTTTTTAATATGAAAAATGAAATTCATTTTGTTTCTTAATTTAAATATTTTACAATAAATAATAAACTTTTTATGAAATTTTCTTTTTTACAAGAATTTTAACTTTTTTAAAAATCATAAATTTTCTTTAAATCTGGTAAAAAATTATTTTGATTCGTTTATTCGTGAATTAGAAAAACATATGTTCGCTTTTATAAAATTAGAAATTAAATAAAAATAATTTGAAAAATAAACTCACCAAATTAGAAATTTTTGTTCAGCAAAACTTTCTTGTCGTCAATATTTAAATCCATTGACTTTCGATTTCTTGTAGAAAAAAACTTTTTGTTTCGAATTATTCCTTTTATAATCACAGACACATTTTTCTTAAACATTCCACTTTTTTGACCTGATAAAATTGTTGGATAATTTAATTGGCCTTTGTTTAATTTCTTGTTCCCGCGAAATTTTGCAGTGTTTACGTCGAGATTAATTGTGAGCCGGTGAAATTTTTGATTTCTTTATATGGGCCATGTGAATAGAGCACCGCGAGATGCGGTTGACTACTGATGAGAACATGAAACACCAGCATCCAAGACACTCTCTTCCTTGTCATGTCTTCTCCTCACTCTCACCTGCTGGACCAGGTCTCATAATTAATTTCCCATTCAAGAAAAAATCCTTCTCCTATTCCTTCACGTAAATGAAGAAAAAAGTGTCCTTCGTGGCCTGAATTAATTATTTTCACAAGTCGCTTGATATACCTAAAAAACAGAGAAATTCAATTAAAAGAAATAATAAATTGTATTTACTTCTTTACATATATATTTTACTTTTACCTGTACCACTTTTTTCTTCACCGCGCAGCTTACTTTCCCTTTTTTGACTTGCCATAACACTTCAAATTTATTTCCAATTTCACGCAAGAAAGCTTCAAAATTCAAGACGAATTAATTCCATTTTATAGCTTCAAAAAGTTAGTCTGAAAAACACTCATTCAGTAAATTAGTAAAATATATTTAAACTTTTACAAATTCGTTTAAAAAATAGCTTGAATTCTAAAATGATAAATTAAAAATTATTTTTTACATTAAAGAAAATTTTAACAAGAAGAAGAAAATAATAAATAATAATAATAATAATTTATAATAATGTCAAATTAATCGGTTGTTTACGATATAAATAAGTTTAATAAACTTTTACGAGATGGTGAACGAAAGCGAAACACTTTCACATGATTGTTCCTCTCTAGGTCATGGAAGATCTGTCTGTAGTAATCTTCTTATGCGTTCTTTTTTCTTTTCTTTAAAAAATATATTAAACAATTATCTTGAAATTTTTTTTTCTATACCTGAGGTAATAATCGTCAAAAATAAAAATAAACCTTTTTTTTTCTTCTCAGAAGAGGGGAAAATAATTGTATTCCATTTCTTCGGCATTCGACCTTGGAATAAAAAAGGCTAAGCACTACTCTCACTTAGTTGGTTGCGTTGAAATTTCTCCATCTTTAATTTACGTATTTGAACTCCAAATACAAAAATTATTCACGACAAACACCGCATAATAATAAATACTTTAAATAAATTTTTGCAAGTGAAAAGACATATTTTACATATATTTCACATTATCGATAACAAATAATTAATTTTTTCTTAATCAAACTATTTTAAACCAATTTTTTTTTAGAATTTATTATTCTATTTCATCAATTAAAATTAGTTTTAATTTCTAATTATAAATTTTAATAAATAAAATTACAGATTAGAATTTTTGTTTTAAATTTTCTTTTTTTTATTACAAAATAGTAAAAAAGGCATTGACTTTTATTTGATGAAATAAAGGCAATTAAATTGCTTGAAATTACTTGGATTGATTGGCTGCTCTTTTCTCGGCAAAAAACTTGGCCATACTTCCAATAACGGATCCAAAGGCTGTATTAATTGCCACTGTGCGTTGAATCCAGCCGGGAAGTGCGCTAATTTTATTTGAATAACGTTTATCCAATAAAATAACAGTTGAGTAATCTCTACTGTGCCTAACAGCGCGGCCAATACATTGATTAACAGCTTTCATGCACGAATTTTCGTAAAAAATATTTCCAGCTCCTGGTTTCTGAGAATTTTTCCGTAAATATTTTAAATTAAATTCAAATAAGATATACAAAAAGGTACAAATTTAAAATTAATAAAATTAATAAAATAAAATAGAAGGTTCAGTGACACAAAATAAATTAATATACAGTCATCTCTCGATAATTAAATTTTCGATAAATTAATTTCTCGCTAAATTGAAGATGATTTTGAGTTTCTGGAAAAGAATTTGATATTAAAAACACTCGATAAATAAAACCTTCGATAATTTGAATTTTTTATGCCCTTAAGTTCCGATTGATCGAGAGTCAACTGTATATCTATAAATTAAATTAACAATAAATGAAATTATACCTAGTAGCAGGAAAATAAAATAAAGAATTTAATTTTAGAAAATCTTACCACACTTTCATTCAAATATTTCATCTTCTCTTGAAGTTCGGGTGATTTGATATTGGGATAAGGCATTCCCACAACAATGATACACCTTCCCAGATCATCAGAAAAATTCAAACCCTCGCTTAGTTTACCGCCTGCAAATAACAATTAAGAAATAAATATTTAAAAAATGTTTTTAAATTCTAGTCGTTCTATAAAAAACCTAACATTCATTTATATTTTATTAAATCGATTTATTTATTTTTGTGAGTAAATAATTCAACAAAATTTAATGAAAAAATAATTTACCAACAACGCTGAATAATAGTGAACCATTTTGTGGTTTCACAGGATTTTTTACAGCTTGTGCATACTTTTCCAAAACTTGATTCACCTGTGATGTTAATTTTGGCTCACGAAATATACACTTTTTAGAGCCAAGTTTCGCCAAAACTCCGGAATTCTCTAAATATTTGTACAATAATTCTTCGTAACTATAGGAAGGCAGAAATACAACAATTCCAGCCGGAACAATATTGCAAATATTTTGCAAAGTGCGTCCCAATTCACTCAACTGAAAAAATTTTTATTTTTTTTGTACTTCTTTTTAATTGTGAATAAAATTGAATTAAGAATATTTTACAATATAATTTTCTGATATTCTACACGGAGAGAAAAATCAATCGTTTATAGCATAAATGCTTTGTATATTTAGAAATTTTTAATTTGTTTTAAATTTCTTTTTAGATTCATTTTTCATTAATTAGAGTAGAGAAATAATACTTTGTAATGTAAATATTACAAATTGCTTTTTAGTGATTTTTTTTACAAAGTGTTAAAAAAATACCATTTTATCATTTCCTCGATTTTGATAATTAAATTCAAATTCAATTCCAGTGGGTCCTTTAGTAACAACATTCGTGAGAATATTTTCCTTTGGAATTACATGATCACACGAAAAAGTCATTATTCTTTCGGGATTCGCACCAGCACCAATAAATAATTGTTCCTTAAATTCTGACATTGGTTCCATTGTGCCGCCAGCTAAAACTACAGCTCTTGCTTCTTGCACTGCAAATATGTTATTTTTTTTAAATTTGTAATTAGTTGTAACGATTCTCTCTTAAAAGAATATTCTAAAAAATTTAAATTAATTTATATTAAATAAAAAAATAATATTAATAAATTATATCTGCAGCAGATTTGTTTGCATTAATTTGTTCCTTTGTGAAATTAATCAGTTATTGTCATTAATTTCTAAATTGAAATTGTTTGGCTAAAAAATTTAACATTTTTTCATTTTCTTTGCTTTATTTCAAAATCACTTTAACACATAATTGTTTTATTAACATTAAAATGACTTTTTTCTTATGAAACCTACAGTTGTTGAAGTTATTTAAAGAATGTTAATGTTTTCTAAAAACATTATACAAATTAAATTTTTAAAAAATGATTAAGTTTCCGATTGGAATTTTTTTATAAAAATTCCATAGAATACTTTTTGAAAAACTTTTTTAGATGTACTTGAGCGATAGCTTCAAAAAATTTTAAAGACTTTAAATAATAAAGTTATATAAATAAAAAATTGAATTTAAATTATTGCTTTAGTTATGTTTTTATAATAATTTCTCTAAACAGGTAAAAGTCATTTTAAACAAAAGTTCTTTAAGGTAAAAGCATCAGTACCTGGACACCTGGATCACTCTAATTCATAAAAAAATAATTTTTTTACAAAAGTGGAAATTGAAAACTTGCCATTAAAAAATAATTTACAACTTACCAATATCATGAAAATGAGCAGCGGGATTAAGAAGAAGAAATTTTAATGTTCCTTGACCAACAGTCGCGCCAGGAATAACAAACACTCGTCCGTCGGCATTTTTCGAGAGTAAATATTCCAAAAAACTATTGATGAAAATTAAAGGATTACTACTACTCTCGTCACTTTCTTTTTCATTTAATTTTCTATCAATTTCTTCAACGTCTTCCTTATCTTGTAATTTGTTTAAAAATGCCTTCACTCCCATTTCTTTTTTACTCACTGTATTTATTACCACTCCATTTTCATACTTATCTGCATAGCCTCGTAATTTGTGAATGAGTTTCGAATTTTTAATAAAGTCCAATAAATGAAATATATTTACAGTATCAAGTTCTGCAGCCATTTCAAAATCTCTTACTGTATAAAGTTTAGACATTGCTCCTTTGTCCGCACTGTCATTTGGTTGTGATTTAAAATTACCTCCCAACATTTTCAGAAGTTTTTTTAAACAAAAAGTCAGTTGTGTTAAGTACATTACACTTTTAGCGGAAAAAAGTGCCTGAAATCTGTAGAAAAAAGAAAAAAAAACGATTACAATGAATGAAAAAAATAATTTTTATTTAAAAATAACTATTTACCTTTTTTGATATTGAGAAACTTGATTGTAACAGTGGAAAATATGTCTTCCTGTGATAGTAATGCTGTGCATTCTTTCAATTGCCTCTAAAAGATTGTGAGCTTCGTCGATTATAAGAATATTATTTTTCAAATTTATCCCCGAACTGTCTCGAGTATTTTTATGTAAAATTGAATTGTATGGAACTAAAATTATTTGTCCGTCTTCAACAGATTTTCTTGACGCGTAATAGGAACAAGTATTTATTTCTTCGCCTTTACTTGCAATTTCCTCGACATCTTGTATATTAGTTAAAATTTCCGCCAGTAATAATTCCTGATCACCAGGTTTGAATGGACAACCACTTGTTGATTTCATCTTTTTCAAAGTCTTCTCCTTTTTTGAAGTTGTTTTTCTCCTTTGGAATTGCAGACACTGATCATTAATCATATTAACGTTACGAAGTTTCTTCACGAATTTATTAATACAATAATTTTGTCTGAAAAAAAAAGATTTTTTTTTATAAACTTTTAGATGTTTCGAATTTCCTAAAATAAATGTTTTTTCTTTAAAAATTAAATATCAATTTCTTGAAATAATAATTATTTTTCTTACTTATTTCCAAATAAAAAAAAGTTACCTTGAAGCGAGAGGAACAACTGAAACACTTTCGGAATAAGGGCTGCTTTTTAATTCACCGACAAATTGCGAAAGTTGTGAATGAGTTCTCGAGCAAAAGAATATTTTACAATTTTTATATAATTCTAAAGATTCATCCTCGTCGGATGCATCAGATTCTGAGTTCGCTTCATTTAGAAGTAGATCTTGATCATTAATATCTTCAATTGGATTTTCTTTGTCATCGGTTTTGAGATTTTCTTTCTCTGCATTTACAGGAATTTTTGATTTAACATAAGGCTTCTTTGTCTTCTTTTCCTGCTTTAAACGTTGTTTCAATTTATTTTTCTTTTCATCAAATTTTACCATAGCGTCTAATTTTGCCTGCAAAAGTTGTCTTTCATTTGTCAAGCGTAATTGTTGTGTTTGAAGTGAAAACCAATCGTCGCCGCATTCTTTCGTGAGTTCATCAATCTTATCATTTATTTCTTTTATTTTTGTTATTAAATTATTTTTCTCATGTAATTCGTGATCTAAAAGCCATTTAACTGCACCGCAAATTATTGAGAGTGACTTTCCAGTACCAGTGGGACTTTCGAAAATTCCCAAATTACTGTTCTCCAGACATTGATAAAGTTGTTTCATAAATTGATTCTGAATTGGATATGGTGGAAAAGGAAATGGAAAATTTTCAGGGGTTTCCATGTTTAAAATATATAGAAAATTATAAATCTGAAAAATAACAATAAATTATGTAAGAGATACACTGTAAAAAAGCCCAATGTAAATTTACAACGTGTAACGTTGGAAACTTTTCGCTTCACGTATGACGTAGTACTATTACAGCCCAAATGTTAACTTACTTACCGTTCGTAACATAACCTCTCTTATGTGATTTCGCATCAAATTGTAAATCGACCACTCGTCGGTAATTTTACATAATAATTTCGCTGCATTTTAAAATTATTCTTTTTTATATTTATTTTGTATTACATAAAGGTTAAATTATAAAAAGGAAATAAAGGAAAAATGTAAGAAATAAATAAATATATTAAATATTTATAATATACAAATCACATTTGTAGCTTTTTTGTCATTTGTACAAAGTTAACGAATTCCCCAACAGAACAGGAAAAACAGATACTTTTTCCACTTTAATTTTAAAAAAATACGAGCTGCTTAAGCAATAGAGTCCATGAAGATATTCTGAAAAATTTTTTTATGTTTGAAAATTATTTTCATACAGAAAATTCACACAGTTGAATAAAATTTTTTAAGTATAAAAAATCATTAAAAACGTGTCTCTTTTTAGGTTAAAAGACATTACCTTATTAACTTTGATATATATGAAAAATTAAAAAGAAATCTTTCAAATTTAAGAAATGAAAAATGTTAAGAATTTGAACTTACCTTTACAAATTTCCTTTAATCTTTAAATTCTTAAAATTGTCGAAATTTTAATAAATTAAAATTAAAATATTAACGTTTGCCTATGCGCATAGTTTCTTATATGCCACTTCATCGTCACGCAGTGTAGAAAAACATTCGGGCAAAAAATATCATATTCGAATGTATACTTACAGACAGCTACATAATTCTACATACTGTCGGTAAAACTATCAGCTGTAAGTTACTTAACACACGAAAATATTTTTACGGTTGGGTTGCTAACATACAACGTTATACGTGAAGCGAAAAGTTTCCAATGTATCACGAAATGATTAAACATTCGGGATGTACATTTACTAACGCGTGACACATTTACAACGATAAGCGTAATAATTTTACTTTTTAATTGTGAAAATACTATATGGGTGTTAAATTATTACGTGTACCGTAGTAAAATTACAAACTGGAAAATTTAAAATTAACGACCCGATTGTAATTCAACATTGGTCTTTTTTACAGTGTATAAACAAAACTTAACAAACATAACCTAAATATTGTTAATTATGTATGTAATTAAATATTTCTGTAAGTATACAGAGTAGTTTTTTTTTTATTTAAAAGTTGAAATAATTTCTGAATTAATTAGTAAATCATTTGTTTATTTACCTTTGATTTTGATACTATTTTTATATAATTTGTTTTTCACGTAAATTTCTCCCGCCAAAGGAACAGAATACCGGTTGAGGAAAAACATCGAAATTAATCATTTTAACTACATATAAATTATAAATCTTATCAGTATTATTTATAGAAATTGTATTTTTGGCATTGTCACTTTAAAATACGTAATAATTAATTTATTTAAACAAATATTTACTTATTTTAAATTAGAAAATCAACAGATGAAAAGTTTCAATGTCAATTTTATGTCATCTTAAATTCCTAACCTTAAAACCTATATTTTGGGTTCTATTTTCTTTATCCACCTTTATCATAATAATTTTATTAGAAATAAACAAAAAGTTATAAATTTTTTATCAGAAAGTCTAATTCATACACAAAACAAGGTGTGAAAATATTGAATAATTCAATAATTTCATTAATAATTTATTTGATTAATTTGAATTTACCGCAAATTAAAGTTTCTTTCAGCGCCACCTTCATATTCAAAGGACAGTAACGTACCTATGAAAAATAATCTAGTGTTCCAAAAATTCCAAAAATAATAATTACGATTCTTTCAATTCTAATGAAAATAAAAATTAAAATTTTAATGTTTCGTACAAAAAAGTATAATATGCACTTCTGGTTTCAAAATTTTTGAATGAATTAGATTTTTATGTAATAAAGATAGAAAAATGTTGCTTTTTAAGTTTGTTTAAAACTTATGAATACGCTCCTTTCATATGTTTAAAGTGCATTAGTAGTAGTAGAGCAGTATTTAGGCAGACGTTTATATTTGACCTTATATTGTTACTTTGTGTGAGTCAGTGTCTTCTATCTGTCATCTCTAACAAAACATCAACTTTGTTATCTCTAAATTTTTTAATTTTCTTACCTAATTTTAATTTTCCTGACGGAAATCATGATTCGTGTTTCAAGCGTACTTACGTCTGCAACTAAAAATCTTAACAAATTTTTAATTAGCGGATCTGTAAGGTAAGATTTCCAGAAATTCCTTAAAATATGCTTACTCCTAACAGACTTGTTGCTTTTACAGTACATCTTATTCTTCAATTGTTAAATTAATACCTTTCTTTATAATTGAAATTGCAAGAAAAAGCCATTTAACATTGTTAACAATGTTTGAAATTGACATGAATTTGATAATTCATTGTTTCTCAATTGTCTGCCACTTTTCATATAATGACTTGTCAGATTTCTTTTCTTGATACAAATGAATATGTCCTTTAAAAATGTATTCCTTAATTTTTGTAGGTAACCTTATTTCTTTTTAATAGAGATGTTTTGTCTTTATTTTCTTCCATATTTTTCAATAAAAAATAGTTTTAAAATAATTTCTAGAAATCGTTTTCAATTTTTTCGCAAATTGCGAATTAAAATATCTATGGACTTTGACCTCCTTATGTATTTCGATAATTTTTCTCTAGTTTTCTAATCTTATTACTTTATCGACATAACGAAATCTATTTTTATTTTTTTATTCATCGAAGATAAGAATCAGTTGTTTATTTCAAAATAGATTTATATTTTGTTAATGATATTTTTGCTATTGAAAATTTATATTAAGGAATTAATTAATTATTGAAATTAGAATCATTAGATTTGAATTTCGTTTGCTATTTATTTGTCAAGAATAAAGTATGAAATTATTACATTTGAGAGAGGAAATAGAAAATAATTGAATTTTAAATTAAACAGATGCCTTGCAACGCAATCGGTGCCAAAGGCTGTGAAAAGCGACAAGGCAGAAGCGTCAAAAAAAGAATCTCAATCCTTCACGATGAATTTATTTCGAGGTCAATTACAAACATCGCAAGTATTTCCCTATCCGGAACCACTGACTGAAGATCAAGTTGAAACATTGAAAATGTTTATCGATCCCGTTGAAAAATTTTTCGAGGTAATTAATATTTTTCTTTTGAAAAATTAATTTGAAAATTAAATTTTTTAGTAAAATTTTAAGAGAATAGTATTCTATTAATTTTGCTTTTTACAGGAGGTCAATGACCCTGTTGCTAATGATAATAATTCATCGATTGATGAAAAAACAATGAAAGCTCTTTGGGAAATTGGAGCTTTTGGTCTTCAGGTGCCACAGGAATTTAATGGACTTGCTCTCAATAATACTCAATATTGTCGTTGTGTTGAAATTGTTGGTCAACACGATCTTGGAGTTGGAATCACATTGGGATCTCATCAAAGTATAGGTTTTAAGGTTAATAAAATAATTTTAATTTACAAAATTTGAGAATATTTTCTACACTTTTTTTTTTATTTTGCACACTTTGTTATTTATTTATTCTCGTAGGCAATTCTTCTCTTCGGAACACCGGAGCAAAAGGCCAAATATCTACCGAGAGTTTGTGCTGGAGACTTTGCAGCTTTCTGCCTGACTGAACCAAGTTGTGGTTCCGATGCTGGTGCTATTAAATCTCGAGCTGTGAAATCAATAGACGGAAAGCATTATATTCTCAATGGAAGTAAAATTTGGATTTCAAACGGTGGCCTAGCGAACATTATGACAGTATTTGCCAAGACACCAATGAAAGACCCAGTGAGTGGCGAGGAAAAGGAAAAAGTTACCGCGTTTATAGTGGAACGTGGTTTTGGTGGTGTAACTTCTGGACCACCGGAAGACAAAATGGGAATTAAATGCAGCAATACAACGGAAATTTTCTTCGATGATGTGAAAATTCCAGTCGAAAATGTTTTGGTCAAAGAAGGCGAAGGTTTCAAGGTGAATTTTTGCAATTTTTGATTTACACAAAAATTCCTACTTTTTATCAAATTGGATTTTTTTCTATTCCTTTTAGGTTGCTATGAATGTTTTGAATAACGGAAGATTTGGAATGGCTGCTTGTTTATCAGGAACGCAAATGGTTTGCATAAAAAAAGCCGTGGAACACGCGACAAATCGTGTGCAATTTGGTAAGACAATCGATAACTATGGATCGATTCAGGAGAAACTCGCGAGAATGTCAATTTTACAATACGTTACTCAATCTCTCGCCTATATGATCTCGGGAAATATGGACCAGGGTAGTCAGGATTATCATTTGGAAGCTGCCGTTTCAAAAGTAAATGTTTGGAAAATTTTCAATCCTAGTTTTTCTTTTTTTGAAATATTTAATGTATTTAACTGTTTCTTCCAGGTATTCGCATCCGATGCTGCCTGGTGGGTTTGCGACGAAGCAATTCAAATTCTCGGTGGAATGGGCTACATGAAATCTGCCGGATTAGAAAAACTAATGAGAGATTTGCGTATATTTAGAATTTTCGAAGGTACTAATGATATTCTTCGTCTTTTTATCGCTTTGACTGGTATTCAGTATGCAGGAGGTCATCTGAAGGAGCTGCAGAAAGCGTTTAAAAATCCAACGGCTAATTTAGGTTTAATTTTTGAAGAAGCTGCGAAAAGAGCAACAAGAGCTGTGGGTCTAAGTAGTTTACCCAATTTCACTCATTTAGTCCATCCGAGTTTATCCGATAGTGCCGCACTTTGTGCAAAGGTAAAGTCTCCTCAATTTTTTAATTAATTTCTTTTTTATTTGACAAATTATGTCCATAATTTATTTATTTTTACAATTTTCAGAGTATAGAATCGTTCGGTCAAACGATAGAATCCTCTCTTATCAAGTACGGAAAGGGAATAGTTGATGAGCAATTTATTTTGAATAGAATAGCACAAGCTGCGATTGATACTTACACGATGTCAGTGGTATTGAGTCGAGCAAGTATGTCTGCGCGTAAAAATTTACCGAGCGCACAACATGAAATTTTAATGACCCAAACTTGGTGTACTGAGGTGAGAATACTTTTTTCTTATTAACGAATTTAATTTTTTTTATTATAAAATTTAAAAAATTATTAATTACAATTTTACTTTGTTCTTTTGAAATGATAGGCATCGAGTCGAGTTGCTTACAATTTGAAAATCATCAACAGTGGCAAGCATTTGGATGTTTTCAATAAATTAGGAAAAATCTCAAAGAATGTTTGTGAGAAAGGCGGAATTGCGCACACAAATCCTCTTAATTTTTAAATCTAATTAAATAACTAATTTTAAATTTTTAACTCGTCCGGTACGAAAGAGAAACTACGTTAAATTAAATTTAAATATAAACAGTTCTTTACTAAATAGAGAAAAAAGAAAACTATTTTTTACAATTTTTCTTATCGAACGACAAAAATTTGTAATTTTACATACAATGAATTAGAGTAATGAAATTAATTATGAATTAAGATAATTGTTGAATAGAAAGTATTTGTATATATTATATTTTTAAAGATCAACGTTGATTATCTTTAATATTTTTTACCTTTTCTTTTAAATTCGAAATGATATTATATAGGAAACTAATTCAAAAAATATATTTTTAAATTATACACTTATACAATGTTTGTAAATAAAAAAATTCTGTAACTGAATTTCGAAATCTTTATTTTTTTTCTTTTCTTACTTATTTCCAATCACAGAATACTAAAATAAATGTTTACATAATTGATCATCACATGGTTTTAAAAGACGTTTTGTTTTTTACAGCTCTTTTTTTTTATTAAAGTGAGTTTAGAGAATATTACACAGACTGACTGCAATTTAAAGAGAGTATAATATTAACATTCTTTTCAGTTTTCTTTTTTAGCGATTTATTTATATTGCAGTTTGTCTGAAAATTCAATCATACTAAGAAGAAAAAAATAATGATAACAGCAGAATTTAAACAGCTTTTACATATTTTTCATCGACATGGAAGCACACGAAATATCTATATAAATGTCTCTTCACTTTATTTTATTTTTTTTTAAATTCACAGAGAAATGACTAATCATGCAGAAACATCAAGTAAATAGCGATTAAATAAGTTAATTTCAAGTCAAGTTTGAGACACAAATTACATTTTACGTATTTCGAATATTTGTCTTGTTACAAATTCAAAATAATCATATAAAAAGAATATTAAAAAAAAATTGGAAAATAAGTAAATTAAAAGTTTTCGAAAAAATTAATGAAAACATTTTTAGAAAAAGACACTACAAAAATCTCATTTCAATGAAACTAATTTAACATCCTAATAATTAGGTAGATATAACATTCAATTTTAATAAACTAATTTGTCTTTTTTGAAAATACTTTTCGGTTAAAAACTTTTAAATAATTCTAAAATATCATAACAAACAGAAAAGAATATAAATTCCCAATTATATACCTATAATTATTAAAATACTTTCCACTGACAGAAAATTAATAAACGTGTACAAAAATTAGATAAAGATTATTAATTATTTTAATAATTCAGGATTAAAATAGTAATTAATAATGAAAAGAATTAATTATTGTCAATTAATTACATAATGATTGTTAATTAATTAATAATTTATAACTACATATCTGTTTCTCAAACTTTAACTTGCAATGAACACATGACGTGTTAAAACGACAATTCTCCAAATATAGCGATATATAATAATTATATCATAAAAGTAGTATGAAAAGTTTCTCATTCTTCCTACATGTAGAGACAATGATAATCAAATGTCTATCCGTTTTAACAATTATTCAGACAATGATTGCATTCCACAATTTTTTTTCAGAAAAATATAACAATTTCTTTTTTTTTTTAATTTGGTTACTCCAGGTGTGTAAGCTAAAAATAGTTTTCCTTGGCAGAGCTGAATCTGAGAAAAGAAAAATAACTTCTTTTTTCTCTCAAAACATAATATATTACTATTGATATAAAATAATATATTATTTAATATATTATGCCTCAATTACCAGTTAATTATCAATTATGATCATTAATAATAATTTAATAACTATGTCAATAATTATCATTACAATTATTATTTGTATTATTTAATTATCAGTTCAATAGCAGTTAATTATATTTACAATTGTCACCTCTAATGACTTGAAAATATAATATGATATTGTTATTATTAATAATTTATATATAATTAATTAAGTATTTATATTATACTTGACGTGTATTCTTTAGCTTCCTAACCTTACAAAAAAATAGTTTTGAATTTGATTCAGCACTGCTTTTCTTTTTATCTAAAAACAACATTTCTTTGAAAGCTTTTACAACCCTGGTTTCCCTGAATGTGAATGCCTTTAAGGTGGTTTACCTGCGACAGTCTCTTTGAGTTTAAATTAAATGTCAACATAATGATATTAAATTTGGTTTTTCACTTCTATTATTAATTAGATATTAAAATTTTCTGAAAATGAAAATCAAATAAAGAAAATTTTCGATATTATTATTATTTTTTTAACAAAGACTGTAGACGATGAACAACCTTAAATAATTATGATATCAGCAAAAGTACAAATATATTATAAAATGAAAAAATTGAACTGTAATTCTTTTGTTATTTTATGTACATACAGAAACGACAAAGAAAAACTAGAATCGTATAACTAATAATCACATTAAAAGAAAAAAATGTTTCATCTCACAATAATTATTATAGATTACCTATGTATATGAAAAAAATATTAATAAATTATTAAAGAATAATGTTTCTATTCAAGATGGAGACGTTTTTAAAAATTTTCATGAAATTTCTTTTTTTTTTTTACTTTCGTTGCGCATAAATTTTATTTTTTTCACGTTTTGTAAATTAATTCGTTTGCTCTCATCTTAAATTTCTACACCTTTTAAAGGGTAAATATATATATAATTAATTTTTCAAATTTACTTTCTTAGAGATGATTGAAATATCCAAAATCTAGATTATAAATGAATTCTATTTTATAGTTGTTTTTCTTACTAAAACTACGTAATTTTAAAGATTCCTTTTTTCTTTGAGCATTTGGCCCATACTTGAGAAGTAGTTTTTTTATGTTAAAATTGGAAACAATCACAGTAAGTATTCCGCCAGAATAAATAACATTTCCATATATTATTATAATTCCAATAAGAAGCTCAACACATTGAATCTTCTATGGAAGTAATTTTTGATTTTCATAGAAATAGGAGAGAATTCGAAATATTGTGCGATTAATGTAAAATTAAATTTAAAAGTTACTGCTAATTCTTGTTCCTGTTCGGCAAAAGAAATTGTTCTCATTTTTTGGAACTTGGCCTATTTCTATGATATCAGCATTATTCAAAGTTCTTTCCTCTCCTTGAACGTTGAGCTTAACTAATAAATATTAAATCAGTCTGTACTGCTTTGTTTTTTCTATTATCAATTAAAAGAAATGAAAGGACGCAACTAATCAAGCTACTTATAATAGCTGCTTGAAAAATAAGTAATTTTTTTGGGTTTAACGCTAACATAAGTTTTCATTCAATTAATCAAATAATCAATAAAAAAATGTCACTACCTGGAGTAACTGAGATGATTGGGTAGGCCTAACCCTGAGCTATGGAGAGGTTTTTAAACATCGTTCCATTCCAAGCTACAGCGATGCAGTAATGCTGCAATAGTTGAGTCAGCAATTCCCTTTCATCCAAAAGTTCTATTCGCTCGATTCGAATTCGCTCACTTTCTGGCAAAGAATCATAAACCTCAACCATCGTCCAAGAATTCGATCCTTCCCATCCGTTTACTGTGAACCTGATGAGACAAAAATTATTAATATAAAGAAAAGAAAATATTAAATAATTTCCTTACCGTCTTTGTTGTGTTTCCAAAGATTCGCAATCTTCAACTCCAGCCAAAAGACAACCACGACTACGTAAATTAGAGAGCATAACTTGTCCAAATTTATCTCGCATATTTACTTGCTCGTAGTTAATAAAAAGACTATTTGGGAACTTTCCAGCAAACCATTGTAAAAGTGACGACGCCGAATTTGTTTCTATATAAACAAGAACACATTCAGCGAGGAACAAAGTTGGCAAATTGAAATTCACCTCGGCCTGTGACAATTTATTCGCCAAATCCGAAGTATGACGCAAATCTACGCCAACTAAATGGTAATTAGCTGCGTGCAATTCTGTCGAGGAAAATCTTATTTCTCCATCTGAAAATTTTTATCATTTTCAAAAACAAATTTATCTTTTTGAAATAAAAAAAGCAAGACACGAAAATATTTTACCTTCTGTATTAAGCCTATCTATCAATTGCTTCTGCTTTTTAATGTGATAACATTTTTTCGCAGTAATATTGGAAAAATCTAGTTCTATAAAATTCACTGGACTATTTCCAGCATCTTTGAGTTTCCAATAAAGAGTGTCAAAACCTGCGCCGAGATTTATAATTTGACCTTTTCCACCGGATAACTGCAAACAAAATTTCATTTTTAGTCAATAACAAAAAGAACAATTATTAATATTAATAACTATAATAATCCTATAATTCATTCTTTCATTCTGTCCACACCTGAAGTTAGTTTTTGTGTATTCTTTTGTTTTTTTTCTTTAAAAAAAATTTGTTTTGACAAATCGAAAATATGCAGGTATTTTTTCATGATTCATAATAAAATATTAGAAATTAGAAAAATTTAGAAAAAATGATGATTAACAAATGAAAAATTTACTCATTTTGTTTATTATATTGCTTTTTTTTAATAACAAATTTCGTTTGACTGATCTAAATTATGCAAATTTTTCTCTTGTTTATTTATAAAAAATAGAAAATTTGTTACAAAATTATGATTAAGAAATAGTAAATAAATACCCATTTTATGCATAATTTTTATTTCTCAATAACAATATTGTTCACAAACTCATTCTTTTATTTTGGGAAAAAAAACATTACATATTCCCGTTTCTTAATGTTTTTGTAGAAAATTTTCAATTTTCATAAGGGAACAATTTACATCATTTCTATTTCTTAATTATAATTGTTTTCATAAAATTCAAAGTTTTTTAAAAATAAAGGAAAAGAATGTTTATAAATTCTATTTGTCAATTACGAATTTTCATTTTCAATGAAAATTTTTGAATTTTTAGAAAATAATTGAATTATTGCGAAGCAATTTATAAAAAATTGTAAATAATTGAATTCCTGTGGAATTTTTATTATTTTTGACAATAATTAAATTTTTGTGTACGATTTTATTAAAGTAGTAGATATTGAAAATAATTGAAATTAGGACAAGAATTTTATTGTCATTTTTGAAAATAATTGAACTTTGAGGAAAAATTTTTTATTTACAAAAATAATTGGGATTTTGACGAGAATCTTTTTTAATTTTAAACATAATTGAATTTTATGAGAAGAATTTTATTACTTTTGAAAATAATTGAATTTATGCAATAAATTATTTGCAATTTCTCCAAAATTGAATTATTTTAGTGTTTTCAACAAAAATTTGAATTTAAAATTTTTAAATTCTATTATTTTTAAAATTGATTAAAATAACTTCATAAATGTAACAATCAACTCATTGTTACTATTATCAGAAAAATAACTTTTGTCATAAAAATGAACTATCGACTCTTTCTTAGATTAACACAACCGCAACTAATTTAACTTTTCTTAATTAAAGAAATGTAAATAATTACACAGTCAATTAATCTAACGTTAACAATTAAAACTACTTGATTTGGTTACATTAATAACGAAACTAAGGAAATAAACAAACGAAAATTCGTTGCATCAATATAAATGCAACGCAAAAACAAGAAAGGAAAACTCTTTGTCGGCGAACAAAGTTGGGAAGTATTTATTTATTTACAATCATTGAATAAAAAAGAAGAAAAACATATTTCACTGACTAGAAACACGAGTTTGACCTATATCGAGAATCTACAATAAAGGAAGATCTCAACGTGAAAATAGGGCAGGGCCAGGTCAAGGTTCCAAGTAGATCAGCTGTAGCCGTGAAAGCTCATTTTCGAGGTTATGCTTAATCCTCTCATATACATATAGATTTGCATTTATAAACATCTGAAAGCAGGGTCACTCACCTTTAAAAATTTATCAATAAACACTTCAACACCCTTGACTCTGGCATAATATCCACGATTAATTTCTGGTGTCTTCTTGTTGGTGTGCTTGACGAAATAATTTATAAATGGATCCGACCAATATCCACATTGAACCGCATATTTTTTACATTCACTTGCATCATCATTTGTTGCCTGTACGGCCTCATCATTCGCCATTTCTTTAATCATGACGCTTTTTCGTTTTCTGTGTTTTTTTTTGTTTGTTTATCAATTACACTTATACATTATTTCACGTTTTTTTTAATTCACTCCAAAATTACTGCAAACAGCGCGAGCGGCCATTGTATATTTTCCACGCAGGTCCGTACTCCGTACATGAAATATTTTCCACAAGGGGGGAAAACACCCCTTTTAAAGAAATTACAAACTTTGCTTTTAATAATGCTGATTGTTTAGTTTAAACATTACTTTTGTAAATGTTGATTTGTTGATACTTTAATTACCTTGTTTTTTTTAAATATTTATTTTACATTGAAACTAAATTTACTAGCTGCGCAGAAAAGATTTTTGACCTTATGCGCATTGTTAGTCAAGTTCATTACTTATTTTCACAAATTTATTCATTTTTTATTAAACTTTTTATAATACTTTATTTAAATTTCTAGTACTACTATCACTTTTAATATTTATTTCAGTGATTTGATAAAGGATTTCTCTTACCAATGGGAAGTAATTGTTTGATATCTCTTACTTGACATTGTTATCTTTTGAAACGAAAGCGCGGTTTCAATTTAAACTTATTAAGAGAATGTTTATTTAAGTAATTCGTATTATTTATTTATATGCATTAAATATATTGAAATAATTAAAATGGTTTTCAAGAAATCTCAGTATTTGAAACAACTTGAGTAATTAATACTCTATAAATAACATTTTCCAAATTGTTAATATTTATTATCATAAAAAATGAAATATATATTTTAAAACGTGATATTCAATCTATTATTATGCAAATAACAAAATATTTTTTTTAAATATGAATTTTTGAATAATTTCAATTATTTTCATAAATAATAATATTCTTCGTAAGAATTCAATTATTTTTATAAATAGAAAAATTCTTTAAAAAAATTCAATTATTTATAAACAAAATCTTAACATTTCACGAACGAATTCAATTATTTTTAAAAATATTAATAAATCCTTCGAAACAATTCAATTATTTTTTTAAACAGTAAAATTTAAAAAAAAAATTCAATTACTTTCTAAAAAAATTCACGAAAGAATTCAATTATTTTCTTAATTCGTTACAAAATATTTTAAAAGTATTAAATTATTTTCTAACATTTTTATAAATTCTTCGAAAAAATTCAATTTTTTAAAAAAATTTTAATAATATTTTTCAAAAAAATTCAATTATTTTCTAAACTTTTAATACTTAAATCCTTCGAAATAATTCAATTATATTTATGAATAGTAAAATTCTTTGCAAAAATTCAATTATATTAAAATAAATTAAATATTTTTCTTAATTCGTTAAAAAAAATTTCAAAAGAATTTACTTTTATTTTCTGAAATTTTAATAAAATTCAATAATTAAATGTTGAATTTCAGTTATTAAAAAACACGATAATTTTAAAAACTTGAAAGAAGTTGTTCATGAAATTAAATTATTTTCAATATATTATTGAAAATAATTTATAGAAAAAAAAAATAACAATTCAAAAAAAGGAGCAAATTCAGATTAATAAAATAGATTTTTTTGTTATATTTACAAAATTATTTTGCTTTATTTCACAAATTACATTTTCGAAAAAGGCCATTGCTGTATTATTTTAGTTTCACAAAAATTTCAGATGTACATAATTATAATAAAAATAAGATATATATATTTTACTTTAAAAATCTTCATTAAGCGTAAAAATTAAATATTGAATTAAAAAGCTGATTATGTATTTTAAATACTCAACATAACAAAATCGTTGAAACTAGAATAAAAAAATTGATTAGGTACTCTGAAAAAATGAAAAAATAAAAATGAATAAAAATTGAGTATTAACAATGAGTAATTGAAAGTCAAATTCTTTAAAATTCACATTATAAAAATAACAACAAGAAGCAAATATACTAAACTAAAAGCAGTACAAATATACGCAATAGAAAAAAAACAAGGTATGATTTTGTTTGTATAAATAATTAAATGATACGTTTATGACTCTTGGATTGTTCTAAAAAAAATCGTAGCATTGTGTCATTGAAACGATAAGGTGCATAAAAAAATCTATCCGACTAGTTCAATTTTTCGCACAATGCTTTTTTTGAGAACAGGATTTTTTAAAATTCTTGCTGTTAATTTGAATTATTGTCAATATTTTGTTGATTATCACAGTTCCGTGTCAGATTTTTTGCTCGTGGTTCCTTTCGTCGTCGGAGTTGGTTTGACTTTTCGTTTGGGTGGCACGGGAACATCGGATGAACTACCCGGTGGAGGTGTTTCGGGAACAGATTTATCAGTCTCAAGTTGTGAGGATGACGACTTTTTGACAATTTTCTTTACCTTCTCTTTTGAACCATCGGCTTCTGTTGATTCCTTCTTTTTGACAACTTTCTTGACGACTTTTTTCGTCACTTTCTTTGTTGACGATTCACCAGTGTCGGCGGCGTCCTCTGATTCCTCAGTTGATTGTTTCTTAACAACTTTTTTTACAATTTTTTTCGTTGCTTTTGATTCTTCGTCATCGTTATTATCGGGATTGATTGGCGGACTTGTGGGTGGTGTTGCTTCAGTGACTGTCGGTGTGGGAGGAACTTTAATTTCTTTTGATCTGGTTGGACGTTCGGGTGTTTCGCTTTCGGTGGATTTTTCCATTGAGCTTGAAGTTGATGATGAGAGGGATTTTTTTCTCTCCTCGCGTGGCTTTTGAACTATACCGGAAATTTCGCTTGGCTTGCTTTGGGGAATTTGGACGGTTAATTTTGGTTCACATGATGGTAATAAAGGTTTCTCCATGGAACTTGATTTTCGACGTTCAAGTTTTGCTTCCTTGGGTTTTGCAGATTCGGGCGATTCTTTTTGCTTTTCTTTTGGTTCCTCTGGTTTGGTGCTTGTTTTCTCTTGTTCTGTTACCGGATTTGATTCGGATTTTTCCTCCTTTGGTGGTTGTGGCACTTCCGCTGTGGATTCTTTGCATTCCGCAGGGATTTCCGCTGCTTTTTGGACAACTTCTTTGACTTCTTGCTGAATTTGCACCAGAGATTCTGGAACAGTCGCAGCGGGTGATGCAATGGGTGTTAAAATTTCTGTTGGATGATCTGCACAACCATTTTCCATTTTTGGAACAATATCAGAACTTGGAGGACTAATTAGGGTCTCCGTAACGGCTAGAGCGGATTCCTGCACGACGGATACAATCGAGGAAATTGCTTCCTCGCCGACTGGTGATGTGACATGAGAAACGGATTCTTTAGGCTCGGCTTGTAAAACAGATTCGGCAACTTGAATCGGTACTGGTTTCTCTTGAACCGAAGTTTCCTGAGCTTCTGCTGGTTGAAGATCTGGAATTTGGCAAATGACCGGTTCCTTGGAAATTGTTTCCTGAGGAATGGCAAATTCTCTAATTTGTTGCTCAGCATTCACCACCGACTCCGGAACTTCCGATGGAATAATCGAAGTTTCTAAAAGTGGAACCACTGGAACTGATGTGGGAATCTGCTGAACTTGTTTCGAAATTGGCGCTGGATCCTCTTTCTTCTCGACGACAGGTTCAATAATTTGTGAAACAACGATTGGAACTGATTCTTGAATATCTGTGGTAATCGGCAATGATACGGCAGATGGTTCTTTCTGGTCTGTAGTTTCTTTTTCTTTTGTTGTTACAGCTGCATGAGAATGAAATTTTTTCATTAAAAAAAATTCGATATTTTTCAAAAATAAGTCAATTAAAATTGTGTAGATAGAGATTACAATATTTTTAGTAAAATTGTTTTATGAAGTATTAAAATGTATAATGATGAATGTTTCGATAATAATTAATAAATAAAAAATTAAGATACTTCTTTATTGCATAATATTAGTGACAAGCTTTGCGAAATTAGAATAATAAAGCATTAATAAAACTAAAAATCTGCCAGCTACTAAGTTTGTATAAACAGAATGCGTTTCCCTTTATTTTACGATAATGTTGATTAAATGATACGATTTCATGATTTTTGTATAATTAAGAATGATGATAGCCCAAAAATGTACATTTACAAAAAAATTTCGAAAATTTGATAATTTCATACCTATATACAATATTACAAATAAAGAATATATTTTTGGTGAAAAGTTTTTGTATCAGTGTCGAGAGAATTTATTTTCTAAACTAATCCGTGTCTAGTTCTTTTTTTTAATAAATATTTACCCCAATAAGCAAAATGACAATGCAATTCGCAGCAATGCTATGACATCAGGATCTGTTAGTTGCTCTTCTCTGCTCCTGTTTCAAAAATCCGAACACTCAAACTTATTAATCCATGTCACAAATTCACCATTGGAAAAAATACTTATTTTCAAAATTTGTTTTTATTTCTTCCTTTCTTCCTTTCTTTCATTCTTTTTTTTAAGAAATTAATTATTTAGGTACTATTTAACACTTTTATATTTGTTTTAAGTTTTAAAGTTATTCTTTCACTTGTTTACATTTTCTATCCATTAATTTATTTTATTAATATATAAATTTTATGTGTATTTTAAAAAAATAATATCCATTTATTCTTCAATAAAAGTGTAAATATCGATAAAAGAATTTTTTTCATTTTCAATTTCTTTAAATATTTTACTACCAATTTTCTGTACAATCAAATGAAACATGCTAAATTTTATATTTTTAACAAAAAATAAATAAACACAAAGCGCAACTTTTTAGAGCATGTTAATCGCTTATTTTTAAGCCCATTCAATTCAAAATACAATTAAGAATCAAAATGTTTCATTTTCATAATTAAAATTGTTAAAAAAGAATTTTTTTACAGATATACCAAATATATAGGTAATTAATTATAATGTTTTCCAAAATATTAAAATTGAAATATTAATTATTGAAATAGCATCCAATTTAAATAATTAAAGTTCTTTTGAACACGTACCAGGTTCTTTTACTTCTTCAGATTTAACAACAACGGGAGATTCTTCAATCTTCTTTATTTCTAGTTGATCCTTTAAAAAGAGAAAATATGAAAATAACAAGTAATGATAATAAATAATAATTTTTTATAATTTTTCATTTATGCCTTCTGTTAATTCATTATGTTAATATTTACCAAAGGAGGCGTTTCTTCTCGTTCTGGTTGTGTAGCCAGTGTCTCGGAAATTTTCTTCCAAATATTATCAAAACTATCACGACCCAAATAATCAATTTGTCCTTGTTCCCAACTTTGTTTTCTCATGTGCTCCTCAAAAGCAACTTGTTCATTACTTCTTGCTTCGCCTAATGTTAATTGCGCCAATGCTCCAGCCAGTCCAGTCTAAATTAACAAATAAAAATAAAGAAATCGTATAAAGAATTATAAATGATACGAAGTAAAAAAAATTAAATCGTGACAGCTAAATTCTAATCACTTCAAGTAGTGCTATTATTTATATGTAAAATAAAATAGAAGATTTTGTATTTACAATTAATGTTTATAATAAGTAATTACTGAATAGTGCAATATAAATAAATGTATTTACACAAGTAGAAAAAATGTATAAATAAAAGAGGGATCGTACCTTTTGAATAAATAAAATAAATAAAATAAATAATAAAAATATAATGTGAATATTACTTGGCAAGTAATATGAGAAAAATATTTTTGGTACATTTAGGGAAATATAATGAGAACCTTTTACTTACATCGTTACTCTCTAAGTGTTCTTCAATATTGGTCGGTTCAGACTGTGGTGCTACTTTATTAGGAATTATTCGGATATTAAAAGGATGTGAGGATATTGTGTGGTGATTGTCAGTTTGTTCGTCAATTTTTAAATCGTCCATTAAAGTTAATTTCTCACCAGTTTCAAAAATTTCTCTAGACATATTTTTTTGAGATTCGAAGAATCTCTCGTCATTACAGGATTCTTGCTGTTGCTGAGATTGATTGTGATCGTCAAGTCCACCGGAAAAATTATGTTCCTGATCTATTTGTGATTCTTGATACTGACAACAAAATTTTTCTTGATTCGATGATAATTCTTGATGACTAGAATGATAATAACTTTCTATCGATTGACAATTACTCTCTTGATTGGTATCAGTATTCTTTTGGCAATAATGATTTTCTTGATAACTGTGTCGATAATTTTCTTGATGATTATTTTGTTCATAACTTTCTGGATAATTATTTTGTTGACAATTCTCTTGATAATTATTTTCTTGAGATCTGTTGCATTCTTCTTGATTACTATTTTTTGTATAGTCGTGAGAAACACGATTATCTGTTTCATTGGAATTATCAGGCCTTTGTAATTGTTCTGAGTTGTTGAAAATTTCTTGATTCACTTGTTGAGAAATTTGTAAAAAAGCATCAAACTGAGGTTGATAATTGTCCCATGGATCTTTAAAGTCGGAAAAGTCAGGTTTGTTGAAATTTAAATCAATATCTGTCTCATGTCTCAAATTTTGGAATGTAAAACGACTGTGATTGGTGATTGGAGGAAGAGAGGGAGCATTGTGCCAGGATGGAGCCAAAGTACTGGTGGCCTTTGCAAGCATCATGCGAAAACAGAAAAATGCACACTCAATATGTTAGTGACAAACTAAAGTAACAGTGTCTATTTTTTTAAATTGCTTATATAATTCATTTTAATCATGAATTCATGAATTCACATATGTTTAAATTCATTCATTAATTTCAATAAAAATTATTTCTTCTAATTTGCAAAAAATATATATCTTGCTCATTGGCTGTGCAATTTTCGTCAATAACTTACTCTAATTAACAGAATAAACAGACAAAAACTGTGAAAATCCTTAAAATAGGTGAGAAAAAAATAGTTACATGCAAAATAACAATAAAAAAATAGACACTGTCGAGAAAAACTAAATAGAAATTGTAAACTAAATTTAAAAGGATAATTTGAAAACAAACGAAATGTACAATTTTGATAAGAAAGCTTTCTAATTGCATATGCAACATTCTAAAGTACAAAGATAATAATTAAAGAATAAATAATGTATATGAAAAAAAATTGTCAAAAGTAATTAAAAATTTTTAAATAAATTTTCCAAGAGAAAGTTGTTTCGAAAAATCATATCTAAACAATAAGATTAAAAAATTACTAATATTTTTTTTTCAATCAACCAAATCCTTTCTACTTACAAAACAAATATCCTGAACCATTTATTGCTAAAAATATATTAAAATTCTAATTAAAGAAACATTAAAATCTAATAAAGAACTAAAAAACAACAGAATTCTATTCTTCAACTATAATCTTACCTCGTGACTAATATTTTTCGAGTCCCTGCATAGATTGATTAGCTTGTAAAATCAACAAAAACACATTACTCAAGTTTAATATTATTATTATTATTATTTGGAGAAAAACATTGTTTCAGAGATGAAAGGCGAGAGTAAAATTAAGCAAAAACAAAAGAATTGTTGCACAGTAATTGGGTTATTTTTTATAATTTTCTAAAAATTTTACTCACCATATCGGGATTAAGTTGGGTATGGACATTATCACAGAAGATATTCCACCAAATCTGCAAAAGTGGCTGAATATGATGTGAATCTGTTGGTGGTTGCACAATTCCAGTGAGTGTGTCAAAGTACTGTAGCCACGGTTTCGTAGAACCAATAAAGTGAATAATTCTGACCTCATTACCAAATCTGGAAAAAAATTTCAGTAAATTACTATCTTATTAATTTTACTTTTCAGACCCTTTCTTGCAATCTTTTCCATTTTATTTCACTAAAATGACTTAAATCAAATGTAATTTTAATGAATAGGGAAAATTTCAAAATTTGAGAAATTGAAAAAAGATTCTAATGATTCTTACTGTTTGAAAGCGGGAAGATAGGAGTAAGTGGCAGTTGAACACATATTGTAAATGAAGGGAAGATGTTTGGCTATGTCTTTATGTGACCAATCGCTGAAGAACATATTCAAAAGTCCTTGATCGCCACCATCGAAAGATCCTTGCGATGTCGCGAAATTAATCAAAGAATCGTAAGTCTGCTGTGAGGGTTTAAATACAAATACACCAGAATTGAAGCAATCTGGCCATCCAACATCAGGAGCCGCCGAAAGTTCCTCCCGCTCGAACAATTCGTCGCAATTCCTTATTACCTGAAAAAATATCGCTTTGTTAATGTAGAAATTCTAACTGAATATAAATTTTATGCATAATAGCTACAATCTATAATTGAAATAAAAATCACGTTTGAGAAAACAAAGAAATAAATTTCTCCAGTTTTGCTAAATTGTATCTAAAATATAGGTCAATAAAAAATAAATAAATTTAAGTTTGAAATGATTAAAATTGGAGATTGATAAGTAATAGAAATAGCAATTTATATTGTTTAAAATTTGGATGAATGGAAATTTAGATTCACTGAATTTCAACTTAATTAAGAATAAAATGAATTGAAATTCCAAAGATTAAAAATTTTGACGAATTGAAATCAGAGTAGACTAAGATTTTAATCGATGGAAATTTTAATAAATTTAAATTTAATTAAAAAATGTTGGTGACAGTCTGTGATATCTGCAAATGAAATGAAAATTTGAAAAATAACAAATAAACTAACAAGGGCATCAGCATCGACGAATACACATTTTTCATATTGTGTCAATTTCCAACAATGCAATTTGGTGAAGGTGATACCCAATTCTGGCCTGGCCAAAAGTCGAAGATTTGATTCGTCTTTCGAATCAAGAATATTGACTTCCTGAACTAATGAAAATACTGCTGCTAATTTCTCCCTATAAAAAAAAGAAAAATTACAATTAAAAATTTAAATTTTGTAATGATCGACAATTTGTTTTTATTTAGTTCGTTGACAGTTAATGACCCTGCCGATTCTTGGTCAATGTCAAGTGTAACATTTTCTTTCTTTGGCTACAGTTCAATTTGGCAACAATGATAGACTGTAAAATTGAAATTGCAAGATAACTTCAATTCAAAGCAATTCATTACAAATATAAAAAAAAATTCAGCAATTTCCACATTGAAAATTAATTATGTTAAATGTCAAATGAAAAAGAAATAAAATTAGCAGTTACTAAATTATTTAAATAAATTGCAAAATTTAAATTTAATCATAATTTCGAATTTGTTAAAAATTTTACAAAACATTTTTTATACATCACTTGATAATATGTGGAAATTTTTTTTAAACTTATTTTTCATTTTGAAAAATTGATAGAAACGAAAATTTGAACTTAATTAGAAAAATTAAATAAAAATAATTATTTATTATTTGCTTATTGGTAGTCAATAGATTCTACGAGTTTTGGACGAAATTAAGAATTACTGTAATTAATAATTCTTTATTAGGTATAAAGAATGGAAAGAAAATAATTTTCTGAAATAGAAATAACTAATAATATGTAAAGAAAAATGTTATTTTTAATACTAATTATCTAACTAATAGGAAAAATCGATTGTTCTTCATTTGTACCTCATTACATTTGTTACACCTGGCGTTATCAGTGCAACAAGATCATGTGATGTGCCAGCTCGTTTTAAAGAATGAGCCAGGACCAATGCTCCCAATGAATACGAGTCATTTGTGGCTAACGTAACCCACGCAAAGCCTGAAAAAAACAAAAAATGAAAAATCATAAAACTGTTTTACATAAATTACAAAAAGTAATAAATGGAAATTTTATTTTCCTTATGCTTTCAAGTCAATGTCCAAATTGATTATATTCAAATTAATAATAAAACGAATACATTCGGACAAGTCGTTTTTAATAAAAGTCTGTTCCAACGTTTCGAAATCTGAATGATTTCCTCATCAGAGAGTCTATCAAAATAATACAATAAATAAAAAAAACAACAAGTCCGAATGTATGATCGTTTTGTTATTTTTCTACAATTGAAAATTTCAATTAATGAAAATAAAATTATTCATCTAAAAATATCTCAAGTTTATATGAGCAGTAAATTTAATTTCTAATAAACATATACATAAGAAAGTGAATTATTTCGCAGATGATACCAAAAATATTTAAGAAGAAAGGGAGAAGGAAAATTTTACGAGAGAATTAGAAATGACTGCGAAATATAAGCATAATATCATAAAATAGAAATGTAACTTTGCCAAGATAAAAATAACATATTTTAGAAATATTATTATTACGTTCAAATTTCCGTTCATTACCCGAAAACAATGTTGCGTTCTGTTTTTCAATTTCATTTCCGAAATCAATATCAAAAAATAAAACAAACCCTATTTTTACTTTCATAATTAATCGCTTTAGAGGCAATGCGTCAAAAATATTTTTTCTTTATCATGTGACGAAAATTTGTAAATATATTTTCTTTACTTTTATATTATAATTTATTGCTTATAACTATTATAAATATAAAATCACAAAATTATTTTATTTAGTTAGGAAAATTTAATTTGACAAAATATTAATTTGATAGAAAAAATCATTTGAAATAATAATTGAATTTAAAAAATAAAGAACAAATTAAAGATTTATTATTCTTTTAATTGGAAGTAAAGGACTAATAAAAACCTTAATTAGGTGAAAGTGAGAAAAGTATATCACGTAAAAAAAAACAGGTGAGAAAACAATATTGGCATTCTTCCAGGACCCTGTTATATTTAGCCATCTGATCTCAGAATTGCTTCTTCTCAAATCTTCATGGAGGATTTATACGGCTTGGTCTTATAATATCCAACTATTTGGTGCCATGTCTATTGTCCATAAGAATTTCTCTCAATTTTTATTCTATTTTCTTTACTTTCAGCAGATATTGAGATACATTGAAAATAAAAATGTTTGAATATATAGATATGAAAAAATATCTAACGAATAAAATTAATGTACTCCTATAGAATGTAAAAATATGAAATATATTATTTAAATGTTTTTTTAAATAAAAATAATCAAAAAATAAAATAAAATGAATTTTAAATTACAATTCAAGATATTTAAAAAACTTTTAATTAATAAGTGATTCAACAACCACTTGAAAACAATAATTGATTCAAATAATTAAAATTTGCGATTGGAATAAATAAAAGTAAAAATAAATAAAATAATAAACACTAATTTTTAAATTGTTGTTTGCTAGCTTGTTTTTCTGTTTCTAACATTTCATACGCATTTGCTGGCACGTGTAAATTGCGACTCGATGTCGTCTTGGCTCATGAAATTTAAACTTCTCAATCTTCATACTTTTAAAGTTCTTCTTTATACATCGTGATAAACGCACGTGATTCTTTTAAATGTCAACTTCACTTCCTCCATGAAATTTTGATGAAAATTTTGCCAAAATATAATTCACATTTCTCAAAAATCTTGCACCATAATTTCACAACTTTCTCTCTTCCCCTCTCTTTCTTCCTTCTCATCGCGAAAGAAAATTAATTAATTCTAAAAATGACCTGAAACACAAACTTCAAATTCAATAAATTCTCCTAAAAATAATTTTCTCAATATTAATTATATTAAATTTCTATCAATTTTTATTTTATTTTTAATTGAGAGATTATGATTGAATTTAACAATTTTTAAGTAAATTGGACACGAGGAGGCAACACATAACAGAGTTATATCAGTATAGTATATTTTTGGGTCAGTGATACCTACATTGGCAGATAATTAATTTTACTTTTGTCACTGAGCAGAGAGAAAAGAGAGTGATTATCACAGGCCAACAAAATTTTGTGGTTCAACCAATGGAAGCCGATTCTTATAGGATTTTGTCCGTAGAATCCAAAATTGACCTTGAAAATATTGGATTGGCTCTAGTTTTCAAGCAATTTACGTTTTAATACGCAAAATACGCATTTTAGGCATTTTTTGAATGGATGTAAAACCATACACCGAAACAGTAAATGTTTCCGCTTAGAATCAAATTAAAGCTTAAATACTGCTCTTTAATATCCAAAAACAAAAAATTTAATTTATATACAAATTTAACCTTTAATGTCCAATGGTACATACGCTGTTTCATAAACTTATTGGAAATAACATTACTTTTGACCAGGTGAGGAAATTTAAGTAAAAATTAGTCTCTCTAGGGGTATTTGTGGTCGCTGCTTGCAAATCTGTATTCAGATTTTAATATTCAAAATGGCGGATTCAATATGGCGAATTTTTTTTTTAATTATAAAGGTGTAAACTATTTTTTAAAATTGGTCCGCCATTTTTAATTTTTATATTTCATAGCAGATTTATAAACAGCGACCACAAAAAGCCCCAGGGAGACTAATTTTTACTTAAATTGACTTACCTGGTCAAAAGTAATGTTATTTTTATTACGTTTATGAAACAGTGTATGTCTAATTCGACATTAAATGTTAAATTTGTATATAAACTAAATTTTTTGTTTTTGGGTATTAAAGAGCAGTATTTAAGCTTTAATTTGGTCCTACGCGGAGAAATTTACTGTTCTGGTGTGTGGTTTTACATCCATTCAAAAAATGCAAAAAATGCGTAATTGGCGTATTGAAACGTAAGTTGATTAAAAACTAGAGCCAATCCAATATTTTCAAGGTCAAATTCGGATTCTACGGACAAAATCCTATAAGAATCGGCTATAACATCTTAGTCAACATGCATTTAATAAAATTTTGTCAGCCTGTGTTATCAAATCTACGATAACCTTTCAAAAACTTTAATATCGGGAATAACGCGCAAGCCATTTTAAAGAACCATTATATGCAAATCAATATTATATTAACAATGATTAGAATATCAAAAATACAAAAAATGGACCAAAACATTATTATTTAATTGCAATAATTTAACAGAATTCTGATTTTACTAATACATGATATTTTTTTTCTTATTAAAATTAAAATAGAATTCAATTATTTTAATTATAGTTGAAAAAATAAATAAAAAAGATATCTTCTTCATTGAAGATTGAAAATTAGCTCGAGTTTCAAAAAAAAAAATCTTATCTATACTACATCAACAATTTTATCTTTAATGAATGGCATCAAGTCATTCATAATCTATTTTGCTGCATGTTTATCGATCCTGATCAAAGAATGCATCAATGCATTTATTTGCAAAATAAAATATTTAGTAGAAAAAATATTATTTATTATTATTAAATACTTGTTATTAGATTTAAAATTAATTTAAAATTAATTAATTTATATATAAATTAAAATGTTTTAAATTACAATAATTTTAAAACAACTGAAATTTAAATATTTCTGAAAAATACAATGACAACCCTTTCAAAATTTAATCATTTTCTACAATTTTTAACTAAACTTCTTCTATAAATCAATTATTTTTAATCAGTTTCACAAAGTTCTTCGAAAATTCAATTTTTTATAGTAATAACTGTAACTCTTCATGATTTTATTTAAAAAATGCTATCAAAGTGAATTATATAAAATTTGTTAACCAAAAATATTAAAATTAATTGATTCTTAAAATATATGATAAAAAAAATTCTTCAAAATTAATTTATTAAAAATATAATTCTAATTTTTAAAAGATAATTGAATTTTAAAAAATTATAATGATAAAAATCTAAGAAGTAGATATTAAAAAAAATTTTTTTAATATAATTTTTTAATACTTATTTTCATTAATTATTATTTTTGCTATAATTATATTAATCCTTTTTTAATTTTAAATAAGAATAAACTGCTAATTGAGAATTGAGAAAATAATGTTTTCGATTAAAAGTGAAACACAATTTAAACTAAAGAATAATAAAAACACTATTCTTCGTGGGTGAAGGACAAGGCAACGCAGAAAATAGGAAAACGAAAGAGGAAGACTAGAATATCAGATTCCCTTTATATGTATTATAATAGAAGACGTTTTTCCTTGTCAAATATTCGACTCCTGTTTAATTTACAAACTTTCCTGAAAAGCATCGCAAGAGAGAGAGAGAGAGAGAGAGAGAGAGAGAGAGAGAGAGAGAGAGAGAGAGAGAGAGAGAGAGAGAGAGAGAGAGAGAGGAATAAAATATATATAGAGATTTAAATTTTTTTAGATTCTCATCACATGAGAAAGTGTTATTTAAAAATAGATTTAGACTAAAATAATTTCACTTGGTTCAAATTCCCCTCAAATCATAGGAAATTACAATCAGATTAAAACAGATCCAAGAAAATTTATTTTAATTTTATTTTTTAATTTAATTCTAATGTCGGTAGTAATTAATTTTCAACTTAGTTCCAATCTCGTTTTTAATCAAATTTTAATTTCATTAATTTCATTAATTTCATTACTTGTGAAAATTATTTGCAGTCAATAATTTTCACGAAAATAAAACTTTTTTAGAATTATTTTTTTCCCTATCAAGAAGAAATATCAGAAGAATAAAAAATTCTGATCAATTTGCAAATCGAAAGTTTTTTCTCAGGATCACCTTATATTGAGACAAAACTGAAAAAACAAAATAATAATCATTATGATAATTCTAAATCGTTCATTTAAAAATGAGGCAAAATGAGGCATTTTATTTGACTTTAAAATAGAAAACATATATATCTTTCCTTTGAGAGAAGCGGAGGTAGCGAGCCGAGTATTCGCGTATATTATGACACGGAGACGAAACCCGAGAGCTAGTAAAGTACAGAACGCCGTTGTGCATTTATATTTACACACCGGTTCGCTTATAATAGCAAACTGGCCTTACATTTATGTGAAAAGCATTTCTGCACCTTGTCTTAGGTCAGGTTTTTATAAAAACCGAATAAGTAATTCAACTGCGGAAAAGAAAAGAAAATCAACCCATTAGTCAAATTTCAAATAATTTCGATTTTTAGAATAATTTTTGCGAAATGTTTTCAAATAATATTATTCAGAGTTCAATGATTTTCAATATTAAATTAATTATTTTAATTAATATTTAGAGGAATTTTTTTTATATTGTAACTTAAGCACTCATTTAAAAGAAATGATTGATAAGCTCTACTTAGAAAACTTTTATGTATATTAATATCGCAGATGTGAGCGATTATTAATTTTTAACTCCAGGAAGACTTGATATATCAAGTGATTCAAGTTTCTTTATGAATGTCAACCATTATTTAACATTCGATTAATTTGCATTATTGTCTGTTCTTTCAATACTATTACAATTTCCACGACGAAAAAACCTTTCAGGGAAAATTTCAAAACAACAATATTAAAGTCCTTTAATTGTTAAATCTTATTAATTTATTTTTTCAATGTTGAAAAAATGTTGAAAATCTCCTCTACGAGTATGATGGAACTTGATCTTCTTAAATTCTTTTTCTGAAGACTTTAGAAAATATTTAAGAAATTCGAAAACATAAAAAATAACTATACTATCGTACAGGATACTGGACATTTGGCAAGCAGCCTTATTCAGCTTCTCCCTCATCAGACAGACAAGAATAAACTCTGGAGATACCAACAACGTACGTGACTTATTTCTCGTGTGAGGAAGGTACCTCTTTACCAGCACCTTATAAAGCAATCTTTAACATTCTTTAATCGTCTTTTAAGCCCAATTCTATTTCTATACACTTTAAAACCAAATTCAAAGCCGACAAAAACATCTGCTGGGGAAAAAATTAAAAATAATTACATTTATTCGATTTTAATTTACATCCACTTTTTAATTATTCTGATTTTCACCCCGAATGAAAAAAGAGAACAAAATTATAGATATAAATAACAGCAAATTAAAAAATTATTTAAAAAATTAATTTCTTTAGTATTATTATTTTGCTTTTCGAAAATTATTGAGAAAAAAATTTGTCAATATTACATCAAGCAATAAATTAATTTGCTCAAAAGAAAATTAAAATCACAAATTAATCATTAAAAATATTTTAGTACCAAATATAATTAATATTATACTATTTTTAAAAAACAAAAAATATTTTTAAAAACACAAACAAAATCACAAATTATTTTCTAAGAAGAAAATTTAAATCAAAAACTAATCAGTACAAATATTTTAATATTTTAATTTTAGCATTTTATTATTTTAATAAAATAGTTAATAAAATATTTTTAAAAACAAACAAAGTCACTTTGCAAGAAATTGAAAAGCAATTTAAAAAACATATTCTTTTATAAATCTAAAAGGAATACAATTATTTTGTCAATTACCGAATTCTCAAGTACACAATTGGTAATGATTCCCTAACTTAAAGTCAACAAACGACACTGTAAACGTCATTATGCAATTAGTCTCAATCAAAAACTTAAATAGAAATCAAAAAAGAAAAATGAATTCAAGTACTACACCTACTTATCTTAATATACAAAATAGAACATTTTATCTTTCTTCTAATATTTTTAATAATCAACTGACTGAAAAAACATGCGATTATAATATTAAAAACGATTGCAAAAATTAGAATATAAAAAAAAATAATGATGGACAGTTAAAAAACAAGTGAATCTCCCTGTGATTGAAGGTCATGAGGTCTCGAGACCGGTTAAAGTATTATATAGTGAAGATTTGTAATTCTTTTTTTCATGAATGAAAACCATCCATTTTTGTGTATGATAAAATGGACGAAGAAATTCAATTAAAATGAATAGAGAAATTTTTTTTCTATAAACTCACCACCCATGGCTGATTGGAAAAAACTTGATTTAAATTTCTCTAAGGTCTCTTATGAATGAACGCACACACCCAACAACTCGACAATCCCGAACAGACTAATGCAGATTGCAGACTTAGTGTAGACGAACAACGTCTGTTTTTAACATGTACAGGAAGTGCGATATTGCTCCTCTCATTTTATTCCCCACCTTCGTTAGTTTTAGCTTTGCTCCGAACCTCAGCGTAATATGTTTGACCGATGGAGATATGAAGAAGAATTTCCCTGAAAAATCATTTATTTCAATTAATAAATTAAATTAAAATTTTTTAAATTTCTACTGAATTGTAAATGAAATGGCTAAATATAGCACGCGGCTAACTTTTTACTTCATTTTTTAAATAAAATTAGCAATTTTACAAATAATAGAATTTAAAAATTTTAAATTCAAATTTTTGTTGAAAACACTAAAATAATTCAATTTTAGAAAAATTGCAAATAATTTATTGTAAAAATTCAATTATTTTCAAAAGTAATAAAATACTTCTCATAAAATTCAATTATGTTTAAAATTTAAAAAAAATTCTCGTCAAAATCCCAATTATCTTTGTAAATAACAAAAATTATCCCCAAAGTACAATTATTTTCAAAAATGACAATAAAATTCTTGTCCTAATTTCAATTATTTTCAATATCTACTATTTTAATAAAATTTTCTGAGAAAAATTCAATTATTTTCATAAATTTTTAATTATTATAATTTATTATAAAACATGAAGAAATCGATTACTCCGAGTCTTCGACTCGGAGCAATCAATATCTTCATGTTTTATAGCAAAACACTTTTATAATTTGTTTAATTTCAAAAAGGTTTGAATTTGGAATTTTTGAATGTCTTAATTCCTGTGAAAAAATAATAATAATTAAATATTTATTTAAAAACGAAATTTATAAACATTCTTTTCCTTTATTTTTAAAAAACTTTGAATTTTATGAAAACAATTATAATTAAGAAATAGAAATGATGTAAATTGTTCCCTTATGAAAATTGAAAATTTTCTACAAAAACATTAAGAAACGGGAATATGTAATGTTTTTTTTCCCAAAATAAAAGAATGAGTTTGTGAACAATATTGTTATTGAGAAATAAAAATTATGCATAAAATGGGTATTTATTTACTATTTCTTAATCATAATTTTGTAACAAATTTTCTATTTTTTATAAATAAACAAGAGAAAAATTTGCATAATTTAGATCAGTCAAACGAAATTTGTTATTAAAAAAAAGCATATAATAAACAAAATGAGTAAATTTTTCATTTGTTAATCATCATTTTTTCTAAATTTTTCTAATTTCTAATATTATTTTATTATGAATCATGAAAAAATACCTGCATATTTTCGATTTGTCAAAACAAATTTTTTTTAAAGAAAAAAAACAAAAGAATACACAAAAACTAACTTCAGGTGTGGACAGAATGAGACGCCTGTTTATCCCCGTTTATGCAAATGCTCTAATAGTCATTTGATCTAATTTAAAGGTTATAAATATTCAAATGATCTAAAGAACATTGAATATAATGTGATTTTATATAAAAGTCTAATTAATAAAATGAGTTTATTCTATAATTTATTTTTAAGCCAATAATCAAAATATCCAATTCGCATTTTCTATAATCATAAGCAATTATAAAATTTTTTCACGCAAACTTTCAACTGATAAAATAGTTGTATAAGCCAAAGTTTATTTTTTATAATTTTATAATAACCTAATTTTAAAGTGTTATAATTTTTAATTTGTATAAATTGTAATTTAACAAATGTCTGTCAAATCTAAATGTAGTAAAATATAATTTATTTAAATAAAATATATTTTTTAAAAAATGCTAACAACCTCGAATCGTCAATTGATCAAATATTCAAAACATCTAATCGTCATTTCGTCCAATGCTAAAAACATCGAATCGTCAAATGGTCGAATGCTTAAAACTTAGAATCGTCAATTGATCAAATATTCAAAACATCTAATCGTCATTTCGTCCAATGCTCGAAACGTCGAATCGAGAAAAAGTTGAAAAATTTGCTTGATGTAAGTTAACATTTATTTAAACCAAGCAAATTTTTCCAATTTTTGTCGATTCGACGTTTCGAGCATTGGACGAAATGACGATTAGATGTTTTGAATATTTGATCAATTGACGATTCGATGTTTTAAGCATTCGACCATTTGACGATTCGATGTTTTTAGCATTGGACGAAATGACGATTAGATGTTTTGAATATTTGATCAATTGACGATTCGAGGTTGTTAGCATTTTTTAAAAAAGATATTTTATTTAAATAAATTATATTTTACTACATTTAGATTTGACAGACATTTGTTAAATTACAATTTATACAAATTAAAAATTATAACACTTTAAAATTAGGTTATTATAAAATTATAAAAAATAAACTTTGGCTTATACAACTATTTTATCAGTTGAAAGTTTGCGTGAAAAAATTTTATAATTGCTTATGATTATAGAAAATGCGAATTGGATATTTTGATTATTGGCTTAAAAATAAATTATAGAATAAACTCATTTTATTAATTAGACTTTTATATAAAATCACATTATATTCAATGTTCTTTAGATCATTTGAATATTTATAACCTTTAAATTAGATCAAATGACTATTAGAGCATTTGCATAAACGGGGATAAACAGGCGTCTCGACAGAATGAAATAATTAATTATAGGATTATTATAGTTAATATCCAATTTTTGTATTTTAAATATAAGTAAATAAATACTTTTGTGTATTTGTAAACAAAAGTATTCGCGTCTTTTTCGCAAAATAAATAACAATCTACATAATATTTAATACCCTTCATCTGCAAAAAACAGAAAATATATTATTTTCAAACAAATTAATAATAAATTTATATTTATACAATATAATACAATAAATTTAATAAATTTGGTAACGAAAAATAATATTTAAAGGCGAACGAGGCGAACAAAAGTTGGCAAACATAACCTTTAAAAATTATGTTTGTTTACGAAAAACAATAAGTTAACAAATTAAAAAACAATTATAAAAAGACAAATTAAACAAAATAAAGACAGAGAATTGATTAATATATACTAAAAATAGTTTAAATAAAGTGAAAAAACGAATAAAACATTTACAATTTGAATTTTTGAAACTAACCTTCAGCTGGATAAAATCACAAACAAAACGTTTTGATTAAAAAAACACTACTTTTACGAATATCTTTATTAATCGGAAATTATCCACATATAACAAAAATATACTATATTCTTATTTGTAAATAAAAATTAATGTATTTTTTTCCAACCAAAACAATCATTGTCCACACTCCACATTCCCTCCGTTTTCAACACGTAATGAAGTTATTTGAAAATCGAAATTGTTTTCTGCTTTCGATTTATTTCGATTATAATCGTTTTTCAAAAATCGGGAGTGGCGCCATGGTCGTTGTTATGTTTTTCCTCCTGTGGCATTTTCCTCGTTGAATTTTTCCAAGTGACATCTCTATGTGAAAACAGGAATACCGACGGTTTGACGCTGTGAAACGTCATAAATTCAAAATTTCAAATGATCGAATGATTAAAGTGACATTAGTGAACCCCGGTCAATTGCGATTGTGGGAAAAGTTGTCTGTGATTGCGAGTGTGTGTTACCTCTTTTTTTTTTCTTTCGATTTCAGCGAACGTCATACTTTTTGAATAAAAGTCCCAACAAAACGGTTTATAATATTAGGGTTTTTAGCGATCGGAAAAAACGATTATTATAATAGTGAGAAAAATTCATCGGAAAGTGAAAAATAATTTTATTAACGCGCATATGTTATCGAATTATTATCAGTTGAGGAAAAGTAACCGAAAGGGAAAAAGAGAGGTAAAACTTGTCATGGAATCCACCATCGCTCTATAGATATTCGCAACATGGCGATCGTTTGATTGTGTACAGGTATTTTTGACTATAATAAATACAGGTATTTAGTTTTATTTTTCAGTACTTTATATGTGAAAAAGAAAAAAAATAATGATATCACACTGGTCTTTTCTCATCTTGCTTGCATATCACTCATGTTTCTTTTTTATCTCGCTTTCAACGGAAACAACTCTGCTGGATGCTATTGCATAATTGACTGATAATAGCTTTTATTTTAGCGGGTTTTTCTCTCAATTAGATGAAGAATGCCTTTAAAAACTTGAGTTTATCGTGTCTATTCTTTGTCCACGTCATTTACTTCCTCCACCAATGAAGTCAAGTTTAAAAACCTTTTAGAATATTATGTCATTTTTATTGATAATAGAATCTAAAAAGGTGGAAGGTGAACTTAACCTATAAATTAGCTGACAAACGGATCAGTCTCTGGTCTCCATTTTCGTAGTTTTTCCGGTCTGACTAAATTTAATATATTCTATAGATAACTAATAATTGAATATACATTAATCATTCATTTTTTTGCACTAAAAAAAATTTCTTGATATCAAAACATTTTTTTTCTCCTAATTTATATACATATATTTATTTAGAAAAAAGTAAGAAAAATTTATAAACAATTTTAGAAAATTCTTTCGAAACATATTTAAACGCATTAATTTAATATGCATGCAATGTATTTATAAGCAGTACTGAAATTTTATTTTGATATTTGTTTTTATTTGAAAGATTTGAGAAAATTTGACATTCTAATTAAAATTTATTTTATTATGGGATTGATTGATATAGATGGCTGAATCGACAGGAAAACAAAGAGAGAGAAAAGTAGCGTGGAGAAAGAGGGTGAGCAAAGTTTGATTGAAGGAGACGAAAGTTTATTTTTTTTATTTTGAAAACTTTCTGCCTTTATAGAGAAGTCATAACGAGAGTGTGAGTGAATTTCTCAGTAATTGCTTGAATAAAAGGCACCTCGTTTCAATAAACATATAAATATATAATTATACAGTGGGTCTTGTTTTTCATTTAAAAAGTAAAAACTCCCACTTGAGGCTTTTTTATACTTGTTTATTATTGACTATGTATCACGTCACATTGTCACCTCACGCAATGGTGCAGTTAATGGGTGGCCAACAAGCTGGTGGACCATGTTTGCCAATTCAAAATCACACAACATATTATAATGGTGCAAATCATTTGCATCAAACAGAGTACACTCAGTATGTTCCTGATGCTTCTAATCCTAGCAGGCATCATATTGTTCAGGTACTCAATTTTTTTATTATTTATTTTTACTACATTGCACTTAATTAGTTCATTAACTCACAAAGCACTTGGATCCTTTTTCGTTGATTTCATCAAATTTCCCTTCATTTTTTCACTAGGACACAATTTTAAAACCAGATATAATATATATAATATTTCTATTTTAACAGATTCTTTATTCTCTCTGCTAACTTTTTACACCGCATGCATTGTTCAAGTAATTGTTTGCGATTTTCTGGTCTACTAAAATATTATTATATTATTTTTTTATATATTAAGTGAATTTGATTTTTTTTTATTAATTGTACAAGTGTTTTGAGTTTAATTTGTTTTATTAATATTTTTCGAATGGATGATTTTCATTGTATATGTATTAATATTGTGGATATTGAAAAGAGTAATCTAAGAGAAGAAATTTTGTTTATAGACTTCTCCTCTACAAGTAGGATCACATCCAATTGAATTAATTCAACGAATGGGTGTAGACGTCCAACAGTTTCGTCGTGCAAATTACAATATGCATGGAAATGGCACGGCAAATAATAGTTGGCCCAAGCGAATAAACCATTCAAATAATGTACCCACAATGCCTCCTCCGCATCTTAATTTTCGACCAGCGAGCACAGGTTCGATAAAAAGGACAAATTGGAATAATAAAGGAAAACGAAATCTACATCGAGATTCATTTTCGCAAAAGGAACTCTATAATAGCGACAGTGGCTTTTCTTCACGTTCACCAACGCCGAATAAACATCAGAATGATAGCAGTTTAACTGAAAGTTCTGATGAACGCGATTCCATTAATTCTTTAGGAGAACAAGGAACTAAGTGAGTTTTTTCAATAATAATAGAATTGCTTATTTAACTTTATTTTTCTATTCAATGTCAATTTTAACTATGAATGTTTTTTTCACAGGCGTCTTCAAGAGGTACACACAATTAGCCATATGCATAATTCAAATAGTATTAATCGCGGAAGTTTAATTTCAAACACTTCTGTCCATCAATATTGCCAAAGCCAACGTCCTGTCAATTATTACAATAATTCTATCCAAGTACCTAGAGCACCAGTACAAAATTATCAAAACAAAAGGAGATATTCTGGTAATTATATAATTTTTCTTTAATTACACACGTTGAAAATAGAATTGACAATAATTTATATAATTTATTTAAAGGGAGGAACAGTCCTCCACAGCAAAGAACTCAAAGAAACAGAAAATTTACGGGAATGATGACACAGACATTTACCTTTGTTCCGCGATATGTAATTGGTCCAGATAGATTTTTAGAGAAAGCACATTACATGGAAGTCACTCAAAGGCCGGATAACTTAACTACAAATTCAGTGTGGGACAATCTTTCTGTGGATGTCTGGGAAAAATTCATCTCCAATCAGCAAACAAATGCAACCTACATCAACAAGATGATGCTCTGGAAATATTTGTACTTTTTTATAAAAGTAAAAGAAAATTATAATTATTAAGAAAATATTTTCATTATTTAAAATACAGAAAGATTAAAAATAATAAGAAAAGGTTTTGAATTTTGAAAATTAAAGTTAATTATTTTCTTACAGTCTGAATTTCCAAAGTATGGCTTGTTTTTGGTGGGTTCGACAATGAATGGTTTTGGTTCTGAAAGTAGTGACGTAGATATGTGTCTTTTAATCAAACACACAGAAATGGATCAAAAGAACGAAGCTATTTATCATTTAGATCACATATTGAGAAGCTTGAACAGATGCGGTAAAACATCTTTAATATACTAAAAATAAGTTTTAGAAGAAATTACAAATTTTTTTTAAATTTCCTCAATTTAAAGAGCTGTTAAAAAACTGTATTTTTGGTTTCAAAGAATATAATTATAGAGAAATTAATAAAAAATCATTTTTGAAAATTTCAGATTTCATCAAGAATTTGGAACTGATTCAAGCAAAAGTCCCAATTCTCAAATTTCATGACTCATTACAGAAGCTAGATGTCGATTTGAACTGCAATAACTCGGTTGGCATTAGAAACACCCATTTAATGTACTGTTATTCACGAAGTGAGTATAAATTTTTAATATTTAAAACAATCAGTTTACATTTCAAATAAATCGAAACAATATTTTTTTGTTTTGTCATTTTACGTATTGACGTAAATAAAACATTATTTCTTTTTTTTTTATTCTAATGCATCTTATTTTTAAATCAAGTTCAAATTTAGTTGATTTAACGAAATATGTATTTTCAAAAATTATTGACTTCAAGGAAAATTAAAAATCTAAATTAAACATTTTCAAAGTTTACAAATTATTATTTTAAGAGGCTCAAAACTGCAACGTTTTTAAAAACTAAATTTATTGATAAAGAATGTAAATATTCATGAGCATAAATTTAGAAAATTCAGTTCAATTGATTGAGAGTTTATTAATAAAATTTAATGAAATTATTTAGTCGACTGGAGAGTGCGACCTCTGGTTCTCGTTGTGAAGCTTTGGGCACAATGCCAAAATATTAACAACGCTAAAAACATGACCATTTCAAGTTACTCGCTAGTACTTATGGTCATCCACTTTTTACAATGTAAGAATTTAAAATCTTTTTTCTAATAGTTCTTTTTTCAAATTAAATATTAATTGAAACTTTTTTCTAATAAAAAAACAATAATTAATACTACTTAGGTGGATCAACTCCTGCTGTCTTGCCATGTTTGCATTCTATTTATCAAAACAAATTCAGTCCAAACTCTGACCTACATTCGATTGACATCCATGAGGACTTACATATACCAGTTCACGAGCTGCCATCTCCGAATCATCAAAGTGTTGGAGAGCTTCTGGTTCAATTCTTCAAATATTACACCACGTTTGAGTAAGTTATTTAAAAAGTTTCTCTAAAGAAATTATTTTCTTTTTTGGGGGGAGGGTTTTGTAAACAATTTCTTACTGTAATTTAAATTTTGATATTTAAATTTTAATTGAAATTTTTAGTTTTAGCCAGTATGCAATTTCCGTGAGACTTGCGAAAAAAATCCCAATTGAAGATTGTCGAAGGGTGCGTTCTTTTAAAAATGATCCCCATCAGTGGAAATATCTCTGTATTGAAGGTAAAAGCAGAAAAATTATTTTTTCTTGTAATTTTGTACATCAAAATTGTACTATTTTTGAGAACTTTTAAAATTAAAGAACTTTGAGATATTTTTATTCAGTCGAGATTTTCTTCCAGAACCCTTCGATCTGACGAACACGGCAAGATCCGTTTACGATCCAGAAGTCTTCGAAAGGATAAAGCAAATCTTCCGGGTAAGTTATCAACGACTAAATGAAACTCTCCAACTGTCCAGCGTCTTTGTAAAGCTCGACATTAAAGCCAAAACATCACTCGTCACAACGTAATAACGTGCTGTGAATTAGGACATTAGTTAGCAGAATTGTATATTTAAAAAAGAGAAACGGAAGAAAAGAAAAGTTTTAAAAAAACGTCACTACTGTAAAATGTGTGCGTTTTTTTATAAACGTCTTACAATTAAAAGTGATTTAGGGTACGAGTATTAGAAGACACAAAGACTTGGGCTTCGCATAATAATGAAAATTAGTGCCAAAATCCATGATATATTGTTGATCTAAAACGAAAAAAAAACTTGGACTATCTTGTTTTCTTCTCTCCATTAATTCGAGAGAGGAAACAAACTCTTTTTCACAAGAAATCACTAGTTATGAGCGTAAGGGAAAAAAAAAATCTTAAAAAACTAGTGATTCTCTAGTTTCGAAAAAATGCTGGCGTATGAGATATGTTAACATCTTTTTTAAAAATCTTGTGCAATAGATTTTCTCCTGCGGCAACATTAATCTAGTACAAATTGTGAGAGAAAAATTAGAGGTGCTATTAATTTCCCAATGACTGTTTTGAATATAAAAATCTTAAAATATTTCAAAACAGGAGGATGAGGAGAAAAAATAGTAATATATCTAGTACATTAAAAAATGAAAAAAAAAATATATATAGGACAATGAAAATTCATTTAAAAAAAATATTAAAACCGGTTTTAAAGCATATATATATAGGGAGAGAGATCGTTTAAAAATAATAAAAAAAAAATACAGAATCACGACTTTAATGAAACAATAATGAATTTGAAAAATTAAGGGTATTATTTTTTTCGCCTAACACTAGGAATGATAAAAGTGCTAACGAGTAATTCTTCAACGAAAAAAGAAACGTAACAAGGTGCCTTCTTATTATTTATTTCAAACTTCATTTTCCGGAGAAAACGAAAAAAAAAATAAAATCTGGGGAAACACAATTATGACAAGACTATTAACCAAAAATGAAATACAAAAAGTATAATCAGTGTTTAAACTGTTGGGAATAATATTGAAATAAAAAAAAATATCGGTTTAGTCGCTACTTTACATATCGTTTTGATATATAATTTTTTTGCCGTTAATTTCTCAAGGAATATTATTATCTGTTTTATGTATATTTAAATGTACACAAATTTTAATATCGTTATTCAGTTTTTTTTTTTTTTTTTTGAGGAAAATGCCTTTTCTGGCATGGTTAAACGTAATTTTTTTTTTCAATTAACTTTTGCTGTTTTTTCTTCTGAAAAACGTCATTTTTTGAGATTAATAATTAGATAAAAAATAAAAATAAAGTATAAAAAAAAATATTGAAAAAAAGTTTAACCAAAAAAGAACAAAAAAAATCCGTGTAAAAAATGTCAACTGTATTTGTTATTTAAGTTTTGTAGTATTATTTTCTAAGTGTGACGGATGTGTAAAAGCGATGATTATTATAATTATTATTATTATGAATGTTGATGAGTGGGTTTATTCTTACTTGGATATTCAAAGAAAAAAAAACAACAACTCGTAAATTATTGTCAACAAAAATCGTCTAGATACGATTTGTAAACATCTTAAAAATTTGGCAGCCTTTTTTACTATCCGGCGGCTACTTATTGGAATTTCTGAGATTCAGGAAAATCACTTTATATACAACATCGAAATAGAAATATTTCGACTGTTAATAACGCTCGAATGATTTAAAAGTCATTTCCAAGCGAAAAAACAAACCTACGAGCAGTTCAATTTTCGTTAAATTGTACCAAAAAAAAGTTTATTAGTAATTTAATTTCTTAATTATAATCCATTAATATTATAAAATCTTAAAGAAAAAAAATTTTCAAAATCGGTAAAAATTCATAAAAAATTTATAAAAAATAAAAAACTTTAAAAATACAATTAATAACATTTTTTCTAATAAAAATAAATTGTTTCTTTTGTAAAAAATTAAAAATTAAATTGTTCTGCTCGTAATCTCATTAAGAGATTAAAAGAAACAGAAAAAAAAAATAAAAAAAAAACATTAGTCTGCACATTCCTAAATCTCAAGAAGTGTAACAACATCTAGAGAGGCTCTTTAAAAATTTTTTGATTTTCTTCCATAAAACAAAAAAAGTTCCTATTGTATAATCAAAATCAAAAAAGGACCTCTCTAATATAGTGCTTTTTTTGATTGCAATGTTTAGAAATTTATATATATGTAGATAGTATACTCTAAATGCGAGCGGAAATTGTGTTTATTTTTTTTATCACACAAAATTTCCGCTCACTAGTCCTTTTTTCGCTATTTTTTTTTTTTTTTTTTTTTTTTTTTTTTGATAAACTTTAACGTGATAATAAAGCATTTAATGTTTGTGGGAGATGAAATTTTGAAGGGGGAAAATGTGGCTGTGCAGGCAGTATGAAAAATATTTCTCCATTAATAACTTAAGAAAAGGAGAAGAAAAAAAATATTTAAAAAAATTAATTTAAAAAAAAATTAAAAAATCCTAAAAAAAAGTCCAAGGACCTGCGTGATAAAAGATAATTCTTGTGTTTCGCACTTGGCAAATTTAGTTGATGAACTTAAAAAAAATGATAAGAACTTCTATTCGCGAAATTGATGTAACCTGAAGTTTGCTCAATTAACTTGTTTACGCGCGATATTTATTTTGTCGTATTTTCTTCGACGGATTAATTTTTGTAAAAAAAAAATCTAAAATTTCTTTTTTGAAATACTCTTAATGGCGTTGCACAATTCGCGCAGATCCCAATGACCTGTGATTTAATTAAAGAGGTGAATGTGCGAAAACGCAATTTCAAAAAATAAAAAACATCCCAAAAAAAATTTGTAAAAAAGAAATATTAATTTTCTCAATTCAAGCGGTGCGTATTAAATTAAATTAATTAAACTTTTCTTATAAAAATCTTGATATTTTTCTATTGCTTTTTTTAATGAAAATTTTTCTATTATTATTAATTATTGTTAATGAAATTATATTTAATAAATGTTAATTATTATTTATTAATGATTAATATTTATTAATGAAATTAATATAAATAATTATTAATAATGATTTACTAGTTAAAAGAAGTATGTACATTTATTGCTTACGAATTTTGCTTTAATTTATTTGGAAAATAATTTACTTTGCTACATCACATTAATTAAAGAAGAAGATGATTGTTTTCAATCCTTCACCTTTTTAATTACCGTTAGACATAGTTAATCAACCCAAGTGCCAAAATTGTTAATAAGAAGTATGCGTCTGATGAAATATAAATATACAATTATTAAGTGTATGTATTTGTGTATGTAAAAAAGTCATATAATTAATAATCGGAAAATCAAATTTTTGTACATAAATTTAGTCAAATGGAAGCGAAATTTAACAAAAAGAAAAATTATAACCAATTATCTTCGACTTATTGACATAATTAGATAATCAAATTACAAACGAAAATCAAAATGCAAAATTTATAGGCAATAAGATTTATTATTTAATATCTTTTTGTACAATTCATTTTCTTGTTAAACAAAAAATAATAAATAAACACAACGTTTACGCACCGTAAAAATAATTTTTATTTACATCCTCAATTTCAATTTTAAATATTTTCTACTTTAAAAACAAAACGTTAAAATTAAAAAGATGGGTAATTAAAAAAAACTACATATGAAATTAGATGTCAAATTAAATTTATTGGTACCATAAGATTTCACAATGAATTTCTGTAATTGCAGTGAGCGGTGCGCTGTTGATAAAAAGAGAAAAAAAATAAACTTTAATTTTACTTTGCTTTTGCATTACGTAAACTACTTATTACATTTCGAAGAAGTAATAGCCGTTCGAAGCCGGTACAAAAAAAGTTGCAAGCATTCTTAAAAAAAATCTATTTTACGAAACTAAAAAAATATTACATGAAAAAAACCCTGACAATTATAATAATTGAAAAAAATACGATAAAATTCACTGAATAATTCTGTTTGTACCATAATACATATACATATATATATATATATTGCAGAAAGCAACGCTTAAAAATCAGGATATTTTTATCCTGAAATTCCTTTTTTTTCTTTCATATATAAGAAACAAAAGATTTGATTTTTTTTTTTTAGTTTCTTATTATTTTTTCTTTATTTCTTGACATTTTCAAGTGTCAATAAAAATTTCTCTAACGCTCCCAAAAATTTTTTTTATTATTTTCAAGCTCAATAGACAAACTAAAATCAACATTTTTAACGCCTTCTCGCTCCTAACGGCCTCGTCAATAAACACAAGGCTTTTTTTTTAATGAACGAAATCACAAGAAATGAAAAGAGAAAGAGAATAAAAATATGATTTGGGAGTAGTGTGAGTTGAGTGGAGGGGGAAAAACAAAAAAATGAAGCAAAATAAATTGGTTTAATTGATGAATTCCCGTGGTCAGCGTTGCATTTTTACTTGAATGCTAAAAGCTAGAAGATTCGAGGGAGATATTGACCTCGCGCTGTTATGACAGTAATAATTTTTGTTGTCGACACGATACCGTGAATTAGCGAATTGCACGTGTGCCGTGGTATGTGCGTGCTTTCAAGATACATTTATCTTGACTGCATTGAACGGAGATGAAAAATTTGAAAATATTTTCCAAAAAATTTATCTGTCAATTGAAGAAAATTTTAACTCTCTCGAGGAGTTTCTTTTTTTGTAATAAAAAAATGTATTTTCTTGTATAATTTTTCAAATGGAAAATTGTTTTAATAAAAAATAAGTACTCCGTTCGATTGCAGAGAAAACTGCTACTACGTGGCACACTCGTTCAATTTGGTCACGTCATTTAAGCGTTGCAAGTATCATTTTCTTTTTTCTTTTTTTTTGCTTTTACTTTTGTTGGGTGTGTGTTTTTTTTTAAAATACCAGCGTCACTCGATAACCGCGATTTAAAGAAAACGATCCGCTCACGGTAAGCGCGTATTACGTTAAATTGGCATTTCCTATTCTCTATTATAGACTTTGGTGTCATTTTCTTCGATATTTCGATGTCCTTTGTATAGCCTTTGCCACAATGAATTTATTTCCAATGAATCCATCCATACCATTTGATCTCATCATTGAAACGGGTTTTCCGTTTGAAAACGGCGAACGGCGATAAACGTGTTTTTTTGTTGTTGTTGTTTTGTTTGTTAACCATAGTTACCCCTTCTTTGACAACGACGACGACGACGATGATGACCTTTCGTGAATGTACACACAGGACCGTTACTCAATCGCCAAGCCGTGTTTTACCGTTTTGCGCAGTTAGTGATTTTTTGTTGATGTTGTTGTTTGTTGGACGAAGAAAAATTGGTCGAAACGAGCCTTCTCAGTCGCTCCCGCGACGCTGCATGGCGAATGCATTGTTCAGCCGTATGCTTTCGGCTCAATAGGGCTGGGAGAATTGACCCCCGGCTTGCGACTGGCCTGATTGATAAAAGCCACTTCTATCGCCCTGATAAGTCGAGTCCTGAGATAATAGTCCGTCCATTTGCGATTGAAATTCACCAACTGCGAATGAATCCTGAAACATGTTTTTTAATTTGTTAGTAAATGCAAAAATAACATAACGAATTGATTAAGGACGAAACAAATTAATTATAAACGAAAGTTAAAGGTTATTTTTCAAAATTATTTACAGGCATCGCAGTACATTCTTCCTCTGAAATAGGTGAAAAGGTGTGAATTATACATAAATTAAAAATTCAAACGGAATTCTCTTCATAAGGGTTTTTGTAGACAACAAACCTCAAAAACCATTTTTTTAAAATGTTTTACAATTTTTTATAATCATTTTTTTAAACAATCAAAAAAAATGCAGTGTTTTCGGGACAATTTATACCCGTAGAAAATAGAAGGGGTTTAAAATTTACATCATTTCTATTTCTTCATTAAGACAATTGTTTTAATAAAATTCAAAGTTTTTTAAAAATAAAGGAAAAAAATGTTTATAAATTCTATTTGTCAATTACTAATTTTAATTAAAAATGAAATTGAAAATTTTTGAACTTTTAGAAAACAAAGGAAAAAATTTTACTCAAAAAAATGTTCTGTTACATTTATTTAAGAATTTCTTTAATTGTAAAATTATTCAAAAACATCAATAACTTTTTTTTTAAAATAAATATTTAATTACTATTATTTTTCCATAGGAATAAAAATTTTCAAAATTTTCAAATTCAAACCTTTTTGAAATTAAACAACTTTAAAAATATTATTATCGGAGTGATTGATTTCTTCATTTTTTATAATAATTAAAGATAATAGAGAAATAAAATAATTATTTTATATTGTATAAGAATATTGTTTCTGTAGTTTCTTCAAAATTAATTTCCTATTCAATTATTATCTAAAATTTATCTTTAAATCAATTTTTATTAGAAAATTCTATGAGAATTCAATCATTTAAATACAAAAGTAAATTATTTATTCAATAATTGAATGTTTCTCAAAATTCAATTCTTATAAAGAATTTTATTACCAAATTTTTAAATAATTGAATTCTTTTCAAGAAATTTTAATAAAATTTTTAAGAATAGTTACGTTTTTCAATTATTTTTATGAAAATAATTAAATGTTTGTGTACAATTTTATTAACATTTTTTTAAATAATTGATTTCTTTTGGGTAGTTTTATTAAAATAGTAGAGATATTGAAAATTATTTAAATGAGGAAAATTTTTGAAAATAATTGAATTATGAAGAAGAATTTTATTATTTATAGAAATAATTGAGATTTGGACGAGTTTTTTTTTCAATTTTGAACATAATTCAATTTTATGATAAGAATTTTATTACTTTTGAAAGTAGGTAATTGAATTTCTGCAATCATTCGTAACTTCAAAATTCAATTTTTTTAGTATTTTTAACTAAAATTCTTCTATAAATCTATTATTTTTAATAATTAATTAAATATAGATATAAATTGACAAATTTAACTATGTAATTTTAGAAAATTTTAAATTATTACTATTTTTAATAAATTTAAGTTCTTTAAAATTTTTAATTAAATTCATTCAAAATTGAAATTTTAGAAAATTTCAAATTGAAACTGTTTAAAGTTCATTTATTTATGAAAATTGTAAACGCAACTCTTTTAAAATTGAATTAATTTTGAAGGATTGAAGTAAAAAAATTATTCATTTAATAATTTATGTCATTATTTTATGATAGTTGTTCAAGATTTAAGTTATTTAAAAAGAAATTATTGTCGCAGAAATAGAAAAAATTTAAGGGTTTTTTAGAATTCTTGATAATTTTATAGTTTATGAGACAAACAAAGAGACACAAATATTAAGAATTTTCTTATAAATTTAAAAATTTTTATTTTTTTCAGTATTTTTAATAAAAATCTCTGACTTTTCCCTGAATTCCCTGTGTCAAGAATATATATGATTATTAATAGTTTTAATAATATTAAAACTGTATTCCAATTCATATTTTATTTTAGTGAAAATAAATTTGAATTAAAAATTTTTACGTTCTATTATTTTTAAAATTGTTACTTTTATTTAAAAAAGTGAGTAAAAAGTTAGCCGCGCGCGAATTGTTGCTAGCTTTTAATCAAAACTGTTTGATAATTTTTAAAAACTTTTTTTAAAATTTTAAATAAGTGACAAAGAAAGTGAAAAAAGTGATCCCTGTATTCACGAAAATCACCAAACATTAATTTATGTTCAATTTAATACTTCTATAAATTTGAAATACAAATTTAATTTGTAAAAATTTGGATTGCATTCAGGTTTAAAAAATTGTAAACAAATTAAATTTTAAATCGTCAAAACTTTTCAGAATTTGCATTTTAAAGAAATTTTTTTTATACAAATTGACAATTAAAATTACGTTTTCCGAATTTCTATCCAACCAGAACCGATATTAAATCAAACTTTTCTCATTTAATAAAATTATTAGATTCAACCGATAAAAATTGTTATTAATTTATACTTCACTTAAAATCCTGTTTCTAATTCAATAAAATTACTTTTGATTAGTTCTGTTAACTATAAATTCTGTTGATTGTAAATTCTGTTGAATGAAAGATTCGATTAAGTCAGAGAAACATAGATTAGATTTAGTATTTATCACTTATTATATTTAACCGGTATAAATCGTTACTAATGTATATAATTCTGATGATTAAAAATTCATTTTACCTAAAATATTGCATTAAATAAGGATTTTGTTAAATAAAAATTCAGTTAAATTTAAAATATTTTAGATAAACAGTGCGTTAAACTGATTTTTTGTTAAATAATCATTAACATAAAAATTTCGTTAAAGTCAACATTAAATTGAATATTGCAAAGAATTTAAAATTTAAATTAAATGTTAAATTATTTAAAATTGTAAATTATTGTTTTGACAAATGAAAATTCGAATCAAAATTTGTCGTATCAATAATATTATAAAGGAGAATTAAAATGGCAAACAATAGAAATTTGCATTCATTGAAACATAATTTGATTAGAAATAAAAATTTACATATTTTACGATTAGGTGTATTTGCAAAATTTAATTTGGAAATAATTAAAAATTTATTAAAAAGAAAAATGTATGAAAATTTAGAGCATTTAAAAGGTAGATAAATTAAAGTTAGTGAATTAAAATTTGAATCTATGAATTTTTAAAAAAAGAAATGTGACTTTTTAATGCCTGAAAAAATAATCTCACCTGTGAGAGTTCCGCTTGCGAGAGTCCAGGTTGCGAGAGACTGAAGCCAGGTTGCGACATTCCCTGCGTTGTTCCTTGCGTCAATGGCAAGCCTGGTTGACTATAGGGTTGTGTATTCTGCTCTGTCTGACTCAATTTTCCAATTCGTGCTCCGGCTTTGCTCTTCAATGGTGTCATTCCACGTCGATTGCGTTGATTTTGCCTCGCCTGGAGTGCCTGTTGATGTTGATTGTAAAATCTCGGCGGCACATGTGCCATGTTCATGAACATTCCCACCGGAACTGGAACATTATTCATCGCTGCCTGCGCCCTCTCAGGACTAATATAACTAATCGTGTCATGCGTTCTACTGAAAATGTCCAACGTCACATTCCTCTGATAATAAGGATTGTGATTCTGATTGCCATTCACTTGCGCTCCGGACCTATCGTAAACTGAGCCAGGAATTAGTGCTTCCCTCGCGTCATACATTGACGTTGACATGAAATGTGAACCTGGATTTGATGCATTCACAAGTTTCTTCGGTTTTGCGAATTGAATCATGGATTCTTTTAGATTATTTAAAGGACCTTCGACTAAAACTTTTTGCTCCTTGTAGAAACTTAGTAAATGATTCCAAAGCGGTTGCTTAGAGAGAACTTTGGGATTACCGACGATAATAATCCCGTACTTTGCTCTCGTTAAGGCGACATTCAATCTTCGCGGATCGTTCAAGAAACCGATACCTTGATGTTCATTGGATCTTACACAGGACATGATGATAATGTCCTTCTCTCTTCCTTGAAATGCATCAACACTCGCGACCTCAATTTCTTGATAGAGTTTCGCGTGCAATGAACCTTGATATTGCATGTATTGAACTAAATAGGCTCGTTGCCCTTCGTAAGGGGTTATTACTCCAATTTGTTCTGGTTTCACGCCACAACGTAAAAATCGCGTTGTAATCTTTTCGACATTCGAGGCTTCGGTACGATTTAAATACGACGTTCCACTGCCGGCAATTTCTTCTTGGCCCTGTGTCACGTAGAAAAACATTGGTTTATCAGGCGCCGGCCATGGGAAGTCGATTTTGAGCAGTTTTCTTTCATCGGCACAGACACCATTTTGTAGGGAACCTTCGTAGAAGAAATTCGATGGGAATCGTGACAGATCGGGATGCATTCGATATTGAACTTCAAGTCTGAAGGGTCGTATTCCAAGGACAACGAGACGTTCAAATAGAGATTGGGAAAGACCGGCTCTTGCTGCTTTCTTACACATTACTACCGGTCCCAATTGACAGTGATCACCGACGAGGATCAATTGCTTTGCTCCTAATACGACTGGAACCATGCATTCCGGTTCAGTTGCTTGCATACTCTCATCAATTAAAATCGAATGAAATTTAAGTCTGTGGAGTCTTGGATCACCGGCTCCAACGCAAGTACAACAAATCACATCGGCAGCTTCGAGTAATTCTTTTTCGGCAGCCTTTTTCAATAGTCGATAACGTTTCTCATCGACACTGGAAAGCTCACCGGTCTCATCTTTCAATTGTTGGAGTTTTTGTAATTCCGTATTTGTTTCCATATTTTTTATCTGATTGTGTAGGGCCAAAAAGCTCACCGGCGAATCTATCGCCTCACGCGATTTGGCGCAAAGACGAACAACTTTAAGATTCGATTTGTGTATTTTTTCGGTCAGTTGATCGACAGCCGTGTTAGAGGGAGCGCAAACGAGCACTGGACCACCATTTTGCTTCACGAGTTGATAAACAATTGTTGCACTTGTCACTGTTTTTCCCGTGCCCGGCGGACCCTGAATTAGGGACAAAGGCCTTTGTACTGCGTGCTTCACGGCATAGACTTGAGAACGATTCAAATCCGGTAAATTCGGTGCACTGAAATGTTTCGGTAGGTGACAGCGAAACAAAACTTCCTCCACTTCGTGACCAAGAAGACGGTGATAAATGTAAGCCGATACCGATGTATCGTCAACGGCAAATTTCTTCAGAGCCAATTGCATTCTGCAAAAAGAATCGTAAGTGAAATGTAAATAAAAGATTAAAATGGGTTTTTTTGTCACAGAAAACAGGGCTCGAACCAGTGGGAGTATTTAAAAATACGGACTTTACGGACCAAAAATGAAAAATTACGGACCAATTACTGACAAAAATATAACCAGTCTGAGTCCAATAAGAGAACATTTTACATAAAAAAAACTATAAATTAAATGTTTCATAACTATAAAACATAAAGATATCGATAACTCCAAGTCGAAGACTCGGAGTGATCAATTTCTTCATGATTTCCAATACTTCAAGTTGAAGTTGAATGATAAAATCATTATCAATTCAATTATTATTTTCAAGAATTTTTAACTAAAATTCTTCTTTAAATCGATTATTTAAAATTTTTTTTTAAAAAGTTCTTTGACAGTTTTCAAATCTATTTGTTTACAATATTCAATTATTATCTAAAATTCTAACAGAAATTAATTTTTAAATCGATTTTTATTCGAAAATTCTACTAGAATTCAATTATTTGAATACAAAAATAAATAATTTATTGAATAATTGAATGTTTCTTAAAATTCAATTCCCATAAAGAATTTTTTTATCAACAAATTTTTAAATAATTGAATTCTTTCGACAAATTTTAATAAAATATTTAAGAATAATTACATTTTTCCAGAAATTCGATTAAAATTGTATTAAAAATAATTGAAATTAAGCGATGAGTTTTATTATTTGTGAAAATAATTGAATCCCTAAGAAGAATTTTATTATTTTTGGAAAATATTTCATTTTTGCGAAGAATATTATTACTTTTCAAAATAATTAAATTTCTGCAATAATTTATAACATTTCAAAAATTAAATTTTTTTTTCATGTTTTTAACTAAAATTCTTTCAATTTCAATTATTCGTAAATTTTTCAATTAAATATATATATTAGAAAATAAAAACTTGAAATAATTTTTTAAAAAAATCCACAATTATTAAACTTTCCCAAAAAAATTAATTGCACATAATTATTAATTAAAAATACGAAAAAATTCAGATTTCCAAAGATTTTAATTTGAAACCTTTTCAAAATTCAATTCTTTCTAAAAATTCACGCTCTAATGCTTTTAATATTCAATTTTAATTTTCTATCATTTTATTTGAAATTGTAAAAAAAATAACTGAAATTCTGCGATAAGTTTTGTTTTTTATGAAAATAATTGAATTCTTGCAACGAATTTTATTAAAAAATTGAATTCCTGTGAAGAATTTTATTTGTGAAAATAAAACTACGAAGAAAAATATTATTATTTATGAAAATAATTTATTTCTTATGAAGAATTGTATTAAATTTTTTTTAAATAATTGAATTCCTGTGAAAATTTTATTTTTGACAATAATTCAATTCTTGGGAAGAATTTTATTATAATTCCTTAAATAATTGAATTCCCATAAAAAATTTGCTATTTGTGAGAATGATTGAGTTCCTAAAAAGAATTGTATTGAAAATAATTATTGAATTATATTGGAAAATTTTATTAAAATTGAAATTTTATTAACTAAATTTTGTAAATAATGTTTTCAAAAATTTTTTAAATAATACAATTTTTTAAAGAATTTTATTTAAATTTTTCAAAATAATTGAATTTCTCGGAACTATTTTCTTAAATTCTCTGAATATAATTGAATTCTTTCGAGAAACTTCATTAAAATATTAAAAATAATTGCATTGGTGCGAAGCCATCTATAAAAAAAATTGGTACGTATTTGATTTCGTGTGAAATTTTTATTAAAATTTTGTTTAAATAATTAAATTCTTTTGGAAAATTGTATTAAAATAGATATTAAAAATTATTGAATTCAGGAAAATTTTTGAAAATAATTGAATTTCGGCAATCATTTGTAATTTCTCTAAAATTCTCCAAATTATATCGTACAATTCACGAACTTTTCGACATTTTTTATCAAATTTTACTGGACTTTACGGACCTAGTTTGAGCCCTGGAAAAATAGGTTTTAAATTTTGAAAAATGAAATATGGAAAAGTTGCTTACCGATCGAAACTCGTACTCTTCCAGATAAAATCAACAACGAAATTGCTGACACACTCTGTAGGCGCTCCAGAATTATTTTTCAACTCAATACCAACTTCTTCGCCATAGTTGTCGGGTATTTTAATCACATGTCCAATACCAGACCAGGGTTTGTGCAATTCCCCGAGGTAACGAAGTCGCAATTCATCTCCGTGCATTAGTTTCATATCACCGTCAGTTTTTGCAAGCATAAAATAGGCAATTGTCTTTTTATTTAAACCAACATCCCATCGTACCTCGATATTCTCCTGCGTTTGTGATTCTTTCAAACGCTTATCGTAATCCGCTTCCAATTTCACCAATGGACCAAATATATTTTGATATTGATAGCCGTCCTCGTATCTCAATAAAACTTGTTGTGGCTCCTCATCAACACCAGGCTTCTCAAGATCCTGAAATGTTGCATCAACATTGTCGCGCCACAATTCTTCGAGTTTATTTATTTGTTGTGCCGATATTTGTCTTGCACGCAATTGCTCTTGTTCTGATGGTATTTTCACTAACCATGCGAGAAAACTACGATCTTCTATTAATGGTTTCCATTGTTCTTGATCCCTGGAAAATTTTTATGTTTTTTTACAAAAATTTTAGTCATTTATATTTCTGTTTTTTCATTCTACAAGAATAAAATGTTAAACAATTCACCAGTTCATATCCTTGAGGGAACTTTGTGCAGCACATGGTTGTCGACAGAGAAGAACAACAACTGAGTCTGCTTTTGCGGGAATAAAACCAAGAACGAAGACATTTCTCACTGCACATGAATAACATTCGAGTACCGTTTCACCCAAAGGTCCATCTCTGGAAAATTCAATTTATTTCATTCGTTTTGTTAAAAAGGTTTTTGTTTCAAACAGAAAATTTTAAATAATAATAATAATCGTACCTGTGCAATGTGACTTCCTTGTGCTTTGCCCGAACGAGATGATTGATAATGTGCGAGCCTGACGTATTTCCTCGACCATTGCAAAACCATTTGCGACAAACATTGCACATCACAACACAAGAAGCTTCGTGAATACCACAATATTTACACGCATGTTCCGGTAAATCACGATTATAATATGCTTCTTCCTCTTCTTCTTCGAATTGTAGCTCCGCGAGTGTTTGTGCTGCCCCAGAAATCTTCAGGTCCAAGGACGATGCAACACTGGTTCCATTAACCTTAAATATAACCCAATATTGAAAAAATATAAAACCATAGAAATTTCTTAAATCTATCTACTAGTCAATAAAAAGCATTCGTGTCGTTCAAGTTTTAACAATAAAGATAACCTGAAATTATCATACGACTTAAACTTCGGTACATTATTATATGAATTTGACATTTACTCCGAAATTTACAAAAATTAATATTAATTTCTAAATTATAATTTACAAAAAGAAAATAGAGAAAAAGAATGAAACGGCTGTAAAGAAAAACAAAACAAATGATAGGAGCATCACCAGAACCAGAACATAAAATCAGAAAAATAAAAAGTGAGGTTAAGTTGAAACCGCGTGGGACGGGTGTCCGCAGACGATTTCTTGGATGTTATCACAACGTTCCAAGGTTACAGAGGAGAATTGCGATAAAGAAATAAAGGAGAATTTTTTTATTCAACTACTATAGTAACCTGCACTGGTTGACTTTGCTGGCCCTGGGTTGCAGCATCATGCTGTGAAGCCTGGGTTTGACTCGGCGAGGGTAATGTAAAATCAGTGAAGTCAAATTCACTGCCCTGTGTATCCGCTCCAATTAAATCTGTTTCCTCTGTGTCGAGAAAGGTGAGGGTTTGACTACTAGGTCCATACGCGTCGACACTCATCTTGTTCTGATCTGTATTCTTTATTCGTTGTTGTCTCAAGAAAGTGACTGTGAACAATCACACCACAGGATTTGATTATGAATTTTATTTCCCAACAGCCGGCTGATCGAGTGAATTACGTGTGGCAGCGAATGAATAAGGAAGTTTGCACTGTGTGACGAAACAAAAATTCTACGCCATACTTCGGTTTACTCCCACCAACATCGACACGAGTACAAGTTTTTACCCAAAAGATTACGTCATCAGCTGATTTCTGAACCATGGATCATAGCAAATCAAGGTTGATTCCTTCTTCATTTATATTTTCCCACCCACGTGGTGTAGTGTTGTTGTTGTTTGTTAGTTGCAAAAACTCACGAAAGAGGGCTTTTTGAATTTCCAAGACAAAATTCAATGACACTGAAATTGCGCAAAAATTTCTCTTTAAACAATTGAAGTTATTTTTATTTTTTTAAAAAAGTGCAATTTCTTGAAAAAGATTTAATTTCAAGTATATTTTTATATAATCATAAAGTAGTATAGATGTAATAAATAATTTAGCAATTAGTAATATTTTATTAATAATAGTGACGTTTTAACTACAAAAATTTATAAAAGTGGTTAGTTTTAAGTTTAATAGACAAAATTTAGAATTTATGTAAAATAATTTTAAAAAATATTATTTATTCCAAATGCAAATAATTTAAACCTTTGCGCTATTAACCCTTATTGGTTGAATGGGATGCGCAGTACATGTAGAGTTGCCCACGTGATAAATATGAAATTCCTCATTTACTAAAACTTGTAATTTTTCTTTTATAAAATTAAAATTGCTTACAATCTTTTGAATCTTAAAGCATAATAGAATTATTTATGTCTTGGGATACTTAGAATGCAGCAAAAAATATGTTAAATTACAATTTTTGGGAAAAAACTTGTTGCAGAATGATGCGCACGCACACCGGTGAATATTTATCTGCGCATTTCAACAAGACGCTACTCACACGCATTTGAAACATTGTAGAAGAAGTCGTAGTTTTTCGTTTATTCCTCGCTCGAACCTCATAAACGACGGATCTGTTACTTTTACTCATATTTAACTTTCATTTTTTAAACGTGAAACTCATTGTAATTGAGCAGTTTTTAACTTTCCGCTTTAATATTCGCTTCCGCGAATTCATTTTAATTAATATTGGATTTTAAAAAAGGTATTTAAAAGTACTTTAATTACTAGTGTTGTGCCGGCCCTCGTGTGCTGCAATTTCTTTGTTTCGTTTCAAACAATGAATAGTCGTAGAATAGAGAATATTGAATTTTTCTAATATTTTAATTTCTTGTTTTCTTTATAATTAATTTTAACATAATTACTTTTTTTCAATAGTTCAGAAATGGCTTACGTTCCAGCCGGTGCGTTAGACCGGACTTCTAACGAAAACGGTCTCAAAGAAAATCTAACTAATGGATTAAGGTAAGTAAACGTTTTAATCTCTTTCTAATTTTTTTTTTTTTAAAGTAATTTTAATAATTAATTACCTAATTTTTCATTTTTTGGGAAGAAATTTTAATATTGCATTTAGTTTACGTTACATAACCTTAAAATCTTTTTATAATTTTTGCACTTTTTAACGAGGTATAAAATCTAATTTTCTTAAATTTGGTTATTTGCAAAAGCGTGTACAGAAGGAATTTTTTGCTTTAACTACTTGCTTTGATTAAACGTACATAATTATTGATAACACGCGGAAATTCAAGGACTAATGTTTGATTTCTTTTCATTATTCCGTTTATATCAATTTTTCCCATGGTGTTTACATAAACTGTGTATAATATTTAAACTGTTTTTCTGTAGTAGCAGGGTTGCTACGCAACGTGAAAACCTGGAAAAGTCAGGGAATCTTGATCGAAATCCTGGAAAATTGTTGTTTTCTCAAGTTATTGTGCTTATTCTTGAAATTTAATTTCACTTAAATATTTCAAAATTAATTCAATTTTAAAAGAATTGCATTTACAATTTTCATAAGTAGATGAACTTCAAAAGATTTTGATTTCAAATTTTGTAAAATTTTAATTGTAAATAAATTTAATTAGAAATATAAAAAAAAACTTAGATTTAAAATAAATTTTTTTAACTAAAATTCTTCTGAAATTAGTTAAGTTTTTTAATATATTTAATTGATTATTAAAAATAATGGATTTATAGAAGAATTTTAGTTAAAAACACTAAAACAAATTGAATTTTAAAGCTATTACAAAAGATTGCAGAAATTCAATTATTTTCAAAGGTAGTAAAATTCTTCTCAGAAATTCAATTATTTTCAATACATTTTTAATTAAATTTCTTTGAAGAATAAAATTGTTTTCAAAAATTTTAATGAAATTCTTTGCGTAACAATTAAATTTTTTCAAAATAATTTTAATAAAATTCTTCGCAGAAATACAATTATGTTTAAAAATTTCTCTCCGAAATTTCAATTATTTTTATAAATAATAAGATTTTTCTCCGAAATTCAATTATTTCAAAACTTTTAATAACATTCTTGAGAGAATTTCAATTATTTTTAACATAATTTTCATTAAATTTCTTGAAAAATGCAATTATTCTTAAAGATTTTATTAAAATTTGTCAAGAGAATTCAATTAAAAATTTGTTGATAAAATTCTTTATGAAAATTCAATTTTCAGAAACATTTAATTATTTAATAAAATATTTATTTTTCTAGTTAAATAATTGAATTGTCGTAGAATTTTCTAATAAATATTGATTTAATAATGAATTTTAAATTAAAATTTCAAAATTTTTTGAAGTTTTTAATTTTTAATGTATATATTATTTAATTGAAGAATGGCAGAATAATCGAAATTTCGTAAAATTAAATTGTAAACAAACGAATTTGAAAATTCACAAAGAACTTTTTAAAAAATTGACTTAAAGAAGAATTTCAGTTGAAAATTCTAGAAATGAATAATTGTAATGATGGAAATAATTTTTGAAAGAGTTACAGTAACAAAGTAGCAAGAGTTTTAATTATTATAAAACATGAAGAAAGCGATCACTCCGAGTTGAAGACTCGGAGTGATCGATATCTTCATGTTTTATAATATTCGTATATGTTATTGAATTTAAAATTTTTGAATATCTTAATTTCTATAAAAAAAAAAAATAATGATTAAATATTTATTTAAAAATGAAATTATTTATGTTTTCGAATAATTTTCGTTTTAAAAACTTGGAAGAATTTCGTTTTTTAACCTGGAAATTCTGGAAAAGTCAGGGAATTTGAAAAGAGCAAAAGCATAGCAACCCTGAGTAGAAAAAAATTGAGCACTTGTTTAATATTGAACATTGAAATACATATTTTGAATAAATCATTAAATTTTTATTATATTATTAACTTTATTCTTGTTTAACTATTGAAATTGTGTATATTAATATTTTAAATAAATTTTTAACAGTGAGAAAATTGAGACCAAGTTATATATTGCAAATTTGCCACCAGAATTAAATGAGGTAGGTTCATTTTGCATTTTTATTTCGTTGATAAATTTGAATAAATTTTTTTACAGTTGTAGTTAATAATTTTTAATTTTTGAAAGGATGGCATTAAGCAAATTTTCACTCGGTACGGAGATGTCACTTCTATTTTATCACTATCGACAGTCGATTGGGCATACGTTACCTATAGAACACATCGAGAAGCTGTCCTTGCAATAGCCAACTTGGATGGAAAACCACCTTTAAATTTAAAGGTAGAAATCTCTAAAGGGAGACAGGCAAGAAATGTAAAAGAACACACACGAGAAAATGGATTGTCCGTTGATCCAGAGAGAAATCCTAATCCTTATGCACCAGATCACAGAGAAGCCGATGTTTTTGTGCAAGTATTTTCTTTTAAAAAAAACAACTTTTCAATAGTTGCAGAAAATAATTTTTCTAAAATAAAAAGCTGCCACTGATGTTTCAGACAAAACAAAATAATACGTTCATTTATTTTTCTTGTTTTTTTGTTTATAGTTCTCGTAATCACGTGCCACATCAAAGTATTCCAGAAAGATTACGATCAAGATACATGATACCTTCCTATGAAGTAGAGGATGATATAATGTACCCAGTAGAAAGTCATCCGAGAACATTAAATCCATTTGAAAATGCATATCCCTATCACAATACAAATTTACTTTGGACAAGGTGAGAAATCATTTTTTCGTTTTAAACAGAAATGTAATACTTTTGACAATTACAGGGTTGCCGCAGGTCAGGGAAATCAGGGAAAAGTCAGGGATTTTTATTACAAGTACTGGAAAAAATTTAATTTTTAGAATTCATAAAAAAACTGAATTTGTTATCTTTTTTGTTTGCCTCATATAAACTATGAAACTACCACAAATTCTAATACAAAACATTCAACATTTTTTTCTAATTCGGACCAGAATGAATTTTTTAATATTATTTAATTATTTCAAAAGTTTTAACGTAATTATCTTGATAAATAAAAAAATTCTTTACAAAATTTCAATTATTTTTAGGAATTTAAAAAAAATTCTTTGCAAAATTCAATTATTTTCGCATAAATGACAATATTCATCACGAGAATTCAATTATATTTATAAATATCAAAAATTTTCGCCAAAAATTCAATTATTTTCAAAAATTTAAATAAAATTCTTTGCAAAATTTCAATTTTCAAAAGTATTTCGCAATTCAATGATTTTCAATATTTACTATTTTTATAAAATTTATCAAATAATTTAATTAATGAAAAAAATTTTTGATACAATTCTACTAAAATAATTCAATTAATTTTATAAATGATCAAATTTCATTTAGGAATTCAATAATTTTCCTCGCAGAATTTCCAATATTTTTAATACAATTTAAAATAAATTCCTGGAAAAATGAAATTATTCTTAAAAAATTTATTTTAACTTGACGAAAGAATTCAAGTTTAAGAATAACATTCTATTATTCAATAAAATAATAAAATTCGTTGCAATAATTCAATTATTTTCATAAATAACTTTTCATTCGTCGCAGGAAATCAATTATTTTCAAAAATTTTTATGTAATTCTACAAAAGAATTCAATTATCTTACGATAAACAACAAAGTTTTCCCCATAAAATCAATTATTTTAAGGAATTTTAATCAAATTCTTTTCCAAAATTCAATTATTTTGATAAACATCAAAATTCATCATAAGAATTCAAGTCTTTTAAAACTAATAAAATACTTTCCGGAAATTAAATTATTTTCAAAATTTTTTAAAAATTCCCGTTAAGAATTAAATTACCTTTATAAATAGATAGTGAAATTCTTCTCAAGAATTAAATTATTGTCAAAAATTTTAATAATATTCTTGGAAAAATTTCAATTATTGAAACGAAATTTAATCAAAATTCTTTGCATGAATTCAATTATTTTCATAATTATTATAATTATATTCTTATCAGAAATTTAAGTATTTTAAAAAAATTGTAATAATAAAATTCTTAAAAAAATTTTCAATTATTTTCAAAAATTGTTATAAAATTCTTTGATATAATAAATTTCAGTAAAATTTTAATTAAATTCCTTAAAAGAAATTAATTATTTTCAAAAGTTGTTAATTAAATTCTTTATAAAAATTGAATTCTAAGAAACATTCAATTATTACTGAATAAATTATTTATTTTTGTATTTAAATAATTGAATTCTCGTAGAATGTCCTATAATAAAAATTAATTTAAAAATGAATTTCAGTTAAAATTTTAGATAATAATTGAATATTAAAAGCATTAGGGGGGAATATTTAGAAATGATCGAATTTTGAAAAGGTTTCGAATTCAAATCTTTGAAAATCAGAATTTTTCGTACTTTTAACTAACAATTCTGCGTAGAATTAATTTTATTACTTCCTCGTAGAGGAAGTATTGTAATACCAAAATTTTTCGAGTTCGATTTTTTGACATATCTTTATGTTATTTGACCTTAGGAGTTCAAAAATGACATTTTTCAAAAATGTCTTTCCGCGCGCGCGTGTGTGTGTGTGTGTGTGTGTGTGTGTGTGTGTAAACATCACATTTTCATAAATATCTCGAAATCATGAAGAGCTTTTGGGTTGAATTTTTTTTAAAATTGTAGATCTCACCTGCGGACATAAAGCGAGAGTACTTTCTGATATATTAATAAAGTTTAACTTAATTTTTTTTTATTTTTAATTTTGCAAAAAAACGTTTTTTGCCCATAACTTTAAAAAAAATGTTAGGACACCTATAAATGTTTTTCCATAATTTTGTAGAGTTTTTTTAGACGCATCTTTTGAACATTTTTCGTCCATATTAACCGGAGTTATTAACAGCATGTGATTGTTACAGAATTCAATGTTAATTTTTTCGACCACTTTTCTCTTAAAATATTAAATAAATTAAGCTAGTTTTTTGTGAATAACTCTAAAATATCATAAAGAAGGGCAGTGATGTGAAAAAGTTTTAATATTTTTAAAATTATTTATTAAAAAATAACTTTAAAATTATCAGTTCTCAAAATCACTTTTAATCAATTTCTCGTCTTTTCCGATTTCAAAGTATTTTTTTATAATTTATTTTAGAATTATTAAAACTTTTGCACATCACTGCTCTTCTTTATTATATTTTAGAGTTATTCACAAAAAACTAGCTTAATTTATTTAATATTTTAAGAAAAAAGTGGTCGAAAAAATTAACATTGATTTCTGTAACAGTCACATGCTGTTAAACTTTCAAAAATCAAAAATTTTGGAAAATAAGACTTTTTTGAAAATTTTGTTGAAAAACGTAAAAGTAATTATCAAATTATTGTTATCAACTTGTAGAGCATTAAAAAACGCTTCGATTGACCTATTTTTGAACCTAATTCGATAATGAATTTCGAAATTATTGGTATTTTAAAAACCAAAAATTGTAAAAAATGACATTTTCTCAACTTTGTTGTTTGAAAAATTTTATTTAACTATTAAATTATTGTAACTATCTTGTAGGGTATTTAAAAATACATTGATTGACTCAAAATTCAATCACTTTTACCATATTTATAAAAAGTTATTCATATATATTTCTATTATTTTTATCTCCATGAGGAAGATTTTGGTGTTCATGAAATGAGCACCAAAATTATAAAAAAAATATACAACTTGGCAGCGGTTTTTTATTATTAATTCACTGGGTTATCTTTAATTATTATAAACACATGAAGAAATCGATTACTCCGAGTCGAAGACTTCTCATGTTTTACAATAAATGTTCTTATAAGTTATTGAATTTCAAGATTTGGATTTGAAATTTTTGAAAATCTTAACTCCTATGGAAAAATAATAATAATTAAATATTTATTAAAAAAAGAAGTTGTCGATGTTTTCGAATAATTTTACAATTATTAAAGATATTCGTAAATAAATGTATTAGAAAATTTTTCTCAGCATCTAATCATTTATAGAGTGAATCAGAATATTCTTTTCGGGTCAGGGAAAAAGTTAAAATTTTGTCTGGAAATTAGGGAAAAACGAAATTAAATTTTTGTGGCAATCCTGAATTAGTTTTTTCAAATTCAATTTTTGACTTTTGTAAATTAAAATTTCACAGAGGAAGACTTGCAGTGGCTGATAATGGACGACGACAAGTGTACATGGGACGTGGACTTGCACGTTATGAAATTCCTGATCATCACCCTCGTTTGGAGGAAAATATATCTGCTTTGTATGATAGGCGTTCAAATGTTGGTATTTTTTTTAAATTTAATGACATTAAAATTTTAAAAAGTAAAACATAACTAAATAAAATTTTTTACAGGGCTTGTATGAATATGGAGTTGATAATTTGAAGTACGAAATTGGCAGATGCTTGTTTTGTGGAAATATCACTAGAATGAGATGCTCAAAATGCACCTCTTTCTATTGTTCACGAAATTGTCAGAAAGCCGATTGGAACGCGCATAAAGTTGAATGTCTTTCTTTACCGTTAGTAACACTTTTTTTTATTACTATATTATTTTGTTTGTATATTTTTCTCGTGAAAGCAATAACAAAATTAATACATTTTCCTTCTCAATTTTAGAGCTTTAACTGGAGTTCCAAATGCGGTAAACGATTTACAAGAACGTGTCTCTGTTTTAAATCAAAGAAAACCAGCATCACAAAAATTGAATTCTGAACATGTTCATGAAGAAAAGGAATCTCAAAATATTGAACAAGAATTGAAACAAAAATTGAAAATCCATCAAGAAGAGGTGAAAGAAGAGACACAAAAATCACGAATTGAAAAAAGGGATATTGATTGTCAATTTCAGAAGCAATTTTTAAAGAAAGATAAATTCATTGAAGTGGAAGTCATGTGTCCTATCTCAAATTGCGAATGTTGGATTCAACGAACAGAAGATGCTGAAAAATTCACCGAGTTAATGGACGATCTTAAGGCATCAGATCTCGCACCAAAAGCAGATTTAATAATTGATTCAATGGTTGCTTACAAATTTTACGATATGTGGCATCGTGCCATGATTTTATCAGTTGAACCATTGACCGTGAATATCATTGACTACGGCATTAATTGTGACGTTAAAAATAAAAATGACATTCGCGATTTGGGAATGTACAAAAATGTTCCCAGTTTTGCGAGGAAGATTTTCATTCAAAATCGAATTGAGGATGAGCCATTGAAGGAGAATGAGCATTTATTCGTTAAATTGGTAAGCGAGAATGATGAAACTGGTGTTCTGATGGTTGTCATTCCACAAACGGAGAAAACCCCATCAGTGAAAAGTGGTCCCAGTTCACAAAATCGTCGCGATTCACAGAGCAGTCATAAATCGGTCAGCAAGAATGAACCAAGTCCAAAGAAGCAGGAGGTGGATGAATCTCGTACTCATTCAACAGTCAAGAGTCCTGCGACTTCTTCTCGAGGAGGCAAGAGACAAACGCCAGTTATTCCCAAGGAACTACCTTGTCCAACTGGTTGTATTTTGGATCATCTCGAAGCTGACGATAAAGGTCTCATTGAAGTTCACACTGAACTTGGGAAAAGTAAATTTTCCATTACAATAATTCCTCAAAGATTCTCCAAATATTATGAGAAGGTTCTGGTTCATTTTGGAACTTACTGTGGGAATGCGTCAAAAACACAAAGCTACACGTGAGTATTTATTGTCATTTTAAAATAACTGCTAACAATTTCATTTCCTTTGCAACTATTTTTACTCATTATTCAGGCCTCGGATAGTGTACAAATTTTTCAACTATTAATTAATATTAATTTCGAACCAATTTTGAATACTTAATTAAACATTTCTTTCATTTTAATGAAAATTTCCAAAGTAGTGGAAAAATATCAAATTTCTAGAAAGATTAAAAAAATTCGAATTTTTGCTGTTCTTTGAAAATACTATAAACCTTAAATTGTCCTTGTTTTCTTTTTCACCTTTAAAATTTAAAAAAAAACATGAGTTACAGTCTGCAATTTTTATTTTTAAAAAATTGAATTTTTGTATTTAAATAATTGAATTCTTAAATAACTTTCTGCAAATTATCAAAAATAATTCATTTCGTGAAGAATTTAGGTTAAAAATTCTAGAAAATAATAGAATTTTGGAAGCATAAATATGAAAACGTTTAGAAATAATAAAATTTCAAAAGATTTCCAATTTAGTTTTTGAAAATTAAAAATTCTAAAAAATTTTGTTGAAATTGATTGAAGTTTTCAGTACACATTATTTAATTAAAAAATGTTCGAATAATCGAAATTTTGCAATTAAATTTAAGACGAATTTTAATTCAACCTTTTCTAAATAATTAAAATTTCGAAGAACTTTCTGGAAATTGTTAAAGTAAATTACTTAGAGAAGAATTTTAGTTAATAATTTTTAAAAATAATTACATAAATTTTTGAAAATTTCAATTTATAATATACTCAGGGTAGCCACCCTGAGCAAAATTTACATGTCAGTAAAGTCAGGGAAATTTAGAAAATTGAGATTTTTTTCGACTTTTCTTCCAAATATTGCAACAAAATATCATTTTTTAGTATTAAATGTAACTCATTTCGATTTTTATAGTGCAAAAAATAACTATATTTCTTTTTAAAAAGATTTTGAATAATTGAAATTTTGTAAAATTTACTTGAAAATAATTAATTTTTTTTCGAATATTTTGTTAGAATTTTTGAAAATCAACTTTTGAAGAATTTTAATTGCAAATTTCCGAAATAATAATAAACTATTAAAAATTTTAATGAAAAATCTTTAAACGTAAATTTAAAAATGAAAATTAATTAAAATTAGTTTCTAATTTTTTAAAATTTAGTATTTTTCAGTACTTTCAATTACATATGTCCGAAAATTCAAATACATAAGAAAAATAATATTTTAGAATTATTTTTAACATTTTGGAGAAAAAAATTATGTTCAAAATATTTCATTAAAATTCATAAAAAAATTAATTAGTTTTTTTTATTAATTCAAAAACTCTTTTAAGAAATCCAATTGTTTTCGAGAAATTACATAAAAATATTTTTAAAAACTACTTAATTCTTAGAATTTTTTTTATCATAATTTTTTAAGATTTAATTATCTTCGAATAAAGCAAATAAAAATTTACTTTTTTGGACTTAATAAAATTTCGGAGAAATCATAGTAAATATTTATAATTAAAATTCTTCAAAAATTTTATTATTTTTATTTTTTGAAAATATTATACCCTAATAAACTGAAGAAAAAAATATGGACAGTTACAATTATTATAAAAAATTGAATTTTCGTATTTAAATAATTTAATTCTCGAAGAACTTTCGGAAAATTATTTAAAATAATTGATTTAGAGATGAAGTTTAGTTAAAAATTATAGAAAATAATTGAATTCAGGAAGGGTTATAATTGTAATTTTTAGAAATTATTAAATTTCATAAATTTTACTCATTTTCCGTTAACTTTCATATTTTTCTGTAAAAAGAATTTTGTCTGGGAAAATAATTTTAATGTCAGCCAAATTGATAAACTGAAACTTGTGACCACCCTGATACTTATTTAAAAAAATTATTGGATTTTTGTAGAATTATAATTGTAATTTTTACAAATAATTAAATTTTCATTATTTAAATAAAGTTTGTTTTGGAAAATTTTATTACAATTTTTTAAAAGTACCCAATTGTATTTTTTGAAAAATAGGTACTGTTAAAAAAGTATCCAAAACTTGTAACTGAAGTTGTTATTATTAGGATAAGGGAAATAAATTAAAATTTTAAAAGTTACAAATTTTTTAGGAAAACAGAGTAAAATTTGAGTAGATAGTAGGAAATAAAATAAATTTTTGGAAAAAATCATAATAGTGAATTTTATTCTGTTACAGTCCGACGATGGAAGGAGAAATTGTCGCGGGTAGAAGAGCAGATGACGATTGGATTCGTGGCCAAGTTTTGTCGCTTGATACACCAATAAAAGTAGCCTCTATCGATGATGGTCGGGTCAGTTTAATCCAGCATTGCCTTAAAATGCCATCCGAGTTTGCTGAAGTTTGCACGTTTGCTGCAACCTGTTCAATACAAGATCTTAAAGAGAAGGTAAACAATTTATTTAAACTTAATTTCTGAATGGTTTAGATTTTTTTTAATATTCACCATATTTTCATTTACATATTATTCTTTATTAAGGATATCCTATTTTTTATTTTATTACTAAAAGTTTACAGTGTAATTATGAAACTAATAATTTTCATTCTAATCCTGAAAATTGACCTATTTTTATCAGGTTGAATCTTTGGAACACTTCTCATTCGTGGTGCTTTCATCGAAAATTGTTGACGGTAAGGCAAATGCAGAAATAATGTTGACGAGGGATAATAATACATCTTTCAAAGCTGATTTGACCCAATGGCAACCACCACCTGAACAAATTGGCGTCACAATGCCAAAACTGAAAACAAATACAGAGGTAGTTTTTTATTTCTTGAAAAAAAATTAATTAATTTCTTTCTTTATTAATATTTTTAAACGTTTTTCTTTGTTGATGTTTTAGATAATAATAACTGCATTCCGCAGTCAATCTTTAATCTATGTACGCAGCCTTGAGACAAGTGAGGTTGAACGTTACAACAGATTACTCCAGGAAGTAGCGAAAGTTGCTCAATCTGGTCAGTATTTATTTTTTTTAATTTATTATATTTATTTGTTTATTTAGAAATTGCCATAATACTTTCTTTCTTTTAATAACAGCTCAAAAATTGAAAAATGTTCCCGTGATTGGAGAAATGATTCTATCGAAATATGAAGACAATAATTACTATCGAGCGGTAATTACAAAAATAGACGGTGATAAAATTTTCATTACTTACATCGATTTCGGTAATGTTGAAGTTACAACGCTTACCGATATGAGAGAAATGCCAAATTCGTTGAAACAGGTTTGTCCATTTTTAGTTTAAATTTGCAAAATTTTAATATTGACTACTGAAAGTAAAAAACAATTTAGAATATTAATAATTTTCCTTTAATATTAAATGTCAAGAAGAGTGATAAATTCTACTACTTAATTTTCCTTTAAATTTTAGCAAAATTCGGCAACAGTTAGAGTTTCATTGAAAGGTGTTCCAAGTGATGTTCCAATGACTGAGGGTCTCGCAAATTACCTTGCACATTTCACCCAAATGGAGCAACCATTAAAAATGACTTTTGAAGGTTCTCCATTGGACGATGGTGTTGAATTGAAAACTGCATCGCGAGAAAGTGTCAATGAAAAAGTTAATCAACTTCTTAATCCAAATTGGAAGGAAGCCGAAAAAGGTAGTTTTCTTTTTAATAGAAGAAAAATGTTAAAATGTATTAAAATTTTCTGTATTTCAATTTTAAATTTAAATATCATATTTTAAAATTTGTTTTCAGAAAAAACTTGCTTCATGCTAGACACTTTCCCTTGTGTGCGTTTGGGAGAAAAAGGTGATACAGTCACTGTTTGCCTTCTTTATACTCAACATGCAGGAACAGAGTATTTCATGTGTCCTCTTGACATTGATTTAATAGCTCACGTTCAAGAAACTCTCCCAGGGATGGTAAGTATTTTTTTCGAAATAAAAAATAGAAAAATAGAACCTTAAGTTAATAATTAAATTAAAAAATGTTATTCTTAATAATTTAGCTTCAAAAGTATGTCGAGTCAACAACCGAACATTACATTCCACGTGAGGGTGAAATGTGTATTGCACCTTTCGAGGGTACATATTATAGAGCCGCGTGTTTATCAAGAGGCGTAAATAAAGCGAATGTATTCTTTGTTGATTATGGAAATCTTGCCGAAGTCGATCACAAAGATTTAAGATTCTTCCCCAAGGAATTTGCAACTCCACCAGCTCTTGGAACTTGCTGCAGAGTTCAGAGTAATTATTATTATTATTATTATAAATTTTAAACATTCTTTTCACCAAATTACAGTTTTATTAGATTTTATTTTAATATTTATATAATTCCTGTTTTGTTTTGTATTTTAACAGACTTTTTACCAAAGGAATGTGAAAAACAGATTTCACCACAACTTGAATTGCGAATTAGAGAACTACTCAGAGAACAAACTCCAGTCAGCATTAAAATTATTGACATCGAGGAATCAACTCAAACTTTCTTCATTGAAATACCAGAAATTCGGAGCATACTTCTCAAAGAAAATTTATTTTAAACTCATTCTTAAAAGAATCCTAAGAAACGATAAGAAAATTAAAAAAATACTTTATTATTGAGGAAAGCGGAAGGAAAATTACTTTATTTTTTATACTGATTAAAAATAAGGCTTTTTTTTGTTCATATTTTATCGTGAAATTATATCGCAACAATAATTTTAAAAGAGAAATGTTTATTTTCTATTTTGTGGAACGATTTGAAAATTTTCTTTTTATATATTAATTAAAATTATAATTAAGTTTCATTTTTAGACCTTTAATTTCTTATAATTAAAAATGTAAGTTTTTTTAATTTTAAAAACAAATTTTTTAATGTTTCACTATGGAAGGAATTATTCTTCGTCACTGTTTCTACAATACATGTATACATTTTTGAGAAATAAATGTAGACGTTCATTTCAACGTTATATATTCATAAAAATGGTTTCATTTATTTCCGTGAAAAATGATAATTACAGTAGTTAATAAGTACCTATAAATATGTCCTATTAAAATTAATAAATAAATAATAGAAAAACTTGAAATTTCTAGAGAAAATATGGTATTGAAAAATAAAACAATCATTAGGTATTAATATTTAAAAATTTTTATGAAACTTTCAATAATTCGGCAAAATATAAATAATTTACAGGCATTTAATTATCATATTTATGTTTTTACTACACTGTTCTTAAACAAATATCAGTCTAAAACTCACATTAAAAATATACCGATGTCGATGGTATATAAATATATAATTGTAGAAACTATTAACCGTATTTTAAATTACAAAGAAATGAATACTTAATCCAAGTCAAGTACTCAATGTGGTTTAGTAAAAAAACAATACTTGTGTAGTAGTAAGTTCAATCTATCTAGTTGAAGAAAAAAAAACACCCTTTTGTTTAAAATAACAATCGAAATTTACAAAAAACGCTAAAATGTCACTCTTCATAAACAGGAAACATCATTTATAATTTCAGCCAACAATGCTTTATCTTTTAATTCATCCTCAACATCTTTCTGCATCCATTCTAAATTTACTTTCGATAAACGTAATTGCTTTTTCTTAACCACTCTTATTATTCCTCGTGTTTCAATTAGAGAACACAATCCAACAAATTCTGATAGATCAACGTCATTTATTTTTTGTTTCTTGCAAACTTTCTTGTAGACCTCGTGTAACTGAAAATTAAGGTAATTTTTAATAAATATGGGAATAATTTTTCTATACTCTTAAATTGAATGAAGCTGAAGTCCGCAACGTTTTTAAAAACGAAAAATCAAGAAAGAATTCATATTCAAGTTGAAATCATTTCTAATTTTCATATTCATAAGTTTTTAAGAAATCATTACTTAATAATTGTCACTTAAAGGACAAATGGTAAACATAACATGAATTTTGAATAAAAATTTAAAAATCGTCACATTATTTTTGCGTTTTCGCTTTTAAAAATGTTGCGGACTTTAGCCTTTTTTTTAAAATAAAATTGATTATATTTTTCAATTAAATTGCAATTTTCATAGTATAAAATATTTTAAAGCGATTTTTGTACAATTTAAATTAAATATAATATTAATTAACATACCCTGGCGACAGTGACGTCCTTATTCGAGTTTTTATTCAGAATAAGAAGCAATGAGCACAAGACAATTTTCTGTTGAACGGGAAAAATATAATCCTGAGACATTGTTTGGGCACCACCGAAAACTGTATTCAAAACGTCGAGTACGTCTTTCATGTCAGCGGCTTTGTCTATTGGATTTGCTTTCAATGCATTCAGTGCGTTTGCATCTATAAAAGAAAATCAATAATAATAGTTTTATAATTATTTTGAAAATAATTTAATTATACGAAGAATTTCTATCAAATTTTTTAAATAATCGTGTCTGTTAATTATTGTTTTAAAAATGTTATTAAGATTTTTTGGAACTAATTGAATTTCTCCCAGAATTTTTGAAAATAACTGAATTTTTTTAAGAAATTTGATAAAAATTGTAAGTACTAAAAATAATTAAAATTCTTTTAAAAACATTTTATCAAAACTTTTGAGAATAATATTGAATTCTTTTGAAAAATTTTACTACAATTTTTAAGAATAATTGAATCCTTTCGAGAAATTTTATTAAAATTGTATTAAAAATAATTGAACTTCTGAGAAAAATTTTATTAATTATAAAGATAATGAATTATGTACGTAATTTAAGTGATTTTTTAAAATTTTTAATATGAAAGTTTTAGTTGTTTTTGTTTGCTTTTTTGTTTCCAAATTTTTTTGATAATTTTTCGTTTTGAATATTTTAAATTTTAAAATGAATGAATTTCTAATTTAATGTTTAAAAGATTAAAAAACAAAAATTAAATAAACAAAATTGTTTTGAATTACAAATCATAGTTTAATTTTTAAATTTAATTTAACATTCTAAAACATAAAAATAGTTATTAATATAAATTTGTTGTAGAAAAACTAATTTTTGTTAATGCAAAATGCGGTTAATGTTACTTAAATTATATAAGAAAAATTTGACTTTATTTTAATGCCTTGTACTATAAATAGAAATTTAAAAATTACTTTTTATGTACACAGGAATTTTTAAATAAACATTATATCAACATTTTCTTGTAACTCAGTGTAATTTTACAAATACATAACGTTTTTGTTAAAAAAATGTTATAATTAATTGTTGTCACTTTTCTAATTTTCAATTTAAAATAATTCCATTCTTGAATAGAATTTTATTACAATTTTTGAAAATAATTGATTGCTTCGAAAAATGTTATTAATATTTTTAAAAATTAATTAAATTTTTTCCAGAAATTTAATTAAAAATAGTTAAATACTTGTGAAGAATTTTAACAAAATTTTGTAGAATAATTGAATCCCTTTGAAAAATGTTATTACAACTTCTAAAAATAATAAATAATAATAATTAATTAGTTAATTCAGTTAATAACTTGATTTTTTAAATTTTGAATCTGAAATTATTAAAAAATAAATTCAAGTTAGTTGATGTTTAAAAATTAAAAATTTCGTAAGGTACATAAATAATAACAAATTGAATATTTGGTAGTTAATTAATAACTAGCAAAGTCCTACGCGCGTGAATGATTTAAGGAATTATCACGGTAGCAATCTACCTATCTGCTTTCCACAGAAAAAATTTAATAATTTCAATTTATATTCTTGCATGTTTACAATAGTTATGATTTTTTAAAAAATCTCGGTATTTCAACTATATTATCATTTCCACGCCTCAGAAGCCATTTAAAAAAATTGCAAGAAGATCGAAGGCGGGGAAAGCAGTGATTTTTATTTTTTGTCACGGATTTTTCAGAAATCCTAAAATATAAAATAAATCAAAATCACTGCTTTCCCCGCCTTCGATCTTCTTGAAAAATTTTTTAATGACTTCTAACATTAAAATAAATAATTAGCAAACAAAAAAAAAATGGTTCCAAGGGGTGGAAATTATAATTTAGTTTAAATACCGAGATTTTTAGAAAATCCTCGAAAAATCAAAATTACTACTTTTCTTGCCTTGGATCCTTTTGCGATTTTTTAATGGCTTCTGTTATTAAAATAAATATAATTACCAAGTGAAAAAACATGCCTCTACTCAACTCATATAAATGTAATAAAATTCAAACTCAAAAGATTTAAATTATAATTTCTTCAAATATTTTAATTTTCATTCTTATGTTTCTAATAATGGTTGGGGTACAGTTTTTCTAAATCGTATTTTCTAAAATTTTTTTTTCTAATAAAGGTGAATTTCTAAAAAAACTTTTTTCTAATAAAGGTGGTTTTGAAATTTTCTGTCTTCTAATAAAGCTAATTTTCTAAAGATTTATTTTTCTAATAAAGGTAATTTTCAAAATTTTTCTTTTTTCTAACAATATTCTATTTTTGTAATCACGATCAATAAGTACATATGATTAAAAAATAAAACTTACGAAAATTTGTTAATTCTTTAAAAAATACTTGATATTTCGTTAAACAATTATAATAAAAAATAGAAATTATGCAAATTACTTAACAAAATTTCCAAACAATCTAGTTAAAAATCGTAATTGAAGGGCTACATAAAATAAGGGGACGAACGCGAGGCTTGGAAGGGATACTACCAGTCGGGTAGGAGTGACAAATGTAAAAATGATGCAAATTATTTTTTTTCAAAGAAGAATAGAATTTTGTTAACAAATTGTGATAAGAAATAGTAATTTTATAAAAATTTTTCTTCATTTTCAAAAAGAAACTTATAATTTTGTAAACAGAATTGTAATTGAGAAACAGAAAATTTAATCTTTATTTTTAAACAATTTTCTAATTTTTATCAAAATTATGGAATTTTAGAAATTTTAGGAAAATAAACGTTAGAAATTATAACTTTTTATAAAAACTTTTTTCAGAAAACAGATTTAATTAGAAATCGCCTTTTTAGACAAAAAGGTGTAGAAAATACTTTTTTTTAAAATAGTGTTCGCCTACCCTAATAATTGTTAGTATTCATCCGAAAAATATATTGAATACATTGAAATGTTGATAATTGAAGGAAAGAAATGTTTAATAGAATTTATAAGTATTATTTTTTCTGAAATAAATAAAGTACCCGATTCTGCGTAACCGGAATGGCAAGAGTATCAAAAAATGTAAAAAATGCGGAATTTTTTTTGAAGTTTATTGAATTATCATTTTATAGGAGACTGAATTTACCAAAAGAAATAAAAATTCTAAAGATTTAATTGAAAAACACTATTTTAATCTAAAAAACATACTAAATATTTAAACTTCAAAATTTAAGTGTCTTTAATCAATTTATTTTTGTCAAACAAAAGTGGCAAATAAAATTCAGTTCACTAATTAAATTTATAAGAATTAACAAAATAATAGAGAATTCTTGAAAAAATTACATGTATTTACCATTTTTAACATCAGTTGAATAGAGGCATGTCTTGATCATTTTTCTTTTATTTGTAAAAAAATTTCTTTGCATCAAGTGGTTATCACACATATGGGAATACTCTTAACCAAAATTTCTATCAAAACATTAATTACTATAGAAAAACAAAAGACGACATTTTCTGTTCACGGAATAGCAAATTATTATTATGTATGTATTGCTAATTAAATTTTATTATTTTATAAATGAAATTGTGATTTTGCTGATTATTTAATTTGAAAGTAAAACATAACATTCTACTTACGAAATCTGGGTTAAATCTCTTTTAGTGTTGATGTAAGCAAAATCGAATTCAAAGAAAAAAAAATTATAAATTAGAGCAAAAATTAAAATTAAAGAAAATTCAAGAAAAATAATAATTACCATTGTCATTTGTTGGTTGGAGAATTTTTTTCGATTCTGTTAATTCAATGACACGCCTACTAATGTCCAAGGCACGTCTAATATCACCCGAAACAGCAGCAACTTTACCAGCTAATAATTTAATCGCATTTGGCGCAAATACATCCATAACATTAGCTTCTTTAAGTCTTTCGATAATGATATTTTCAATCTGTTGTTTTGTATACGATGCGAAATGCATTAATTTTGGCTTTAATTCACATTTTGCATTTAACCTCGGCAATAATCTGTCAGTTAAATCCAACGAATTTGCAATGCCGACTAAAATTAATTTTGATTCAGCCCTCGAGGGCCACTCGAATATGGAATAAAGAACCGATTGATTCTTCGTTTCCAATTGATCAATTTCATCAAGTATCAGCAATATCATTTTGTGTTTACCTTTTAAATATTTTTCAATAACAATTTTACTATTTTTTGTCGATTTTGTCACTGATAAGTCAAGTTCCTCGATTATTTTACCATAAATTGCACTTGCTGATTTTGTCGTTGTACAATTAATGTAAACAGTTTTGAATGAAGATTTATATTTTGGTTGTGACATAATTTGCGATAAAGAAGCTGTTTTTCCAGTTCCTGGAGGACCAGAGACGTACAATGATGCTGATGTTTGTTTCGTTAAATGAGTTTGTATAAAATTTTCAAGTTCAGCAATTTCTGCTTCTCTACCGGGTAAATTTTCAGTAATGTCACTATGCAATGCTTTTCGTGCATCACAATATTTATTAGGTGTAAACAATTTTTTTGGTGATAATTTCCCTTCTTTCTTGGCAGACGAAATTAACTTAAGATTACTCATGAGCGTCGATGGTGTAGTTGGTGAATATTTACTTTGCTTTGGTGGCGATGCGTCTGTGTCTAAAATTATAATAAACAAATTCAAGAATTCAGGGCTCCAAATTACAAAAATTTTAATAAAATCCATTGAAAAATTTCAATTATTTTCAAAAGTAATATTCTTCACAAAAATTAAATATTGTTCAATATCTACTATTTTCATAAAATTTACCAAAAAAATTTAATTATTTAAAAAAAAAAATTTAATAAAATTCTACAAAAACTTTTAATTATTTTCAGAAAATAATAAAAATTTCACAAGAATTTTATTAATAACAAATTTGTTTTTATAAATTTCTTCGCAATCATTTAACTATTTTCATAATTAATAAAATTTTTACCGGGATTCAATTATTTTCGTAAATAATAAAATACTTTTAGGAATTCAATTATTTTCAATAGAATTTTAATCGAATTCCTCGAAAAAATTCTTAAAAATTTTATTAAAATTCGTCCAAAGAATTTAATTATTTAAAAATTTGTTGATAACATTTTTTAACAGGAACTGAATTCCAAAAAACATTCAATTATTCGATAAATTATTTATTTTTGTATTTAAATAATTGAATTCTGGTAGAATTTTCTCATAAACATTGATTTAAAAATAGATTTCAGTTAAAATCTTAGATTATAATAATTGAATTCTATCGAAGAATTTCATTATAATTTTAAAAATAATTGAATTTTATTGCGACATTTTTTTTGAAAATTGTCTTAAAAATAATTGAATATCTACCAAAAAAAAGTTTTATCAAAACTTTTTAAAGTGTTTGAATTTCTGCTAAAATTCTGATATATTTGAAAATAAATTGAATTCTTGCGAAGAATTTTATTAAAACTTTTGAAAATAATTGAATTTCTGCAAAGATTTTTATTATTTTACGAAAATATTTAAATTCTTGCCAAAAATTTTATTAAAATTTCTGACAGTAATAATTGAAGATTTGCTAAGAATTTTGTTATTTTTAATTTATGCCAAGAATTTAAAAATTTTTTAAAATAATTGAATTCCTGTTAATTTTTTACAAGAATTTAATTATTTTTGAAAATTTGAATAAAATTCTTCGCAAGAATTCAATTATTTTCATAAATAATAAAATTCAATGGAGAATTTCAATTATTTTTAATACAATTTTAATCGAATTTTGTCGAAAAATGTTATTATTCTTAAAAATTTTATTAAAATTCGTTGATAGAATTCAATTATTTTCGAAAATTTGTTGATAACGATTTTTTATGAGAATTGAATTTTAAGAGACGTTCAATTATTCAATAAATTATTTATTTGCATTTTATTTTTATTAAAATAATTGAATTCTAGTAGATTCTAATAAAAATTGATTTTCATTTCATAAAAATGAATTCCAGTTAAAATTTTAAATAATAATTGAATATTAAAAGCAATATTGCGAGAATTTGAAAAAATAATTGAATTTTGTAGTTAATTTTTTTGAAAAAGTTTAATTGAGTTTTTTTAATATTATTTTTAATTTCTATTTTAATTAAAGAATTTACGAATAATTGAAATTTCGTAAAATTGAATATTGTAAAGAAATGAATTTGAAGATTGTCAAACAACTTTTTCGAAAATTATTAAAAATAATGGATATATGTATAAAGAAGAATTTTAGATAAAAATTCTTAAAAATAATAATTGAATTGATGATGATTTTAATAATTATAAATTATTTTTATTAATAATTATTATTAATTATTATAAAACAGGAAGAAATCGATGACTTCGAGTCGAAGACTCGGAGTTATCTAAGAATTTCTCTTCTTTTTCGTCATAAATAAATAAAAAATAATAGTGAAACTTACCATCAATTTTTGTTTTTCTCGAAGACTTTGGAGTTCTAGCATTAGTAATTTTTTTGGCTTCTTTTACATTACGTTTTGTATCGAAATTTTCAACGTCAGAGTCTGATTCAGAATCACTGCTACTTAATTCCATGAGTTTTTTCGTCGTCGGTGTATAAGTATTGTTTGGTGTACTTCTGAGTGCAGCATTTTCAAAGTCTTCTTGTATCAAATTAATTTCTTTTTTAGAATAAAAGGAACACTTTTTCTTTACTGGAAAAGGAATTGTAGTTTGGATACTCATCTTGTATCATAAATGATATAACGTATTTTATTAAAGCTAAACACTTTTGAGATTATAGGCACAAATGGTATTAGTAAAAGTGATGAAATACACAATGTAATTAAGTAAAAATACTAAGATTTTCTAAATAATGTATCGCAATAACGATCTTAATGTGTAATCAACAACTGTCGACAACTGTTGCGCGCCAACATGTCATGTCAAGTCCCTTTAAACGCGGGTAAACAGAGGAAAATGAAATTGGGCCCTTAATACCACACTGCGCATGCGACAGAATCACCATTTACAAAGTTTCTTTTAAAATCTCTTATTTCCAGGTTTATAAAAACTAAAAAAATTTACCATAGATTATTGTTTTTTAGTTTATTGTCAAATTTGAAAATTTTAAATAATTAATAAATTATCTATTTTGAATACATTTTAATTATAAACCTTTTTCAACTTTAATTAATTTCCCAAAAATTAAGGAAACGTATTACGCAAACTCCATAGTTAAGGCGGTGGAAGATCCCTATTCAAATTATACATCGAGTTACAATTTTTAGTTCAATCTATTTCTTTTGTTAGTTATTAATAAATAAAGAAGAGATCTTTTATATAATTTTATGATATACTGTAATGATAAAAAATATGTAATTTATTTATCTGACTGATAAAATTGAAGCTACTAGAATTAAATAGGAGGAATGGAATTGAACCGGAAGTCGAGCAGACGACGCTCGCAAAACACTTTCTGTGGGTTAAACTTCCGCAAACGTCGGCTTCTTGTTTCTTTTCCAAGTTGGTTTCAGAAGGCACAGGACATTAGTTTTGTACGGATATAAAATCCGGAAAAATCCAAGAATTCTAGAGGAATCTAGAATTCTTTAAACCTCAGAAATGAGAGCAAAGGTATGAGAAAGATTTTATTTGTAATATTAAATGATATTTATAAACATTTTTCATTTTTTTATGACACTTAGTAAATGTAGTATCAAAATGTTTTTTGTACTCTAACCTCAACATGTTTTTTTTAAGTAAACTATTATAATTATAATTAATCAATATATGAAATTAAAGAGAGTGATTAGTTTAATTATTAACTTTCGGCGTTATTTTTTACTATAACTTTTGAATATTTTCAAACGTTTGTGAGCGTAAACTTGAGAGTGACGTATTGTCATAGCACGTGGTACTTTAAGAAAATTATCATGTTTTACGTTAAACAATAGTAATAATAATTATTTTTTTTTTATTGTTACAGTGGCGTAAGAAGAGGATGCGAAGGCTAAAGCGAAAGAGGAGGAAGATGCGTGCGAGGTCCAAGTAGATGCCAACATTTTTCTTCTGTAAGTAAATAACTGATTTTCTACATATATTTTGACTTTGTAAAAGCCAAAACTTCTATTAATTTAATTTCTTGTTTAGGTACTAATACAGTTTAATGTTGAAATTATTTTCATTTTTAAGTTAAATTTTGACAAATTAAGATTCAATTTTTTTCCATTTTACAGTACTGACATCTATTTTTAAATAAAAATGATGTTCTGCTCACTTATTTGTCATCGTTAAAATTTATAAGTTTCCTGCAAGTTCTAATTTATAAAAATGTAATTTTTGAATAGAGAAAGATTTTGCCTAGAAATTTATCTTTAAAAAATGAGCATGGGCTATTTTTTAATCCTTTTTTTGTTTCATTATTCCTAATTTCTACATTAAAAAAATAATATTAAAAATATGCTTTTTAATTAGGAAATATTTGTCGAATAGGAAAAGCATTGTAAATACGGAAATTGTTTCTGTAAAAAAAAACATTTTCTCATCTTTAATGAGGTTACTTTAGTAAAGTAGAAATTACTTTTTTTTACAGAAACGATTGCCGTATTTGCAATGCTTTGGTCATTAATCAATAAAATTAATCAAAATTTAAAATTACATTTTCAATACTTTTTTAGTGTAAAACTTAAAATGAGAAATTAAATTTACTTTTCGGCTATGTCCACAAAAGGCTCTTTTTGTGTCCTTATGTTGAACAGAACATAAGAACACAATGGATTTCTTATGTTATGTTCAACATAAGAAAAATAACTTTTTTTATGTTTGCAACATAAAAAGGTCTGTTTGTGAACATGTCCTTAAATTATAAATACATTTTATAAGCTATTTTTTTAATAAATATCTATTTTTTGTTTCAGGTAAGGGAATTATTTTACAAAACATCCACCTTCTATAAAGTCACCTGAGAAGAACAGTTATCTCATTCTTATTCCCTACAAGCTATAAAATATCGTTTGTACCAAAAGTGAACTTTTTTTTACAGAAGAACATGTTCAATTTAATAAATTGACCGTGGAAAATAAATGTATATTTCTCTTTTTACGAAAAAACTGGACCTATATTCTCTTCCCACTCATTATAGTTGTAACTTTTGTAATATTTTTATTTTAAAACTAAAATTTATAGTACATTAACATTAATATTTAAAACAGCTGTTATTATTTTCAATAGTACAATAAACATTTTAATATCTAATTTTTAATTTTAAATTCTTTGTTAATAGTTATTTTTTGGACTTAAAAAAATAACCTGAAGTGTTATTCATTTTTTACAAATGCATTCGAGAGGGACTTAACACTTAAGTTTCCTGCTCAGGCGCATTCGTGTATAATGAAAATGCGCCTTGAATATGAAATTATAAACAAAAGACCAAAAGTTAAGGTTAGGATTTGCGGCAATAATGTTCTCCCGCGTGACAAATTTATTATTGTGCACTGGAAAAGGATTATATAAATCATCATATACCTGTTCATGTAGAATAATACAATCAGAACCTCTTTACAAGAAAAGAACATTTTGTAGTAAAAACAAAGACGAGAAGTTAGAGAAACATGAATTTGAAAATGATGATTTGCAACATAACCCCACTTACACAGTCAGTGAAAAATATAAAGTTTTCCGTGATGAAGATGCACCGGTTGTTTTCGATGTAGACGAGGAGAAAACTAAAATAAATCTTGCTGATCTTGAACTTGACGAAGAATTTGTCGATTCTTATGAAGGCTTAAATTTAACGCGTAAGTTGAAATTAATTTACACTTTTTTCTTGTGCCATCCAATGTATTGAAGGTGATGTTTTTATATAAATTGTAGAAATTTTAATTAATTATAATAGTTTTCAATTATTATAATTAATATTTGAGTCGAGAAAATTTTGATGACGCAAATTTTAGGAGGAATCAGTGGTGTTTATGAAATTGAAGATCTACTTGAAGTTTTAAAAAAGGACAATGCAAAAGATATTTTTGTTGCTTCTGTACCACGAGAATTTTCATACGTAGACTATATTGTTGTAGTAACAGGAAAAACACAGAGACACATGTTAGCTCTTGCAACCTTTGTACGCAAAGTTTATAAATTAAAAATGCACAGTGGTGACAGAATTCCAAAACTTGAAGGCGAGAGGTCTAAGGATTGGATAGCTTTAGATTTAGGTATATAATGTAAAAAGTAATTTTTAATAATTTTATAATTGAATTGAATCAAAAATTTATTTAATTTTTTTTTTAAGGAAATATCGTTCTACATGTATTTTCCCAAAAAGCCAGAGAAGTATTTGATTTAGAAAGTTTGTGGTCCGTTGGCGCAAAATATGACGACCAGATCAATTTCCAAGATCCACAGTCGGAGATTTTTGAAAAATACGATGCTTTCCTGAAAGAACTACAGCCAGCTGATGGTTAAATACAAATTGTTTCTTTTCTAATTAAGGTATTTGATTATTAATAAAATAGTTTACAAACAAGTTTCATACTTTCTACATTTTATTATCTCTTATTAGAATTACAAATTTCGGATAATTTTGTTATACTTATGAAAATAAAAATTAACTACATTTTTTCTCATATTTTCAATTTTAGTCTTAAATTATATAAAATATTTCCTTAAATATTGTGACACACTTTTTTAAACAGCTTCCAACAGTATACTAATTAATTAAGAATGATTAAATTCAGTGTCAAGTGGAATTTTCAAGATGTCTACTACTTTATGTCATTTAAATTTGGCGCCGTAATGATTATCTATCATAAAGAAATTTACTACATATTTAAAAAGAAAAATTATTTTCAGTTTAATTTTTTGGAAATTAACGTCCTATTCATAATTCATGAAAACATGAAGTCAATTATTATACAGTAAAGTTTGTAGAGAAGGGAAATGTGAAGATCGCGGAGGCAGAAAGATAGGTTATCTTTTGATTATACTGGTAGTTGGTCAGTGAATATCTGTGACACGAACACACTTCTCCCGTTAACTTTCATCCCCTCTCTCTGTATTATCTGTTTCTCTGTCTCATTCCATTCTTTTTTTCTGTATTATCTTCTAATTGTTACACTTCTAGAAGAGAGAAAAGAGAATCAAAAGAGAAACTGTCCGAACAGTGAGCATTCAACGAGTCAGTCTCAGTGTATGTTTCTTGTTTGAACGAGCGAGTGCTTTTTTTCTTATTATGATTTACATGTATACGGTGTTATCTCTCCTGGCAATAATAAATTATCAATCCGATAAATAGGTATATTTTATTCTTTCAATTTTCGTGACATAATTACGCGTGTGTTCCTCTTTCACAATTTATGTATAGATTAGATATAATTAAGATAAATTGTGTTAATTCCAAAAAAAGAAGAAGTCAATAGTTTGTGATAGTTTGTTACCCAACCCTCACAGTGACTAATGCTTTTTTGTTAAATAACTGTTCTTTTCGAAATTTTCAATTTATCCCTGTGTTATATGATAAATTAAACTCAAAATCCTAATCTAAAATAGTAAATTGCGTTAGGAAAAAAATAAATTCTCTTCGTTTTTATTGAGATTTTAACAGTTCGAAAATGCAGTAATACAGATTCAATTGGCAATTTAGTTCTATTTTCAATTTACAAATACAATAAATAATGAAAGTATAATTTTTTCCCCACAAGGAATGTATTTAATTTGAAAATCGAAAAAGTGATCAGAATGCAAGAATTGGAAAGACTTGATAAAACAAAGATGATCTTGTACTTATATTACTAAAAAGGATATTTTGATATCCTTATTGATGTGATTTAAAAAGGGAAGGGAAATTAGAGGAAAAAGAAGAAAGTGATAAGAGTATTATTCGAAACGAGAAAAATATGACGGAGGAAACAGGATCAATCCATTCGGTATGCCGGGAGAAGCCAACACATTTTCTCAAGATTCCTCTCAAATCAACGGAACAGATTTATTTAATTTTTTTAATTCCAACATTGTTGAGTTGCATTCTATATGTGGTGAATTTTTCCGCGGATTTGGTGGTGGCTATACAACATTTTCGTGAAGGTAATCCAATATGGGGATGCTGTACAATTGCAGTGATTTATTTACCTGCATTAGTGTACTTTATATTGACCGTAACAAGACCCGATTGGTGGATGACCGACGATGATAAAGTAACGAAAGGTGCTTTTGCTTGGTTTGCACTTCAATTGTGCCATTTAATTGCCTTCCCACTCTTTGCACTTTACAGGTAAATATTTTCTTTTTAATTAAAGAAACAAAAACTTTATAATTTTAAATATTTGAATATTTAATTATTTAAATTTTACAACTTTTGTTTCTTCTTCAAGTATTTTATACATTTAATTTCTATTTTTTTCTCTTTTGTATACAAATCGTTATGAAAGTTTGTAGAATTTTTAAAAATTCAACATCAGGAAATAAAAATTTTGCTGTATACAGCTTTACACAATTTCTTCTCGGAAAATTTCTGTGTAATTTCTTTATAATTTTATTTATGTAAATTCAATCAAAAATCGTAATATAAAATTTAATTAAAATTCTTTATACAGTTAATTTTAAAATAGAAACCTTGACCTTTGTATTAAAATTTCTTTTACTTGCTTCTGAGAAGCCTCTCAAGAATTATTCGCTACAAACGTCCTTAAGCTTTAAGTGAATAAATTTAACGTTATCAGCTTTTGATTCATAACTTTAGCCAATAATGAGAACTATTCTTTTAAAGATGATGTATGAGAATAATTGAAATTACTAGAATTAAATTATTATTAGAATTAAAAAAAAACTTTGAAATTTGCAGTGATTATTGAATTATAATAAAATAGTGATTTGAATTTGTAATTATGTTTATAAACTTTGAATTACTAAATTTTTGTTTAAATTGGTTAATTATGAATAATTGAATAATAGAAAAAAGTAGATAAAAATGTACCTATAATTATTTTCTAAAGAAACTTGTCAATTTTTAATCGACCTCACGTTATCGTTTACTCATTGTTATCAGTTTCATTTAATTTCAATTGACACACGTCCTTCTCAGTGAGTCACTTTACATTAACAATTGAGTTGAAATAAAAATTTATTTAATTTTTTCTATCTTACTATTTTTTTCCTCTTTAAATATCCTCTCTGAAGATAAAGAAATAATTACCAATTTCCGGAAAATAGTTTATTAATAGATTCAATTAGTAAATATAAATTAATTTGTAAAAGTTTAATATTTGGGTCTTAAATCATTACTAAAAAATGATAAAATAACATTGGAAACAATATAAATAATAATGTGGCTGATAATTGAATAGATAAAGAATATAATTAATTATTTTTTATAGACTTGAAATTGAAATAAAATTCGATCGATTATTTACCCAATTCTTTTCAGATATGCCGGACTGATAGTTTTAATCGTCGATGCCATCATGCTTTCTGGAATCGAGAGGAAAAAAACTTTAAATTTGGCAGCCGCACCAGCTGCCATGGAACTGTATTTTTTTCTTCAAGCCTGGTTCCAAGCTGCACCGCAAGCAGTCCTTCAAACACATTTACTCTTCAGAGAAAGAGCAATTGCACGATCTCAACAATCTGGTACTTATCTGTCTCTGTATAAATAACTACATTAATTTGGAAAAAAATTAACCGTATTTATAGATATCAGGCCTAGGATAGTATAACTTTTTCGACTTACTTTGATAAAATGCGACTTTCGACTTTTCTTTTACATATTGCAACAAAACATCACTTTTTTGGTATTAAGTGAAACTAATAGGATTTTTGAGCAGTTGTAGTAGATATTTTTTAGAAATAATTAAATTTTAGAAGATTTGAAATTGAAATTTAAAAAAAATTTTAATTCTTGAAGAAAAATAATAAGTATATATTTTAATTGTTTCATTATGACGGTTCAATTATAACAACTATATATTTTAATATTTATTTAATAAAATTATTGAAATTTGAATAATTAAATTGAGAAATTCTGAAAATTAATTATGTTTGGGGCCGTACACAAACTACGTAAGGCATATTTTCAGAAATTTTGACCCCCCCCCCTCCCCCCATCGTAAGACATTTTCTATACATTAGCGCCATTTTTTCTGCTGTTCGCAAGATTTAACTTGACCCCCCCTCCCCCCTTAAGGGCATCCGGGAAAAATTGAGCCCAAAAAGTGTTTTCCCGCGTGTCGTCTCACTCCTAAATAATTAGAGATATTTAGTTCGGATTTATCATGATAATTAGGGGAATTCATGATGATAAAGAATATTCTCGAAATTTGCAAGTAATTTTTGAAATAAATATTGAAAAACGGAATTACAAAAGTTGGATTTTGGGCGAAAGCGAGAGACAATATGGCGGCGAGCACACAGACAAGTGGATCTATGTGTCAGTGGTCAAGGAGGTGGCGCCAATTCTCGGAAGTGGTCGCGAGTTGAACTGAGGGAAATGTATTAACCTCGAATTACTCCACTTTCAATCGTTAATAAAATAATTTCCTCGCAAAATTATTGCAAAAACGGAGAGGGCCGCTCCTCGGAGAGTCTTCCTCTAGCACCCCTCCAAATATGAACCCGAAAGATTTTATCCTCTCAAAATGAGACGTCTATACTGAACCGTTCAAAACCCCCTTTTTCCGTATATTTAAACAATTTTTTTCAATAATTATTTATCAAAATTTCTCTAAAATCCGAGAGGACCGCTGGTCCCAGAGCATTTCTCTATATTTACCAAAAAATCCCGACTCAAAATATTCTTTTCTTTTTAAATGAGATGTCTATCACGAAACCAGTATTATTTCCCGGATGCCCTTAAAGCCTTACGTAGTTTGTGTATGACCCCTTTTCGAAAAGTTTTCATTACAATTATTTTTTGGAAATGATTGAATTCTCTAAAATAATATTAATTGAAACATTTTCTAACAGCAGGGCTGGAACTAGGTCAATGGTTTTTTTGAAGAAAGGTCCGTAAAGTCCGTAATTTGATAGAAAAAGGACGAAAAGTTCGTAAATTGTACGATATAATTTGGAGAATTTTAGACAAATTACAAATTGTTAATGAAATTCAATTATTTTCAAAACTTTTTAAAAAAATTCTTTTCAAAATTTCAATTGTTTTAAAAAAATTTCTTCAATTCAATGATTTTCTATTTTAATAAAATTTTCCAAAAGAATACAATTATTTAAAAAAATGTTAATAAAGTTCTCCGCAGACATTTAATTATTTTCTTAAAATAATAAAAATTTTCCAGGAATTCAATTATTTACTAATTTTTTTTAAATTTCTTCTAAAGAATTAAATTATTTTCATAAATAATAAAATTTTTCAGGGATTCAATTATTTTTGTTAATAAAATTCTTTTTCGGAATTCAATTATTTTTAAAATAATAAAACTCATCGCAGAATTTCAATTATTTTTAATACAATTTTAATCAAAATTCCTCGAAAAATGTAATTTTTCTTAAAAATTTTATTAAAATTCGTCAAACGAATTCAATTATTTAAAAATTTGTTGATAAAATTCTTGATGAGAATTCAATTTTAAGAAACTTTCAATTATTCTAAAAATTATTTATTTTTGTATTTAAACAATTGAATTCTAGTAGAATTTTCTAATAAAAATTTATTTAAAAATTAATTTCAGTTAAAATTTTAGATAATAATTATAAATATTAAAAGCAATATAGCGTGAATTTTCAGAAATAATTGAATTTTGAAATTAATTATTTTGAAAAAGTTTTATTGAATTTTTTTTATATTATTTGAAGTTTTTATTTTCTAATATATATATTTAATCACAACAAAAACATCTTTGATGCAAGTAAAAGATTTTGTGACTGTCCAAACAATGAGTGAAATAGAAGTTTACCAAGTAAAATTCATAATTAAAATTTTAACAATGATTGATTTTAAATATTTTCTCTCCTACACAACTCGAAGTACATATTGCAGTTGAAAAAAACAACCCGGGCTTAGCTGTTGTTCTTCATTGCATTTTGAATTGTAACAAATAAACTTTAACTTCATAATTAACATTCACAAAAAACGAAATCTAATTACTCGTCATAATAAAAAATTTCTATTTCAGCAATTTAAAAATCTTGGCGTCAATAATGCTTCTAACTTGTAATTAATGAAAGTATGAAGTTAAAGTTTATTTGTTACAATTCAAAATGCAATGAAGAACAACATCTAAGCCTGGGTTGTTTTTTTCAACTGCAATATGTACTTCGAGTTGTGTAGGAGAGAAAATATTTAAAATCAATCATTATTAAAATTTTAATTATAAATTTTACTTGGTAAACTTTTATTTCACTCATTGTTTGGACAGTCACAAAATCTTTTACTTGGCGGAACTTTTTGCATCAAATATGTTTTTGTTGTGATTTTAAAACTTTTTGCGTCATCTCAACTTTTTAATAAATGAAATAATTAATTGTAAAAATATTGTGGTCTTTGATCTACTAATTTAAAATAAAATACAATTAAGTTTTAAATAAGAATTTATTTAAGATATGATTCTTTACAGAAATTTTTACATAATAAAGAAATGAAAAAAGAATAGAGGAAAAAAATGATCTTTTGATTAAACTAAAAAAATTTTTTTAAACATAAATTAAAAATTAAAAAATAATGTATTAAAGTTTTTAAAATAAATTTCAAGCTTTCAATCCATAATAATATTTTTAAATATTTTACAAATCTGTTAAGTAGTTTAGTCTCTACGTTTGTATAAATGTCAAAAAATTCAATTTTTTTAAGAAAAACTAAAATCTTTCAAAAAATACTTAATGTATTGAAATTTCATGCAATATATATAGAGATTTTAACCCAATCAATAATATATTCTAGAATATTTTACATATCCATTTAAAATTTTAATCTCTGCGTTCGTCTAAATGTCAAAAAATTCAATTTTTTGAGAAAAATTAAAATTTTTCAAAAAATACGGAGTGTATTAAAATTTCTTGGAATATATATCGAGATTTTAACCCAATCAATAATATTCTAAACTATTTCACATAACCGTTTAGAAGTTTAGTCTCTGCGTTTGTCTAAATGTCAAAAAATTCAATTTTTTTGAGAAAAATCAAAATTTTTAAAAAAATACGAAGTGAATTAAAATTTCCTGCAATATATATCGAGATTTCAACCCAATCAATAACATTCTAGAATATTTTACATATCCGTTTAGAAGTTTCTTCTCTGCGTTTGTCTAAATGTCCAAAAATTCAATTTTTTGAGAAAAATCAAAATTTTAAAAAAAATTTCAAGTATATTAAAATTTCCTGAAATGTATATCGAGATTTTAACCTAATTAATAATATTCTAGAATATTTCAGAAATCCAGTTAGAAGTTTACGCTCCAAGTTTGTCTAAATCTCAAAAAATCGCTATTTTTTCGGTTTTCCTAGCCTAAATTCTATAAAACTATATAAAATATTGAATAAACTTAACATAATTCTTTATTTTCTGATTCTTTATCCAACGAAAAAAGAATGAGCCAAATCGGTTAAGATTTACTCGAGTTATTCAATTTTATCGAAAAACAGCCGATATTTCGAGAATATATAATATTCGCGGTTTTTGCTTTTTACTTGGCGGCGATTCTCTACCGCGAATCTTGATTGAAGAATTTACGAATAATTGACATTTGAAAATTGTCAAAGAACTTTTTCGAAAATTATTCAAAATAATTGATTTAAAGAAGAATTTTAGTTAAAAATTCTTAAAATTCTTTATCGATATCTTCATGTTTTATAGTTATGAAACATTTAATTTATATAATTTTTTAAGTAAAATATTCTCTTATTTGACTCAGACTGGTTATATTTTTGTCAGTAATTGATCCGTAATTTTCCGTTTTTGGTTCGTAAAGTCCGCATTTTTAAATACTTTCACTGGTTCGAGCCCTGTAACAGTTGAAAATTTCTTCAAATATTATTGAAATAAATGTTATATTTTAGAGAATATTATTACAATTAAAAAAAATAATTCTGTTTTTGAAGAAAAATATGAAAAAATGATAAAAAAATAATTGAATTTTACAGAAAGTTAGAATTGATGTTATTATATAAAAAAAGGTAAAAAATTAAAAATCAGGGAAATACAAACGATTTTTTCTGCGCCTTAAAGTCGATTGATCACGGAGTAAACTTTGGATCAATCTGAGCCACTACTTTTTTTTTATGAAATGTAATTAGAAAATGACTAGATCGATTGCCATTGAGCTTATTTTGAGATATACTTAAGAATAAATAGAAATAGTTTACACGAAATCATATTTTTTTCAGAAATGTTTTGTGGCACGAATTGACCCAGTGACTCCAAGAGTTAAAGGAGAACTTTAATCCCTTCTTTATTATTTTTCTAATCTTTCTTTCTCAAGTTAAAAGAAAATTTATTTTTAAAAGCTTTATGAGTTTTTACTAACTAATATGAAGCTCTCACATTTACAGAGACTGTTCAAATTCTCTGCATTCTCGTTTCCATTGGAGTAATGGCTATGAAAACAATGTCTTTCCAAAGATATGAGAGCCAACGTGTGAATGGCAGAAAATTACCTTGGGCATTGTGGCTAAAAAAATACAGAATTCAAGTGAGTTATTTTTCTCAATTATCTCCTTCATTTTTCTAAAAAACTTGATAATTACATTTTACTTCTTTCCCGAAAAAATATTGACTATCTTTTAAATACTTGCTCTTTAGGAATTAAACAGTTTCGAGGAAAAAGCTCCATTACACGCAGCATCGCCTTCATCTGTAACCAAAGAGTTGAATCCATCTATCGCTGAAAATTCAACGCAATCAAACGATGAAAATTCAAATAGAAGATCAGAATCGCGTGTTGTATTGGAGAGACAAATTTCAACGACACCACCGCTTCCGCCAAAAAATGCGCCCCTAATTCCGCCACCGACACCATTGCGAAGAATAACATCGTTCACGCCAATTCCAGTACCCGATATGCCAGCCCCACCGCGGCCTGATTCACTTGTTCAGGAATCGTCAGAGTCAACAGTAATGAGAGCACAAGAATTGGATGAGAAGCCATCCGAACGTCTCTCAACATTAATTATACCAAAACGAATTCAATCGACGAAGGGTCTTGATGAAGATGACGCTGTGGGGAAATGCGTCTCATGTTTATGGTGGTTCCTCTTCATATTACCTCGAGTCATTTCAATAGCAATATTCTTCGAATCATTTCCATTCTATTTATTGGGCTTTTTATCCCTTCACTATGCACTGATGCTCGCCTATTTATTTTATTACGCAAAATATCAAGATGCAACGACAATATTCGTCAATTTATGGTTGGGATTAGTTTATATTTTCAGTATGATCGAGTATAGAATTAAATTTAAATACGCCGACAAATGGATAGCGTCATATTGTACATTTGTCATGCTACAGAATGCAGCTTTGACAATTGTTTGGTTCTATTATGGCGAGTGGACTGGTTTTTGGTATACGTACGCATTTTCACTAACATTCATCAGTATGGGTCTTTGTATTTCGTCCTCGGTTGTCTATCACACTTTACTTAAGCCCGGAAAACGAAGAGTGTACGCTAGTTAAATAAAAAAAATAAGTGTACACCAAAGAGAGAAAAATAATTCTGAAAATCCGAATTAAACACTTGACACTCATTTTTTGAAAAAAGAAATACTTAATGGCAAACAAATTAATTGTACCCAAGTGCAATATATTTTTAATTCAGAAATGAATTTTCTAAAATAGTCAAGTATTTAAATAATTTCAGAAGTGATTTTTCGGTGTATTTTGTGAAACGTGAATATTTCAAAAAAAAGAACGATTTAAATGAATGTCTGATTTTTCTGTGTAGTTTTTGATACTGTAAGAAATGACTGAATGGAATAAGTGTTAAATATAAAAAATATTAACTGCAATCAAGAGGAAAAATTGCCAAAAAGGAATTAAAATTATTTTGTAGTAATTAAATCTACAAAAAAAAAAATGAGAAAATGAACGAAATTAAAAAATCTCGGTTATAAAATATATTTTGTATTTAATTTTAAAAAAATTAATTTAACGATTCCAAGTAGAATAAGCAAAATTATTGTTAAACTTTAAAAAGAAAATTCAATGAAATTGAAAATAAATCCTAATGAATTTTTTTAGGAACTTACAAGTCTGAATTTCTGTGTTCTTTTTTTGTCATTCAGTCTTTACATCATGTATTTATTACAATCATCGTTCTTATAGTAAAATCTATCCTTTATTCTATAATATACAATAGAAAATGGACTACCTTTACAAATGGCAATTTCCGATAACTTATTGTACTATTAACAATGACTCCATTTGAACTTGTATCTCAGCGTGTTGTCATTTTTTTTTATCCTTTTTTTTCTTTTCTTTTAAAAAATACGTATTTATACATCACATAATTCTCGAAATCGTCTTTCGTATCTTGTACTTAGTGCAAAAGAAAAGTGTTTACAGTCATTAATCTTTAGAATAATAGGGTAAGTAATATTTACAATCTTAAAAGACCTTTATGCTCTTTACATTATCGAATAATATAGTATTATACGAACTTATTAATTTATCTACGTCACTAAATACACAATTTCAATAAAATGTGTATTTCGTGTTTGAAATCAATGACTTTATAATTATATACGTACTGAGAGAAAAAGCTTTGATTAGATGTTTTAAGGAACTTGGAAGTTATATTTTGCTTAAGTGAATTTTTTTCATTAAAGAATAGAATTCTTTCGAACAGGTTTAAAAATAATAATAAAAAAATACAAAATATACCAAAAATGTATTTTAAATACATTTAAATTGCTCCAAAGATTTTTGGTGGCTCTGATCGATATTTTTTTCTATTCTACATAGAATAGTATTTAATAGAAAAAAAAATTCATAATGAAATTGTTTATACAGAAAAGTTACTGTGAACTTTTAAATTTCGTTGTAAATAAATTTCTTATACGAAACTTCTATCTTTCATTTTATTAAACCCTAATTCAAGAAAGTATTTCTATTGCAAAAAAAGAAATTTTGACTTTTAATAAAGTTGACACTTTTAATAAGTAAATTTATGACACTTACGTAAGAATGTGACTAAATAAATGCGAATTTTCTTTTTTTTTTCTTATGGCCATTAATTTCCTTTTAGTAATTTCAAGTCCTTGCATTTTCATTTCAGTTTTCTCCTCATTTAATTTTTTCACAAGGTAATGATTATTAAATTTTCTGTACAATTATCGCCATGGTGACAATAATTATTTTCAAACGTGTATATTTGAGTCTCGATGTAAATTACCGAGTTGTGCTTCAAAGAGAATATCGTTAAGAAGCTTCTCGGCAATTATTCTTTGGTCGAGCCGCATGTTTCGCAATTTCGCAGCCACATTCCTACCGATTGCATCAAATTCGTCTTCAATCACAAGTGAATTATTGTGTGAAACTTTCATTACTTCGCTCGATTCAGGTTCCTCTGATCTTCGCCTACGAATTATTGACGGTTCTGTCCATTCTTGTGTTTGTTCAAAATTTTGTGCCTCCTCATTCACTTGCTGACAGTCTTCCTGTAAATTCAAGCATACGATATTAATTACAGAAATACAATTTTTAGTTTAGTTTTTTTTCATTAAATTACCATTTTATAGTATTTTCGATATCCACGTTTCGCCCTGACAATCTCTGGACAACGTTCCGCTGATAAATCAATATAAATTACAGCCGGTCTTCTTTGATTCGATTTGCATTTGATTTTATCAACCATAAATGGATGTACTCTCTGAAATATAAAAAAATTTTGAAAATTAATTAATCAGGCTTCACAGTGCCCCTAAAAAGTATTTTAGGGGAAATAGGGGACTTTTAGGGAACCATAAAAAATTGGTTAAATAAAGATAAAAATATAATTTATTTGTACAGGGTTGCCGCAAAAATTTAACTTTATTTTTCCCTGATTTCCAAACACAACTTTGACTTTTTCCCTGGCCCTAAAGAATATTCTGATTCACTCTAAAAATTATTACATACTCAAAAAAATGATTTATTAAATTTACTTACAAATTTCTTATAAATATTTAATCATTTTTTTTCATTGGAATTAAGATGATCAAAATTTTTAAATTCAAATCTTTTCAAATTGAACAACTCATAAGAATATTATTATAAAACATAAATATGACCGACTGACAAAATCATTAGTTTATTATTATAAGAATAATGTTACTGTAATTTCTTCAAAATTATTTGTATCATTTCAATTCAATTAAAATTTTCTAGAATTTTTAACTAAAATTCTACTTTAAATCAATAACATTAATTATTATTCAATTAAACTTTTTCAAAAAAATTAATTCTACAGAATTGTTAGTTAAAAGTACGAAAAACAATAATTTAATGCTACGAGAAATCAATTATTTAAATACAAAAATAAATAATATTGAATGTTGCTTAAAAAAAAAAATTTTTACAAAACCACTATTTGCGATCATTGCATTTAAAATTTCGTCCATTTTTGTCGTTTAATATTATTCTAACACTTTAAACACATAAAAAAAAATTTTTAAATTTTTAAATTTTCATTTGTTCCGTGTTATCCGAGTTTTCGATTATCCGAGGCACCTCTTCCCCACATTACCTCGGATAATCGAGGTTCTACTGTAATTTATTTTATGAGGAGAATTTTTTTGGTTATCAAGATAATTGAATTCTTTTGCAGAATTATTTAAGAATTATTGAAAATAATTGATTTCCTGCGACGAATTAAAAAATATTTATGAAAATAATTTTCAAAACAAAAGTTTCCAATTGAAACTGTCAACGTCACTTTGCTAAATTTGGGGTGAATTCATCATTAAAAGATAAAAGAAAAAAATAGGGGAAATTTTGAAAATAGGGTACGTTTAGGGGCCAAAATTAAAAAAAGGGGACTTTTGGGGAAATAGGGGACAGACTGTGAAGCCTGATTAATTGATTTACACGAAAAAAATGCACTCGAAAAATAACTTGAGAAGTAAATACAACACTCATTAATTGAAAAAAAGAATTAGGAAACAAATTATAATTTCGAAACAATAGTCTTTTTGAATCTTAATATTAGATATTAAGGCATTCCATTCAATTTACTAGATAACGTTGAAAATCTATAAAAAGATATTAAGATAATACAATGGATACTCAAATGTAAATAACGAGTCCATTAAATATAATTAAATTTGAAATTATTAAAGAACTTAATAATTCTGTGATTAGGATAGTTAAGAATACAAAGTGTTAAAAAAAGCACAATTGTTCATTTACTAAATTTGAACAGTAATTTACTTACTTTTATGTGACTAAGAAAATTGCCAGTGGACTTGAGATTTCCATTCAAGAGTTTTTGACATTGCAAACATCGAACTGTGACATTAGTGTCTTCCAATCTAATAACAGAGAAGAATTCACCGTCTAATATTGCGGGAAGTCGAACCGGGGTGAGTGTCATGTGTTGTTGAGCGTTTTGTACTAGAGGAGCTTGATTTTGTATATGCTGTGTTTGTTGCGGTGGAATTGTTCCAGAATCATGATTCTCCTGATTATCAATTTGTCCCTGTTGAGTTGTTGTATTAACTGTTTGGGCTATTTCTTGTTGTTGATTTGTCTCAATCATACATGAATCGAAACTCTCAATCTTGGTATCGTACCTCTGCTGGGAATAATTGTCCATTGTTCCTCTAAAAATGTGTTTATTTTTTATTTTATCTCTTGATTGTAAAAAAATATTTTAACAATATTAAGTGCACTATTTTCACAGTTAAATTAATTTTCATTGCATATCACAAATTTTTTCATTTTTCGTCAATTTTTTTTTTTAACGAAAAAACAACATAAAACATGACTGTTTATCTTTACCCCTTTCCCAGCAGCAGTTCCAAGATAAGCTGTCAGATAAGAAGACTTTGCGGCTTGTCTAGATCAGATAGTAGATGATCACCGATTGGATAATTGACAAAATATGTAATTTTCCGAGGGAATTCAGTATGAATTTAACAAATGGTTTTAAAACAAAATTCACTGTAATTGTAATACTTTGTTTTTGTTCCAGGCAATGACGTATCGCGTCCTTTTAACCTTTTGTCTTTTTGGGCCTTCACAAAATACGTTGAAAAAGGCAATAATTTATTTATTTTGATTACAACCGAGTTTTCGAAAATTTTTTGTTTATAAATTTTTATATCAATAACAAAAGGAATTATAAGTATATCCACTTTGTACAAAGTAGATATTTTAAAGAAAAAAGGTGAAACGTAATATTAATTATAATCTTATAGTTTAAATGACATAAACACTTTTAACAATTAAAATTCTTTGTTAAATAAATGTCATTTTTTTCTTTTTAGAAAAAAGTTTTTTAATAAACCATCTCTGATGAGAGAAGTAAAGACACTAATGTTAATCCACAGGCTGCCTGGGATTTTCTAGAACCAATCAAAATGCACGGTAAGTTATATTACGATTTTCTATTAGTGGACAAGACTTGTCCAATTATAAAAATGCGCCTTATTTTTTAAAAACTACAATTGGTTTCTCTGTACGAGAGGCGCTTATCTTATTAAATTTATAATCAATGATATAATATACAACAAAACTTGTTCCTCGGCTAATTTCAGATTGTAGAATGGAAAATACTTAAAAATGTGGTGTGATGTCCGTTTGTAGTATATATTAAAAAATATTTTTAGAAAACAACAAGGCAAATAACCAATAATGAATCTTGTAGTGTATACAAAACCATTAATTGCCCCACATTTGGGTGCTATAAGACGTACGTAGATTTTCTTTTAAATTAATTACAAACTTATATCTATCTTTCATCAAATCCCTGCATATAATAACTTATTTCTTATCTACTATACATGCATGTGTTCTCAATTCTAATAGTGAATGTGTTTATATAACAATAAAAATGTTTCTGACATTAAATAATAATTATACATAGTCATTGATACTAAATTTTTATCAATTAATAGCAACAAACCGGGTCTTCATCGATCAATATATTATAAACAATTTCTATCATTATCCAAAGGTGAAGGTTAGGTGGTGAACATTTACATTACTACGACTTAATACTTTTTCAACTTTTAAATTACAAATTAATTCATTTTAACACTTTGTAGTCAGCATTTCAGTAATAAATTCAATACTTGGAGATTCATCTTTTTTGAAACATTACTTTTATTTATTATTAATTCATTTTGATTACTCTTTTTAGGAGGTTGCTGTCAGAGAGCGTGGTTCAGTGAAAATCGAAAACTTGGTAATTTTGATTTGATTCATACGGAAAATAGGGACATACGAGTCCTTTCAACACCAACGTTGACAAATGTGAAACACAATTCAATAAGAAGTTTTCATACCTCGATAACATGGAGGGGACAGGAACCTTCCTCGAAGGTGGAGGAGACCATCAAGAGCATCAAAGAGGAAAAGGAGGAAAAGGAGAAGGAAAAAATGGCTTCCGTCGCCTCCAAAGACTTAGCTCAATCGCCAGAGAAAAGTGTCGTTCAAAAACGAACTTTATGGCAACGCGTCAAGGCAGAAATATTGCACTACTATCACGGTTTTCGATTATTAGGTTTAGATATGAAAGTCTCAGCAAAATTAATATGGAGAGTGTTAAATGGGAAAGAATTGAGTCGTCGAGAACACAGACTGGTACTAATTTTCTCTATTATAAAAGTGCATGTAATTAGATATTTGCAATACTAAATGAGAAATGACAATTTATTTTCAGCTCGTAAAAACAACAGGAGATGTGTTTAGATTGATACCATTCTCAGTTTTTATTATTGTACCTTTTATGGAATTTCTCTTACCAATAGCAATAAAATTATTCCCCGGTTTATTGCCATCAACATTTCAAACTGCTTCCGAAAAAGAAGATAAATTGAAGAAGGCATTGAAAGTATGAAATTTGCTTCTGAAATTTATTACAATTAATTACATAATTAACAAATTTAGGAAATAATAATCATTGACCCTTAATCTTTTTCAGGTAAAAATAGAAATGGCCAAATTTTTACAAAAAACACTCAACGAAATGTCTGTACAATCTTCAGACCATCGTTCCGAGAAGGCGAAAGAATTTTCCGATTTCTTCTATAAGGTTCGATCAACTGGATCTGTTGCCTCAAACGAAGAGATAATTAAATTCAGTAAATTGTTCGAAGATGAAATCACTTTAGACTCTCTTTCAAGACAACAATTAATTGCCCTCTGTCGAGTGTTGGACGTACAAACTCTTGGCACTACGAATTTTTTGAGGTTCCTTCTTAGAATGCGATTGAGAAGTCTCGCTGCCGATGACAGAGTAAGTTTATTAAAAGTTTAAATTGAATTCTCATTTTAAAAATTAATTTTCTTGCAGTTGATCGAGAAAGAAGGTGTTGAAAGTTTAACGAGAGCTGAATTGCAACAAGCATGCCGTGCTCGCGGTATGCGTGCCTACGGAATGCCAGAAAATAAATTACGCGACCAACTGTCACAATGGCTTGATTTGAGTTTAGTGAAGAAAGTAGCACCTTCGTTGTTATTACTTTCGCGTGCTCTGATGGTGCCTGAAGCGACGCCAATGTCCGACAAATTGAAAGCGACTATTTCCGCACTTCCAGACGATGTTGTGGCGCGTACGAAAGGTGCAATTGGCGAGAAGGAGGGTAAACTTGATCACCGAACAAACATTGAAATCATTAAGATCGAAGAGAAACGAATTGAAGAAGAACGACAGGAGCAAAAGGAGAAGGAAGAAAAGGAGAGAGAGAGTGTACCACAACCGACTGTTCTCGTGTCAGACACAAAGACCGACGAAATCACTAAAACTGATATCGATGTTATTGAGCAAGCACTCGACACTATCGGACAGGTATTTTATTTTTCTTTTATATCTCTAGTTTTATTATTTTCGTTTAAAGTGAATAAAATAAATCTTAAAATTTTTACAGCAAGATAAGAAGATGATTGTGGAGAAGGAGGAACTCAAGGAACTTAAGGAGGAAATGGCCGAATATCAAGAAGATATTCAGGAACTTTACAAAATAAAGGCCGAGTCCAAGGGACTTGCGGAAATCGAGGACATTAAAGTTTCCAAAGGTGCTAAACGACTTTTCAACAAAGTAAATAAAATGATTAGCAAAATGGATGCCGTTCTCACGGAACTCGAAGTAGACGAGAAGAAAATGAAAGAAAAAGTCGAAGCCCTAGCGCCGGAAGATCAATCACATTCAAAAGCCGCCGAGGAATTGGTGAAAATTGACGAACTTATTGCTGCAATTAAACAAATTCAAAACGTCCCCGATGAGCATCGTTTAACAAGAATAGCCGAAATTTTGGGAAAAATTGACGACGACCGAGACGGTGCAATTAAAATCGAAGATGTTCTAAAGGTTACTAATTTTCCACTTTAAAATATCACATTTTTTCAAAAACCACAATTAACATGTAAATTTTCAGGTCGTCGAACTAATCGGCCAAGAAGACATCAAATTAAGCAAGAAGCAAGTCAACGAATTAATTGACTTAATGGAAAAAGAAGAAGTACTAGAGGTTGAGGATCAAATCGAGAAGGCCCTCAAGAAGGAAAGTAAGGAAGCAAAGGAGGAAACATCGTCAGAGGAAAATATTAAAAATGACTCGAAATCAACAGTTCCTGCCACACCAGTCACAGTGGAAAAAAAATTTGGTAAAGAAGAATTAAACGACCCTGCAAATTCCACAGAGAAAAATTTTGCTTCCCAAACAGTTAAGGAACGTGACACATCACCGAAATTGAAAACAGAAAAAAATTCAGTTCAAAAGAAACCAATTGGTCCAACTGTACCACCAACGCCGAAAAAAGCCGAGGGCTCAAAACATCTGTGATCATAATTTGCACAATAATTAAAAATTTGAAATTGAAACTTGAAAAAGTATCGTCGATAATGATGAAAAAAAATAGAAAATTTATTGAGACCCACGGTTGAAAATTTACTTTGCAATGAATTTTAATGGTTGATTGGTTCAACTAATGGAAAAATAATTTAGCAAACTTTTTTTTGCATCGAGAGAAAGTTCTTTTTATGAGATGCATTTAACATCATCAAAAGAAAAGAAATTAGAAAATATTGAATTTGTGCTGGTCACAGATACATATATTCACTTTCTGTATGAAAAGTAAGTAATATTCGAATTTTTAACACTTGGTGATACGGTATCAATTTCTTTTTGTTACACATAAAGATCCATTCCATCGAATGAAAAATTTTACGATTTCTTTCGGTAATTGCATAATTTTTATCTTTATTGTCAATACGAATTTTATATTTAAAAAAAAAGAAGTGGGATTTACGCGTGGTCACGGAATTTTTCTTTGCACGCAGATAAATAATTAAGAAACGAATAATAAATCATCATATTTATCTGCAAGAAAAAAAATAAATTTAAACATTAATATGTGGATATTTACTGCTATTGTATAAAAAAGGGTAACAGATGATAGATATATTCAATTTCCAAAAAAATATTACACAATTTATTGTCACATTAAACTGCCGCAACGTATTTATCGAAAAATTTTTAATTAAGCTGATCTACGTTTTCTTCAATGTGTCGAAAATGTAGTAAATTTTTTTACAATCTTTTTTACTAATTATACATTATAACATTTTTCTGCTTTTTTTAAATTTATGTTTAGTTTTTATGTAAATCTTGAAATTATTTTTAGTAAAATTAAAAAACATATATCCCTAGTTCTTTTTCGATTTAAATGCTTTTTTTAAATTGAAAATATTTTTTTGAAAATGAAACATTTATAAAAATTAAAAGTAAATAAAATTGTAAATTGATTGAAATAGCAATATTTTTATTTGAATTGAAATGCCTTTTATTTCAATTGGAAAATTACGAAAGAATTTATTAAAAGCTGTATAAATAGGGAAAAAAATTTTGTTATCCTTTTCATTAAATACCAAAAGTAATTTAAATAGAGTAGGCTAATTAATTTAAAAGAAAAGAAAATAGTAAAAATTCTAAAGTGCTTGCGACCAACTTTTTTCGTCATATAAAACGCAAATATATTTTTAATACTGTAATTAAAAATTATCGATTAATAAAGTAATTAAAGAATAATTTCATTGGTGGGGTCTATTGGAGTAATTGGAAACAAAATTCCTTATTTTCGCTAATAACGTCAGTTTTAAAAATTTTTAAAAGACATATTTCGGTCACTTCCCAAGAACAATGTTTTTCTTCTGGATTTAAAAACACCAGAAAAATTTTTTTGATTATTTTTAAAGAAATGCAGATTGACAACTTTTTTTGCATCATCAGAGAAATTGGAATATATTTTTTTTAAACGTCAAATTATAATCTTATAATACTCAGAACTTTTTGTAAATGATCTGAGGTTAAAATATTGACGTCGAACATATTCATAAATCTGTAAATTTGGCTCCGACATTGTTTGTTTCCAACTACGCCAATTGGCCCAAATTGAAAATAATAAATATAGTGAATATCAACGATATTTAAGAAATACATTCATTAAGTCGAGATGATTTTTTGTTAAACATTTAATATCACAATTAACTAAATTATTTTATATACAAAAAAAGGATATTTTTCTTATTTGCATAAACAGTTTTTTTAATTTATCTTTTTTCCCTTTCTTTATATTATTTACTTAAAATGTTATGAATTAATATCTATACTTAACATAGTTTACATTACAAATTATTTTTCAGCTAAAGAATTTTGGATCCATTACTTTAGCTAATTTTTCCTGTATCGTTTGGAATAATTGACTACAAAATTCACATCGTTCATTATTCAACAATAACAACGAACACTGTGTGTGCCGCCAAGTTAGTAGACAATCTTTAACAACAGGTAATTCTTGAAGGAGAAACGATTCCATATTATTCAAACCATCACATGTATGAAGATTTTGGAAATTTGATAAAATTGTTGGTAATTGTTTTAAATTATCCAACATTTTTGGAAGTTGCAGTTTCTCATTGTCTAATGTTATATTACGAGCCTTAAAGGTTAATTGTCTTTTTGCATCAATAAAAATGCATTTTTCTATCACAGGACAAATGTTATTGTCCTTGTTAGTTATTACGATGGATGATAAACAAAATCGATAAATTTCGCCGCCTGGTAATTCGGTAATGCTCCAGGAACTTGGTAATTGTATAGAATGTAGATCATTCATTGTTGATTCCTCTTTGTCGTATAAATCTTGAAGTTAATATTATATTTATTTCTATAACTTCTCTTATACAAAATTATTAAAAAATTGTTTTTTAAATCTAAAAGACGATACTTACTTTCGGAAATAATTGTTGATATTTTAAATGGTGAATCAGTTGAATTTGAACTTTGCGATGAATCTAATTCATCGGATAGAAACGAATTATCCATTTCCGTTTTAACGACAATCAACGACTCTGGAGAAAATTCTGCCTTTTCATCGTTGGAAAATTCCTTCTCCTTGTCATCAGTTCCTTCACTTTTAATATCTTGACTCTCGTCAAATGCATCTTGCAGTGGATCGATCATAGGGAACGACAAATCCATATACTGAAAGAAAATATTTATTATAAATATATTCTCTACTCTTTGAATAATTTTTTTTTTAATATTTACCTCAATTTCGAAATTACTTTTCACTGAATTATCATTTTTTATCGCACCGTCTCGACATAATATAAAATTTCTTTGTGAAGCAAAATCTTTATGTCGTTTCATAAAATAAATAAACCAATCTGGTCCCGCTTGCTTATTATTCTCCCAACTTGGGGGAATTTTTTTCGACTTTGTTTTAGCAAATTCATAGGCGAACTGCCTAATTTTTTTCTGAGACAAATCACAAGGAACATTGTACGATTTTAAAACAGATTCTATCATTATTTCTTCTTCAGCATCGGTGAAAATTTGTGATTTCTTTTTATATCCACAAATATAGGCGTCTTTATTGTCGCCATTTATTAATTCATTGATATTTGGTTTTGAACAAAATCTTAAAAGTGAACGATAATTTAAACCATGTTCTTTTGCCACACTTCTCGCTGTTTTACGATCATTTTTAATTAATTTGGCACATTTTAACATAACCATTGGATCAGCAAAGGCCCGATTGGTTTTTCTTATATATTTTCGTGGCATTTCTGAAAAAATTGTTTAAAAATAATAAATCCATTTATTCCGTTTGTAATCTGATAATATAATGTTGGTTGTGAATAAAAAATTAATAGAAATCACAGTATGGCTAATTTGTTATTAGATAATACAAATAACGCAAATATAACTTTCTATTAGTATAATGAAAGTCTTATGCAAATAGGTTAAAACTGTAAAATTTTTACATGGCAGGTATAGCAAATTTTCAAACATGCAAAGCAGTTATTTTGCAGAATATTAAAAATGCCTGTAAAAGTAATCTTTTATATAAATTATACAGTTACATACCAATGGGAGTTTAGATCACAGTTGTTAGTGACTTTAATATTTTGATATTTTCCACAATTTCAACCAAATCTTCTCAATTATTCAGAACTCATGTTACAATATTGAATTGATTTTTTAACATTCTTCTTTTTTTTTATTAATATGTCACCATAGTAATAATTTTTAGAAATAAACAATAAACAAAACAAAGAAATTACCTTTGCTGATATTATAATGAATTGTTTTGGCTATACAACAATTGGCAACACTGTCGTTTCTGCGCAAACTCAAAACAATTAATTTCGATTGGTCATATGATTCGCGCTTTAAATTTAAATAAATTTTTAAACATTTTTTTAACAATATTACTAAATTATTATAAAACATTTAACATTTCTAGTCTAACTGAATACTGTGGAAATATTTTTTATTTAAAAGCTGATAACTATCAAAAACTGACAAATTAATAATAAAACGATAATTTTTCACTATTTTTGACAACTTGAATGTAAAGTTCAGAATCAATTGAAATATTTCTCTTTTTACTGCGAATTTTGTCGATTCTGACTAACACAATCAATCATTTATCTGACAATTGCAAAAAATCGTGCAGAGTTTATTGAGATTATGATCTATGGATCAGTTACCGCTCGGGCCACATTAGGTAGATACTACATACTACGTGGAAGTTGGAAGTGGTTGTAGAGATAAATATGGCTTCCGATGACGTTTGTTCTCATCGTGTTATCAAATGTTAGTAAAAACATCTGGTGACGGTTTCGCGTTATTCTTACGATAATTATTTCAATAAGTTTTGTGATAAAGTGTTTAAAAAGTGTAAATCAAAATGATGAACATGTGGAAAGTGCGAGAATTGATGGATAAGGCGTAAGTTTCAGTGTTTAGAAGGAATCTAACCTTGTTTTTGCTCTTTTTCGATTTGACGTCTTTCATTTTCATAGAAATTTATCCATTATTTTAACAATTTCTATAGAAATTCTTTAATAATTACATTTATTATTAGCTTTTCCAGATGAATGCAATTTGAAATCAGTCATAATTAATTGGCAATTGTTTTTAATTTGAAGAAGCAAATATTAATAATTAATCATTATATATATATATATATATAATATTCCAAAGATTGGAAGATTCCGGAATGCATTAAAAAGCCTTATCTCGTGATCAAAGAAACAGCAATTATTTCCAAGACCACAAACACAAATTCCACAACAATTGAATCTCTGTAGAGTTTGTTGGTATTCAATGTTTGCAAACAAAGGCATTTATTTTGTTATATAGATTAAATTTTCAACAACTGTATGTGACAGAGGGAATCGTGACTTTACTGTTATTAAAATTTACATGGACGCTTAGATAACTTTTGCGACATAATTCATATTCTTTAATGAAAACAATTTCGAATGTGATAATTTAAAAAGTACATTTTAAAAGATATTTATTCTCGTATTTACACATTGTCAAGAAGCATTTTTTATTGCAAATGGGAAACCTTTTTTTGCTATTGTTAATAAATTTATATAATATTTTTTTTTCGAATGCAAAATATAGCTTTATAAATAGATATTTTAGAATACTTTTTTAATTATGAAGTACATTTGCATTTTTTACATTATCTTTCAAGGAGAATTTGTAAAAAGAGAATAATTATCAAAAGAAGATTGAAATTACATATTTAAACGGAAGAGGCAAACTGAAATTCACAAGCTCCAATAATAAATGATTCATATAATGTATTATTCATAATATAAAAATCTCCTTCACTCCGGAAATGAGTGAAAGAAATTTTAATTAGGTTCATTGTACAATTCAGAAAAATCCTTTTTTTCTGAAAAATTTCATCTCAAAATCGAGTTCACAGTCTTGAGCTGTATAATCGACAGAAAATAAATTCACAGTCAAATGAGACACGATTTTTTTCTTTTTATTCAGATTAGGTCATGGTCAACTGTCTGCTCAAAGGCAATTGAATCCAGTTTACGCAAGAGCAGGTGAAAAGGTATGCGTCAATTAAGTAAAGTACCAAATATCGAAGTCTAAGTGTAATTATTTATTTGTACTGGACGCATACCTTTTTCCTACAACCAGCAAAAAAAACCATTGTATTTTAAGTTTAAAAATTTCTCAACATGTCTGAGAAAATAAACAAAGAAAGTAAATTTAAAAAAAGACAGAAAAATGAATTTAATAATTTAAACAACGATTCTTTTTCTTAAAAAATACGATTGTGAATCGTTTATAAAAATTTGGCATTTTTCTTTTCGAAAAGAGAATAATTTTTGGTTTGGAATTTGTGTTTTAATTACACTTTCGAATTTCTCTTTCAATAAGATAATTATTATTATCAGCAGTATCAATAGTTTCGTTCCATGGCGTTAAAATCGTGAAAGGTTTTATAGATGGGAAACAGTAGTAGTTGTTATTGCAAAATAATTATTGCTTAAGACCTATCTGTTGTCACATAGTTGCGGTAAAAAAAGCCCCGCCAATGGTTATTTTTTTTTATCTTTTAAAGAAATAGAAAAATTTCAAATTACATTTTTACTCATGTTACGTTCATCAGACAATTATTTTTATTTTTTTTAATACAATATTTTTTACAAAATTTTTTTTATATAATTTTTAGTGTCTCAACATTTCTTTATCAATTGTAAACAAAAAGATTTCCTTACCCCTGTTATTTATCAATTGAGACAGTGATAAGAAATATAATTGTCAAATAGATGTGACTATTTTAAAAATTTACGAAAATTACTAAATTACTATAAAAAAATATATTATATTAATATAATATATAATATTTTTCAACTTTAAAAAAAGAATTTTTCATTCTTACGAGAAAAGAATTAATTTTTTTTAGAATTTTCTAATTAAAAAATTTTTATTTCCTTTATTAGAAAAAATAAAATTTTAATTGTATATTCAATTTTTAAAATATTCTTACAGGACGAATGTGGTTATGAATTATACAGAAACAGAGGCAAAAGTCCGAGAAGCTACCAACGATGATGCGTGGGGTCCAACAGGTACGACGATCTTTATCTTAAAATAAAAAAAAATTAAATTGAAACTTATTAAATAAATTCTCTAGTCAATTGGAAAAGAAACTTTTTTCTAAAAAAAGAAATTGAAAAATTAAAAATTCAAGGGCAATAAGATATATAATACCTTTTAGGAGCAATGATGCAAGAGTTAGCACAGGCGACATTTACATACGAGCAATTTCCGGAGGTGATGTCCATGCTTTGGAAGCGAATGTTACAAGAAAATAAACGTAATTGGCGTCGAACGTACAAGGTAATATTAAACCAGAACGATTATAATCAAAACCAGTTTAAATTCTTTTCTTTTTTTTGTTTGTTTTCCTCTTTTATAGAGAGCAAATTTTCTTCTCTTTTTATTTTTTATTTTTCTGTTTTTCAGGCGCTTCTACTTTTAAATTATCTTGTCCGCAATGGTTCCGAACGTGTCGTAACATCGTCACGTGAACATATTTATGATTTAAAGTCGTTCGAAAATTACACGTATATCGATGAATTTGGCAAGGATCAGGGCATAAACATCAGGCACAAAGTACGCGAGTTGATTGATTTTATTCAGGATGATGATAAATTGCGCGATGAAAGGAAAAAGGCGAAGAAAAATAAAGACAAGTACGTTGGAATGTCTAGCGAAGCAATGGGAATGCGATGGACGGATAATCCAAAGTGGAATAAACCTAATCAGGATACGTATAACGATTGGGACAGGGAATCAAGAGCTAAGGGTTTCGAAGATGCAAATAATAGGTTGATACTCAAAAATTTGACAGAATCAATTGAATTGCTAATTTCAACGTAAATTCTAATTTCTTTTTCATTGTTTTCAGCGATGATGGTGAAAGAGAAGATTCCGACAATGATGTTCGTTCCAGTCCGAGAAGAGTCGCTCGAAAAGAGTACAAAGACACTATTGAAAATATCGACAGGATCGGCAAGATACCGTCTTCTATTTCCTCTAATCCTTCGCCGTCGAGGGCGTCGAGACCGATAAAAAAAGTCGATTTGGGAGCCGCGGCGAATTACGGAAAAGACCAATCAAATGTTCGTTTTTTCTTATTTTACTTGACTAACCTACATTTTTTGTCACTAAAAAAATAACGATTGATATCAATTTTTCAGTTAACGCAGGGAAATTTAATGACATCGCCGGTGAAACAACAGAAAAGCACAAATAATATTCTAAACGAATTGTTTGAATCGAATAATGAAAATTTGTCTTCGAATATTGAAAATAATGTTGACGATGACGACGACGATTTTAATCCACGAGCAAATACAGGCTCAACGATACCTTCGCAAAATGTAAATACCTCTGATTTTGGTGATTTCACCAGTGCATTTGGCAATTCAACAAATAAAGTAAAGGACAATGATGAATTTGCCGATTTCACGTCGGCCTTCAATTCGGGAATGACAATACAAAGTCCAGCTACACAATTACCAGGAGCAATCAGTATCAGTCAACAGTCTGATAATTTATCTGGAACAATGATTCCCGGTGTACAAACAAATGTTTCGCCATTTGGAAATTTAGAAAGTGGAAATGTCTCGTTACAAAATACAAATTTAATGGGAAATAATATGTTTAATTCCCTGCCACCGCAAGGTATTCAATCCTGGAATAATGGCAATAATAATACAGGTAACTTTATTTTTAGAAATAAATAATTTTCAAAAATTAAATTTTATAATTCTTTTTTTATTTAAAAAAAGCATTTTTTCACTTTGTGAACAGTAATTTGTTTGTCTTAAAAATGTTAAATATTCAGCTTTGACTGAAATTTAAAATAAATAAATAAATAAATAAATATTTTACAGCTTCCAATACTGATCTTTTGTCGGATCTTGGTGGTTTCAATACTCCCGGAATGATGTCGCCAGCGAGTCAAACAAACAACGCAAATAATGCGAATCTATTGAATTCTATGAGTCCCTTAATATCAAATTCGACAGGTAAGAATATCAAAAATTTTTTCTACTTGTGAAAACAATCAACATTTTTTTACCCTCAATCTAAATTTGAAGCATTTTACATTTTAATTTAATTTTCGAAAAACAAGATACAATTTTTTCATACATACATACATTAAATAATAAAAAAAATATTATACATACTTTTCTTTTTTTGTTATAAAATTAAAAATTTTAAAAACAACTAAATTGAATAAATTATAAAAAAAAAAAAAATTTTGGTTGTTTTCTCTGAAAAAGTGTGTTACAAAAAATCGAAAAAATGTTTCATAAAAGGGGTTTGAGAGAAAAAAAAGTTGAAAATGCATGCGATTGTTTTGTTTGTGAAAATTTGCTTGTTCCTTTAAACGTTGAGACATAATGCCCCCAAGTTAGCGTTTCCTTACAGTTTCAAGGCGAGAAGATAGACAATTAAGGAAAAGGGACATTAATTATTCTGCCGATCTTCTATTGGAATTTCTACAATCAATGGAATTTATAAAATCACACGAAAATCTGGAAAAATTGAAAGCACTTATCGATGAATTCTGTAGATATTTACCCGGTTCTCTAACACCACAAAAATATCTCAATTTAGACGAAACGATTGAAATCGATTCTATTCTTTATGGAAAAGTGTTAGAAAAACTTGTCGAAAAATTCAATCATAATTGGCCATTAACGAACAACATTTTGGATTCATCAATTGAGAATATTTTCATAATCGACGGATCAACAGATGTATTATTTTACGAATCTATTTTCAATCTAATGAATGCTCTAAAAGAAACGGATAATGAATGGAAAATTTTGACTTTATCACGAATTTTGGAAAGTTTACTAAAAAGTGACGCTCTATTGTCGGCAATTGTATATTCTTCGAAATCAAGTGACGAATTACAAGAAGAGACTTGGAAAAATATTGTTCAACTTTTAGTTTCATTGCCAAATCGAGTGGCGAATAAGGCACAGAAAAAGATGCTCGATTCTCTTACACCGAAATTATACGCGAAAATTGTTATTTTTCATTTAAGTCGAGCAATTTTATTTTTAAACGATGGACTCTTTTATGACGCGAAGAAACCAAATGTGAAAATTATTGCCGAACTGTTAGGTAAAATGTTTCTTGTAATGGAATCAAATGATCTTTATTCATTTATTGATATTTTGTCAGTTTGCGCACTCGAGAATAGAAATAATATAAAAAGTTTCATTGAAACAATATTCGTTCAAGTCGATCGACGAAGTGTTGAATCAATCGTACTGTTAGTTCTAAAAAATTGCAAATCGAATCAAACGGTAAAAAATATTTTCTCTAATTTGGCGAACAACCCAATGTGGAAGTACATTTTCACGACTAAGGTGCCTTTAATGTCCTGGCATAGTGATGAGAATTTAATGCGAAATCTAATTTCTTATTTAAACAATTTTACCACTATTTTAGTGGAACTTTTGTTAAAACTACTAAACGTTTGGGGCGATAGAAGTGCTATTAGTCATACACCATTTGAACAACATTTGTACATTACAAAACTAATAATTCTATCGGTAAGGAGCCTAAAAGATCGTCTATCTCCAACAGAAAAGGAGGCTGTAAAAAAATTACTCTACTCTGCAATTGTCCCACATTTCGAGTCGACACAAATTTTAATAACCACAATTGGTATGATCACAGGAGAAATTATTGGCGAAATAGTTAATGAAAAGGATTCACCGAAATTGGAATTCGAATACGATTCACTGAATCAAGAGGCAAAATCATTGGTTCAAGAGATTAGAAATCTAAAAGTTTGCCCTCAAGTCGAAGAAAAATTACCAACGGAAAATAATTTGCATCTTGATAATATTGAATTTACATTTTTGGGTGCGAGAAAAATTTACGATCTTGCAATTGAGTGTAAAATTATAACATCTGCCACTGATCTCTCTCTGAACAAAACTCAAAATGAAGAAATTCCAAAAAGGATGGTTAAAATTAATAAAATTGATGAAAATATTAATAAGAAGGAGGATGAGGAAATTGACAGTGATGATGATTTAGTGCCATACGATATGTCTAATGATCCACTAGATTGTGAAAAATTCAAACCAGTTTATTTACGTGACATGCGCGATAATTTGACATCAACTGAATCGAACCAAAATCCAGATATATTTTCCGAAAGTGTAAAAATTGCGGAGGAATTAATTTTAACTCAACTTCCAAATGATGACATATCATTTGGTTTAGAACTTTTGGAAATATTCGTTACTCTCGGAGAAAATTATCATGTTGATGATTTTGAATCACTGAAATTTCGTGCTTGCGTTGCAATTGTTACTGTTTTCCCGAAAGAATCCGCCGAATATTTATGTCGCGAATTTTACACAAAAGCCGAATGTCATTCAATAAATCAACGAATTAATTTCTTGGAAATTCTCGCCGATTCAGTGAGAAAATTATCAAACTACAAAATAATGGAAGTCAAAAAAGAAAATAAGGAACCAAAAAAACCACGTCCATCAAAACCAATTTCTCTATTTATAGAAACAACGGGAGGAAAAAAGCACGAGACACTATTCGACGATGATTTCGAGGTACCAAGAAATAGGGATAATGTGAATTGGGAAGAAATTGTTCAAAAGAGAATTGACGGGAAAACGAAACGTTTCGCGCATAGTGCAAAAAAATCACAGACTGTGATGAATAAATTTGCTAATGTCGCAACGTATTTTTTCTATCCTCTTCTGTATGGTTTTGGACGACAGGCAAATTATGTCTACAATCTTCAAGTTAAGTCGGACAGTGATAATATTTTGTTAGTTAGTTTTCTAAAAACATTAGCGACAATTATGATAGAGGCTAAAAATTGTCCTTCCTGCGTAAAAATGGCGAGGGAAATTATTGATTTAGTTTGGACATTAAGATATCATAATGAGGCAAAAGTTCGTTTTTGTGCGATTGAAAATATTGCCGCTGTTCTCACTGTTGTTAGTGAGGAATCATTGATTAATGAATTATTAGAACCTCTAATGGAAATACGTTTATGGCTTATCGATAGTACCCAAAAAGTTGTTGGCGGTGAACCGGATACAAATTGTAAAAAATTTGGTTCACAAATTCTTGCTTTAATTAATTCGATTCTTGGCTCTCTCAGTTAGATTAATTTCAAAAATTAATATCTTCTGACTGTTATTTTAATTTACTTTTATAATTAAGGATCTAAAATTATTTTTTTATACTATCAATTTTGTGAAACTTTGAAAATAAATTTTTCTAGTTATTTGTAATTTTTATTTAATATTAATTGTTATTAATTAATAATATGTTAATTAATAATAAAAATTACCCGGAAAAAATGTAATTCATATTATAAAAATAGTTTCTGTTTATGATACAAGGAAGCAAATATTTATTAATATAATTTAATTTAAAAATGAATTGAATATATGCAATTTTTCTGGTATATTAATACATTTATTTTTTAATTTTGAAAAAAGATTTGTATTTTGAATAAAGAAAATATTTAATCTAGGATCGATTGGATTGTCACCGAATATTTTGACACCTGTAACAAGTAAAGCAGTAAATCAACCAGCGAATATACCAGCATCACAAGTTGGTTTAACTTGGGCTGGTACAGGATTAAATATAGATCTTGACAATATTATGGGTGGAAAATCAAATAAAACTGGACCAGCACCTTCGATGAATCAGTTGGCCAGTAACAGTCCACAACATCACGCTAAACCTATGGGTAAGTCTTTTATTTTAATATTTATAAATTTAATTATAAAAATTGAAAACACACGTTTATTTTTTATAAATAATTCATTGTTCATAATTACTTAAAATTATTGCAGTTGTAAAAGATTGTAAATTAAATTTTATTTTAAATAACATTATAGGAGTAAATATAATAATTCAGGCCTCGGATCGACTTTAAGGCACAAAAAAGTACAATTATTATAAAAATAATATTATTCAAAACTTCAATAATTTTGTTATACCTATAAATATTTAAAGACTTGTTACTCATTCTTCCTCAGTAATTGAAATTTTTCAAATTTTAATTTCGAACCTTTTGAAATTTAATTATTTCTAAAAATTATAACTGTAACCCATTCAAAATTTAATTATTTTCTAGTATTTCTAACTAAATTTCTTCTCTTAATCAATTTTATTTAATAATCTTTCGAAAGTTTTTCAAGAATTCAATTATTTAAATACAAAATTCATTTTTTAAAAATATATTAATAAATAATAATAATAATTTTAATAATCATACTTTTTTAAAAGTTTTAATGGTGAATTATTGAATATTTGAAATTTGTTAAAAAAATGTTAGTGTAAATATTTTTACTTCATTTATTTATAAATAATAATAATATTATTTTCGAAGAACGAAGAAGTCGCATTTTTTTAAAAGAAGTCGAAAAAATACCAAAAAGTTATATATTATCCGTGGCCTGTTATGTAAAAAATAGTATTAAATAATAATAAATAAAAAAAGTAAAAATTATATTTTAATGTCAATTAGTTCTCAAAATAGAGAAAAATTATTAACAATGGTTTAATAATTTCGAAAAAATTATTGTTATTATTATTATTATTTCAGTCTCACCAACCATGGGCTTCACGAGTCCCACAATGCAACATCCACAATCACCAAACGCAGCATTTTTTTCGGCATTTCAATGAGTCTCGGCTGACATTGAGTAATTAACTTAATAAATTTTTTGGGTAGGTGTAATAATAATAATCAAAGACTTAAAACCAATGGCGAAAATACTCTTTTCTTTCTCAAATGAACTGAAATTGTATACGATAAGAATTTTCCTTTTTCAATTTTAGTAAACAATTTTTTTTTCAATAACATATTCAATTTTTTTTTAACTTTTTACTTAAATATTTTTCCTTTGGTTTTAAGATCTTGAAAAAATAGATTTATAGAAATACTTGCTATAGTGAATTCTTGTCAATATTCTCACATTTTATAGTCAATTTATTTTATAAACAAAAAGAATTTTTATGATTTTTTTTATAAAAAAAGAAAAGTATATATAATAATTTTTATAAGTAACTTCTTTTTGATAAGAGAGTGATAATTTTAAACCTGTGTTTAATTAAATTTATTAATTATTATAAAATTATCTAAAATACAGTTTTTTTAGAGGTAAAAATTGAGCATAATTTGATGCATAATTTCTTTTTATACGAAAAAAAAGAATTTTTATTTCCTTAAATTTTATATTGTTTTTAAGCTCAATTTTTAATGAAGGTAATGGGACTTGAATACAAACTATAGCAAGTTATCAGTAGTTAGATTCAAAATTGATACGAAAAAAAGAACGAATCATGGATATATTTGCAAAGCAAATGTACCAAGTTGTTAAATTTTTCATCTTTACGAGAGCACTCCGAAGGCAGCTATATGTAAATCGCATTTAACGAAAATTCTATTAACAATATTTCATTCGAAAAATATCACGATTTTATTAAATAAAAAAAATGTACAGTAACCGACAGAGTGTCTCAATTTTTTATACATACTGTAAAAAATATCTTTTTGAATGATGATGATGATGATGATAATCTTGTAAAGAAAAATATATTGATGTATTTTATTTGTACGAAGTATTTTACTGCACACTATATTTACACACAGAATAAGTGTGTGAAATTCTCTCGAAACTCAAAAAAATATCATTCGAGAAAAAAATAAAATTTAAAAATATTAGTAACTGTATAAAACTTTTCACAATAATGTTAAATGAGATGTAGATTTTTATTGGTTATGAGAAAAGAAGATGTGCTTCCCTAACACATATTTTCTTTGCACCAAAAATTCATAAGTTTATTATTATTAGATTCATATAGAAAATTAAGTGATACTTGTTAATAATTTTTAATGTTTCGTGTAAGTTTCAAGTGTTATTTTTCATAATATCAACAAAAGAATATTATTAAAAGAAATGTCCTTAGAAAAATAAAAATATTTTGTTGAAATGCCAATAGATTAAATAATAAGCTTAATTTTTTCACTTCTTAACGAAAAAAGAAACATACAAACTTTAGTTAAAGTAAGTTAAGAAATTATTTTAAAATAATTCCAGTATATTCGTTATATATATTTAAATATAGCCACGATTTTCTATTATTTTCTCAAAAACTGAAGGATATTAAAACAAATATGGGCGAAGCATATCTCAGAATTAATACAAGCCATGTTTTAGATAAAACAATGAAAATTATTGCTTTCATACAGTATAGTAAAACTTTTCTTTTTAAAAAAATAAGAATTTGTATTCTCCTTTCAGAAACAATTCAGAATTATTTTTTTATTATTGAATTCAGAATTTAAATTCTTTTTTTTTTGAAAAATAAATTCAATTTTAATGGTGAAATAGTTTTTTTTTTAAATTCAAAAAATAATTCTTTGCAATCTTACTCATATTGCGATAATTAAATAAAAAATATTTTTATTTTACAACTTGTAGCAAATAATTTTCATGTCTGTTGATCTTAGACATGGTTGTAAATCGAATTCAATCTTTAAGAATGTAATTGCCGATAACCAGACACTAACAGCTAGATTGCCAAGTGGTTAAGTTTTAGATAATAAGAAAAATTGTTTTACTCGTAAGTTAATTGTAAAACGCGTTACTTCTCTATTCTGAAATATAATTGCACAATAAATATTTTATATTTACCGATTTGAAGGATATTTTGTTTACAGTTGTAAACAAAAAGCAGCTTTTATTTTATTATGTATACAATTCAAAGTGAATAGAGAGAACTTCTAATTATCTTTTATTTTTGCGCAATTCACCTCGAAATTTTAATGAATTTATTGCTCAATTTACTTAAATTAAAATTTTAAAATACATTTTGAAGAAAAAATCGAGTGATAAAAAAATGATATTCCAGAATAAGTCGAAACGCGATAATATTAGCAATACTTGAGAATTTCGATTTAAGCGTTAGATCTATTACAAAAAAAAAATAGAAAAATATTTATATTAAATTAGAAACGACACCTTTGGCCTTGACATATATTAATTATATAATACATGCTCAATACCACAAAGGCATAATATCTTTATACAAAGCTATAGATAATTCGTTGCAGTCTTGCTCTTATTGCGATAATTGTATTTAACTCTCTGAGACTGAACTGATAGAAATTTCCTTTTAAATTTTACACTTGACCCCTGCATTTAATACCGAATATGATAGAATACATTTTTCAAGTATCAATTCTAATTAAATTTTAACACTAATTTTTAATTTCTATTTTCATAATATGTAAATTTAATTTTACAAATGTCAAAAAGAAAAAATTTTCAGAATTGATATTTATAAAATGTTTTCTCCTGGAGGGAACAAAATTTCTTCACAAGAATTCCAAGTACAGAGAAAGATTAATATCGATATTTACAAAAAGAGAAGAAAAATATTATAATGGAAGTATTATTTTTAAAAATAAATATAGACAATTTGTCATTTTATCAAAACCAACAAATTGTAAAGTTCAAAACTATTTTTTTTAAGTTGCAGGATTTACCGAAAATTTTGAAACCGCGATTGACCATTTATTGACAAGATCATTCCAAATTTTAATAATTACTTTCATCAGTATTTTTAAGTATTTTTTTTATGAATTTAATGATTTATTGATTTATCATTAGAAATCTTTGAAAATTAAAAGGCTTCATAAATTGTATTGTTTAAATGAAACACATTTGTTTCTAAATTAATACAATCTGCTCGTTGCAAAATTAGCATTTTAATTAAATTAAACTGACAAAGTAAATTAAACTACATTTTTTACACGAAAAACAAAACGTGTAATTAAAATTTGTTTTTAGTTAGAAATAAATTTAAACTCTAGTTGAACAAATATATTTGCAGTTTAATTTAATGAATAAGCTTTTAATGAATATTCTGTAAATTAAAATCGGTGTTTGTAAATTTAAACAGTATATTTTTGAACTTTTGATAATTTAGAAAAGGATTCGTCATATTATGCAGGATAAAAATTATAAATTAAATTTATTTTACACATACGAAATGTTGATTTTTAAAAAATGTAAACGGTGTCTGTTTCATTTCAAAAGTTATAAATTTTTCAACACATGTATGTGCGCAAACTACAAAACTGCATTTTTTTCAAAGCATCTATATAATGAATATTATATACAACCGTAGTTGATAACTGTGAAATTAAAACAGCTTTTTAATTTTTATGTATAGAATAAGCGATAAATGTTATTATTAATTTATGTGTTTATAACTATGTTGCAATCTATTATCTTTATTAAATGCTCATTGGTGCTGGTTAAAATATTTTTTTATATTAATTTACTTTCACATTATTTTTTCCCTCATTTCAATTAATTTATTCCTTTAGAAATTTTAATTACTTAAAAGTCTGCTTCTTTAAAATATTTGTTTTTAATTTTTCTCAAGTGAAATAATTACAGTCAATGTAATCAATATAAAGTTAATTTTAATAGGCAAGGTGTTAAAAAATTCGTGCTGAAAAATAATAGAAAATTTTAAAAATATGCATTTAATTATTTATTTTTGTTTTTCAATCATACATTCAATTAAAAATATATATAAGAATGTATTACGTTATGATACAAAATATGTTAAACATAATTTCATTTTTTTTATGTTTAAGTTAACGTTTTTATGTTAACTGAAAATGATATTATTTGCAATGACCTTTTTGTAATTAAATTGTCATAAATGTCGTTAAAAGTAAAATCTCTGAAAAGTTTGTAACAAACAAATCGTCGATAAGACTTTACTATAGAATTTTATCATTTTATAAAAAAAAAAAAATAATAAATGCGCTCACCTGTCGTTCACGGTTTAATTAAATTGATCTGAATTAACAAAATTTAAATGCGTCAATGTATTATTTACAAGTATATAGAGAATTGGAATAAATTTTTTTAAATTAAATACTTTAAATTGAATTTTTCGTTGAATTTGCAAAGACAAGAATGCAAATATTATAAAATTTCCTTTTACCGTGTCAAAAAATGTACTCCTTTCAAAAATGTAAAATTCGATCAAAATAATTAAGCTGTTAAGGAGATGTCGCCATTTTCGCCAATGCTTTTGGATTTCTTTTTCTTCTTCTTCTTTTTTGGTTGTTCCTCATCGATAGATTCATCCGCCTTGATTTCCTCCTTTGAGAAACCATTAACACCATTATGCTCAGTCTCCTCGCGCTTTCTCTTCTTGTCCTTCTTCTTTTTCTTTTTAGGCGATTCCTCCTCAACGACAACATTTTGCGCTGCCTCCTCAATTGCTTCTTGCATAACGTCTATATTTTTCTTAGGCACATCGCCAGTCTCGTAAAATTTCAGTCGATCCTCAACTTGCTGACGTAATTTCTCACCGAATATTGTACTTGGCATATCAGTGAAACAATCAATTCTCGACGCAATGGAACATTTATTGGCAAGGTATCGAGAAATTCTACCTTTATTCTTCGTTCCAGCGCGACCAATGAATGTCGAATGGAATAAAAGACCGTACTTCGGCGTATTCCCTCGTGTTTTTAAAGCACGGAAAAGTGCTTTTTCAGCGCCTAAGATTTGCACTGTTGAAGCTGGATATTTCGCCAAATTAGTGAGCGAACCGGCGTGTGCAATCAATCGGGCACCGACCTGGTCACCAATCAATGACGCGAGATTCGGAGCGACACTGCTCATTTTTGATCGTAAATATTCTGCCAATTGTTTCCTATAGTCGGCCAATGCAACGACACGTCCGGCGAACATTTCAATGTTCATTAAATCAATTGGACTTATGTCCATGCCCATTGACGATTTTGACGCGTCAATTATTCCTTGAGCTTTTCCACTGTCCATTACAATTTCCTCAAGGGCCTCGAGTTTGTCATCAGACAATTCCTTTCGATTCTTGATGAACTGAGCAACTTTTGCGTACATATAATTCTCGGGGACGATTTTCACGAGCTCTGGGAAGTGATAGCTGTACCATTCTCTGAAAGAAACAATTAAAGTTGAAGCAGAAGGAAGCAGTTAACGAGGAATAATAAAAATAATTTACGAACCTGATTCGCATACTAAACGTATTAACATCCTTGTCCAATTGATCCAATAAGGCGATACTTTGAATAATCATGTTATCGACACGATTAACATTGAATTTAACTTTGGCTCGAGAATAACTGTGTCCTAGACCGAGTTGTGCGACTCCGGATGTTTTTAACGTGAATCCTTTGACGAGATTGTGAAAGTGGAAGCGTATTCCTCGAATTATCTCAGGTACCGCTCCGGTGTGATCGCACTTGATGTCAAGAGCTTCCGTAATGCTCGCTCCAAGTCTCGAATCGCCAACTCCAAGGACCACTTTCTCCTTCTTCCCCGCTTTCGGAATGCATGAATCCAAAAATAGTTTCAAATCCTCAGGGACAATACCTTCGGAAATGCTATTCACGTTTTCCAATGCCGTTAAGGCTGTTTTAAAGGGCGAGAAACCAACGAGTTTTACAATTTGATTGAAACGTGATAAATCCGTTACTGAACATTCTACCTGCGGTAGAAGCATTCCAATTTCTTCGAATTCCTTGATGTAAAACACTCCATAGCCTGCGGCATGCTCGAACAGAACGTAGAGCTTTGTCTAAAATAGAAAAAACTTTCTTTTCATTTATACACACAACAATTATTCACAAAAAATACCGTAATATAAATATTTATTCTATTTATTCGTTGAATTTTTATTTTTTTTCACTTTTAATATAAAATGCATCCTGAAATGTTATTTTCTAGGTTAAGTTCGAAATGAGACGCAAAACTGAAACAATCGCATTTTACCATAACAATAGAAGAACAATAATTATTTACAAAATAATAATAAAATTACCGGTTGTTTAAAAAATATCAAAAAATACATACAAGTTGTATAAATTATGAAAAGAATGTGCTTTTAATTAAACCGATGTGCTCATATGTTTACTTGTCATTAAATAAAACAATTTACCAAGTTTTACTATTGCAAATTATTTGAAAATTAATGTGATTTACTGATAAATAATTAGCGAATAACTTACCGTCATTTTTAAAGTTTATTATGCCAAATTTTTATATTTATTTCAAATATTCGGTGAACTTTAAATCATTTTCATGGTTATGCGTGTGCCCTGGTGTGCCCTGAATATTGCTAGCCATGTGTAGCGGAAATACAACTAAAACGGAAGTCAATAAATTATAATCCACCATTTGCGCTTGCGTAAGAGACGAGTTTTGACTTACGTCGTATATTTACCACGTGCTTGTCAAAAAAATAACAAACCCAACAAAGACAAACATTTCCAACAATTAAAGTGATTATATTAACAATTAATTTTTGTTATCGTTTACCCTTTTACTTGTTCACGTTTACAAGGATCTTTTAATTGATTTTAAAATTAAAAATCATGACTTGATTTTATATATATATATTCCTGGTATTTCTGTCGATTATTAAATTTTGTTAGATTTTAATTCAAAGGATTTAAAGTGTCATATTTTATTTGTTTATAAATTAGTTCAAGATATTTACAGAAAATAACATTATTCAAACTTCAACACCAAAATAACAAGAATGATTTTTTGATGGAAAAAGATGAAAAAAAATACTACCTAACCTATATTTGAATTCACAAGAGCGAATTTTTTTGATTGACATATTCTATAATAGTTATTTATAATTATTTCATTAAAATGTCGAATACACAAATTTGTGAAGTTTGTAGAAGCACAAATTTCGAAATTATCGACGGAAACTTCTTTTGTACTCAGTGTTTCACTCAAAATGATGTAAGCATATTAATTTATTCCATTTATTCTTACATGAATTGACAACGAAAGATTTCAAATTAATAAATTGTATTAAAATTGTAGAATATTCAAGAGAATGTACGAGAGACTAGAATTGATCCAACAACACGTATAAGATCCATAGGAAGAATAAAAGCAAAAAAAGCTGATAAACCAAGTGAGTTTTAAATCATATTTTTGTCAAAATTATGTTACTTATTATTTATTCACTACTAATCTTTTGGTAATGAATAAAGAATATATAAGAATTAATAAAGAATAAGTTGTGAGACAAATTATTCATTGAAATTTATTTTTTTACTTCTAGTTGAAGGATGGACGTCATGGGAATTGTACAACTTCGTTATTTATGGACTAACTAATGAAGCTATTGAACTTGGAGCTCCATCAACAATAAAACTGACTGTATTACAATTGTGGACGGCTTATTTAAGAAAATTAGAAGTTGCATTTACTTCCAAGAAAAAGAAAAATGTTCCGAAATTAGCAAAAATTTTCAACAAAAGGTTATTATTATAGATTAACGTCTAATTGAGAGGCGTTACTTTCTTATAAAAATATTTTTATTCGTTACAGAGATGCGGAAATAATTTACGGGAAAATTGAGCAACGAAAGAAACGAAAGAGAAGAAAAAATGGTAGTAGTGCTACGTCAATGGTTTCTAGTTTTCAAAGCTCAGGAAGCACTTCACATAGAGCATCAAAAAAATCTTTGGTATTAGCATAATTTCATTTTTAACTAACTTATTCTTTTAAAAATTATATATTTCTAGGAAGCTGAAAATGGCACCCACTTAATTTTGTAAATTAAATTCTAAAGATAAATATTTTTTTCTTTAAAACCAACATAAAATTTTGAAAAATTAAGCGAGTCTTGATAACAGGGGGCTAGTTTCAGCTTCATTATATATTTCAACTTTATTTTTCCATATTTTTTTATAAAAAGTTTTTAATATTTAACAGCCAAGAGATCATTTTTAATTCAATTAGAAAAAATAAATTTAATTAGATTTTTTAAATATATTCTATTATATTATATTTTTTCTACTTTAATTCATTTATTTCCATGTTTAAAACATTGAAGGAAATTTCTTTAGCAGAGGAATACGAAAAAGCAAGTTCAGCAAACGATTCAATGAGTTCATTTTCAGCAAATCAAAGTTTAGTCAGCTTGCAATCAAGTTTTAGTCAACGTTCTTCTAACAAAAGCAAGTACGTTTCAGTATTTTCAGTCTTTCAGATAGAATATGTAATACTTTATTCACAAAAAAACTATAATTTTATTCTATAAAAATAATAATTTTTTATAAAATTTAAATGTTATTTTTTTCAAAGATTAAAATTTAATAAAGGAGCTAGAGCGGAAGCGAGAAAAATAAAAGTATTATCGTCGAAAGTCTCCTATTCACGTCGTCGAAAATCGAGAAAAGGACAAGTAACGACGCGTTATAAACTTGGACCGCAAGTAATCACAGCAACAAAATTATGGGCAATTCTTCATCTTGCATTCAGAATACATGGTGTCAATATTCATCTCTCCGATATGCTTCGGTAAAAAATTATGGTTTTTAGGTTTAAAGAAATCTTTGAAAAACTTAAAAATCTTGAGATATTCTTACATTTTTCTGACTTAATTTCTTGTTTCTGAAAATAATTACAATTATTTTAAATAATTAAATTCTAGAGTAACTTTCCTCATACAATTATTAATTATTCTTAACTTGTAAAATATTTTAGTTAAAAACAGTTTGCAATTTTCAGAAATAATTTAATTTTGGAAGGTTTTGAATTGAAATTTTTGAAAATTTAAATTGCTATTAAAACAATAATAATATATTAATGTAAAAAATTATTTAAGTTTTTCTTTTTATTAAAAAACAGTTTCATTCCAGAATTACCAAATTAATTGAAATTTGATGAAATCAAATTAAAAATATAATAACATCTGTGACGCGATCTGAAGAAAGGGACCTTAGAAGCAAAAAATTATAGGTTATGTTTGCAATTTTTTAAATGAAAATACAAAAAAAGGATCAACTGTCAATATAAATCATTGAAGTTTAAGTCTTCATTAAAACTAAAATATTTAATAAACACTGATTTTAATTCGAAATAAGTAAAAAGAAACTTTCAAACAAGAAAAAAGTAACTCTAACCCAACCTCAAAATGATTTGCTTCTAAGGTCCCTTTCTTCAGATCGCGTCACATCTGTTAAAGAATTTCATTAGAGTTTTAAAAAATACGAATTTTCAAAGAATTTTAATCTAATAATTTAATTAGTTGAACTCAATGAATCTTTTGATTAATAATTGAATACATATTACAGAGAGTCAGTATTCATATTATGTTTATATTAGTATAAAAAGCATTATTAAAGTGTCAAAATTATAACTAAAATAATTAATTTTCTTAAATGAAATTAATTTTAATCTTTTATTAATTAAATTAGTTTTAAAAAAGATACCATAAAAATTTTTATACATTAGTTAATTTAAAAAAAGTTTAAATTAAGAATTTTGTTTAAAAATTAAAGTTTTGAAAAATTTTACTGAGATTTTTGAAAATTGGAAGCAGTTTGACACAATAACTAATTTTATTTTTAAAATAGGAAGGCTCTTTAAAAATTTTAAATTAAATGTTTACTTCTAAACATTATTTTTTTATAATTAAATTCCCTTTAAGTATTTTTATAGGGATTAATGAAGAGGTCGAAATTCTAACTGGAAATCAAAGAAAATGACCTTAATATTCTGAAAGTTTCAATGAAAAAAATTGATATATTTCTTCATTAAATTATATTTTTATTACAATCATTTGGAGACACTCTGAAAAAAATTAATTATAAAGTTTCAATTAGTCAATCTTTTACGTCCGAGAAATATTAATTATAGTGAAGGAAAATAAACGAAAACATTCGGACAAATAGTTTTTAAAAATTAGTTTACTCCAACGTTTCGAAATCTAACCGATTTCTTCTTCAGGGAGTCTAAAAATATAAAATAATATACAAAAAAATACAAAAAAAAAAAAAAATTATAACATTCATCAATCATTATAAGTAACAAAATATAAATTATACAATATGAAAAATTTCAAATAAATCAGTCTAACATTCATTCATAAATAATAAATAAATAAAGGTATAATATCTTACCAAAAAAATTAATAAATAAACATTTGTCAGCAAGTAAAGATTAAAAACAAATTTACCCATCAAACGTCAGAGAAAATATAGAGTTTGGAGTCATAATTAAAATAAATGTGAATCGAAATTATAAATAAAAAACTTTTTTAGAATGAATAAAATAAAATAAATGAAGTTTAGATTAATTAACATACCTATAAAAGATTAGAAACGTTAGAAAGTTGGAGTAAACTAATTTTTAAAAACTATTTGTCCGAATGTTTTCGTTTATTTCCCTTCACTATAATAAAGTTTCTAAATGCAAAATTCAAGTTTTTAATTTTTATTACAATTAGTGACTTATGAAAATATTTTGTTCATGAGAACGTTCAAAACTTGTGGATTATGAAAGAAATTAATTTAAATTTTCGTGGCAACCCTGTACTAAATCTTTTTTCTCCAGTAAAAATAAAATTTTTAGTTTTATTGAAGAAAAATTGTTTACTTAGTTCCTAGTTTTTAATTCAAGAATTGTTTTAGTAATTTTATTATAGTTTGTTTTGTATTTACATAATATATTAATATATTTTTATTCCTCCACGATTGTTAATAGATACGGCAAAGAAGGACATTTGTCGTATTATAAAATGGATCATTTGATTCCCCAGGAAGTTTCCTTAAGCAAAGAGAATGTTTCAATGTTAACGCCAATAAATGAATTGACCCACAAAGGTCTTCGTGAATTGTCAGCTGGGATTGCAAATTTTTTGGACGTCACTTTCGACACTCCAAATTTTCTATCTCTTGCTGAAAATTACTGTTTGGAACTACAACTTCCAAGTGAGTTAAGTTATCATGAATACGAAATTTTATATTTTTCTTTTTTCTAGTTTCTTTTTACGTATCTTTAAACATTAATTTTTCTAATTTAAATAATAAATAAATTTTGTCCTAAATTAAATTAAGATTTTGATTTTTAATCGTTTATTCTTAAAAAAAATTGTTTTTTTCTTTTAAGGGGGAATTTTGCTGTATACAGAAAGACTGTTGGCATTGTGCTCACCAAAGATGATTTTTCATGGACAAACGTTTATGCCTAATTATGAAGGCAGAGTAATGGCTTTTATTATAGTCGTAATGAAAATATTATTTGGTATGGATGGAATAACCGAGTACGAAATCAGTCGAGTTGCCGAAAAGATAAACATGTTCGTTTCAATTTTCTTTATTTAGAAAAACCTTTTTTTATTTGAAAAAATTTGAAAAAATTTGAAAAAATTTGAAACAATTGCAATTAGCCTTTTTCTTCATGCGTTTGTTATTTTTACTCGATGGGGGAAAAACAATTCAAAAAAAAATTTTTGAAAAATGTTAAGAAAAATTCTCGTATTTAATTCACGTAAAAATGTTATCAGAAAATTTGACACCATCAATAATAGTCCACGGAGGTGTTGGCGAGTCTGACGACTCAATAAAAATGGAAAAAATGAATACCTGTCAAAAAGCAGCTTCAGTGGGTTATAAAATATTGATGAACGGAGGAAAAGCAAGCGTTGCTGCTGAAGCCGCTCTATCATGGTTCGAAGATGATGAATTCTTCAATTGTGGCTATGGTTCCGTCTTAAATGAAATTGGTAGAGATTTTTCAAAATAATATCAAGTGAATTGGAAGAAAAATATTTTTCTTTTTTCTATCAATTTCGATTTGAATAATAAAAATTATGATTTATTGAAAAAGTTTTTTGGAAAATTAAAATTTCTAGTAAATATTAAAACTCTAAATATTAGGAGAGGTGGAAATGGACGCCTCGATGATGGACGGAAGTAAAATGGAAATTGGTTCCGTTGCCGCAGTGTCAGACATTACACATCCAATAACACTGGCGAAATATATAATGGAAAATTATCCAAATTCTATAATTGTCGGAGAAGGGGCGAAAAAATTGGCGAAATTCGCAAATTTAAATTCCGTTTCTAAAGGCTCAATGATAGCGCCCGCATCACTTTGCGCCTATAAATCTGCAGTTTCTGGTGATTTTCAAGTGTCAACTTTTGATTCGTCAGCCGTTAGTGAAGCACTTAAAAGTAAAAAATTTAATTTCAATGTTTCAACATTTAATTATCAATTGTTTTCTATTCTGAATTCGTGAAAAATGAATAGATTCATCGGACACTGTGGGTTGTGTGGTGTGGGATGGCGAGAGAATCATTGCAGCCGCATCAACTGGTGGTTTGAATAAAAAATTAGTCGGTCGTGTTGGCGATTCACCACTATTGGGTTGCGGTGTTTTTGCAAATAATCATGTCGGATGCTGTCTAACTGGTCATGGAGAGTCGGCAATAAAAGCCGGTCTGAGTCGATCGATAGTCAATTGCATCTCTCAATGTCAAACCCTATCGGAAGCCCTGCAAATTAATTTAGACAATTTACAAAAGCAAACCGCACACGATTGTGGTGGAATTGCTCTCGATAAGTGTGGATGTTGGTCAATTTATTTTACCGGAACAACAATGCCTTATGCATTCATAAGAAATAATTTAATCACCTACGGAATTGACAGAGGGGAAAAAATAACAAAACCATATCGAGATCTAAGCAAAGAAGAAACTTGCTATTGCAAATAGTATTTTTTCTTTTTCAATACAATATTCAATTAATTAATTATTTTAAGCACTAAATAATAATTAAATATGTACTGTTCTTTTTTAGGCAAGCTACTGAGAGGGATGTTCTTCTATCGAAACTATTTAGTTTCAATGAATGGCAACGTTTTATTGAATGTCGCAAAGCCGTTTTATCCGAAGTTCATTTTCCAAGTAATCGCAAGTACAATCCCGAAGCACCAGGAAATAGTCATTTGTTTCTAAGATTTTTGGGTCTAATACAATCGAAAAGGGAGGGCGAACAAACGCCAATTGTAAATACAGTGAAGCCAATTCCAGAACTCCTGCGAAAGGGTTTTCAATCGTGTTTCGATACTTTAAACGAAAACCTTCCGCCGATGAAGGAAATCGCCATATTCCCAGCATCATTGACGCCACAATATTCCTACATTCAACAACTTTTGGATGATCCCTACAATGATTTGCCCGCGATTCTCAAAATTAATTTCTACGACACAAAAGTCGGTTACACAACAAAACCAGATTTGTATGCTATTTACTTATTTTACTACTACACTTTTATTTATTCAGGGTTGACGCATGCCAGGGAACATAAAATTGGTCATGGAAATCAGGGAATTTCATCAAAAGTATACTGGAAAAATATTAAATTTCTAGAATTCATAAGAAAGCTTCTTGATTTCGGTGTTTAACAAACTTTGAAAATATTGAAAATATTTATTTCTTCAAGAATGTATTTTCGTTTGTCTTATAAACTTTGAAATCACCACAAATTTTAATAGAAAACTATAAGTATTTTCTGTGTTCTGTCAGTAATTAGAATTTTTGAAAATTAAAATCTTGAATAGGTTTAATTTCAATTGTTTTCTTATCGAATTTCTATATATTTTTTCAAACTTTAAAAAATATTCAACTATTAACTAATTTACTAATTAATTATTCTTGTTTATTAATTTCAAAAATTTTAATTAGCTTCTTCGCAAGAATTTTTTTCTAAAATTTTAATAAATCCTTCGAAGCAATTCAATTAAATTTATAAGTAGTAAAATTCTTTGTAAAAATTCAATTATATTCAAAACAATTTCACGTAATAATTCAATTTTTTTTCTTAATTCGTTATAAAGAATTTCAAAAGAATTCAATTATTTTCTAAAAGTTTGATAAATTCTTCGAAAAAATTCAATTATATTTATAAATAGTAAAATTCTTTGTAAAAATTCAATAATTTTAAAAAAAATTTAATTTAAAAAAAAAAATTTTAATAATATTTTTAAAAAAATTCAATTATTTTCTAAACTTTTAATACTTAAATCCTTCGAAACAATTCAATTATATTTATAAATAGTAAAATTCTTTGCAAAAATTATATTAACCAATTATATTAAACAAAATTTTAGGAAAGAATTTAATTTTTTTCTTAATTCGTTAACAAATTTTTCAAAAGAATTCAATTATCTTCTAAAATTTTAATAAAATTCAATAATTAAATGTTTAATTTTAGTCATCAAAAAACACGATTATTTTAAAAACTTAAATGAAGTTGCTCATAAAATTAATTTATTTCCAATATTTTTAATTAAAATTATTAAAGAAACTCCATTATTTAAACAAAATTCAAAGAAATTCAACAAAAAAAATTTAATTAGAAGAATTATTTTTAGAAGAAATTCTATTAATAAATTTTTTGCAACAATTCGATGATTTTCAATACATTAATTTAAAAATTAAAAATATTTTAAAATAAAAATTATTAAAGTTAAGTTGCAGTGACAATTTTGATAAATTATTGAATTTTAATAGATTTAAAATTAAAAATTGTTGTGTCAACCCTGTTAATTTATTATTAAACTAATTTTTCCTATTTTCTATTCTTAGATTAGAGCAACTGGCAAGTCAATGTGATATCGAGCTAAAGATTATCGACACAAATTTGCATTTTGTCGAGAAACAAGTTTCCGAATACAACGATCGACTAGTATTGAGTAAAGAAAGTTTATCCGAAACTGTTTTAATCAAAGATCCAAAAAATGATAAAATCAAGAGTGAAAGTTTGTTTGATTATTTGCACAGAAAAGTTGACAGTAATGTTTCGGTGAATCATACGAAAAAGAAATATTACGATACCATGAAATTTTCATCAAATATGGAATTAGAGTCAAATGATGAATTCAATTTTGATCAAGTTGAACACGATGGAAAACTATTGATTCAAATTGACAGTGATTCGGACAATGAGGAATTAAACAAATTCGTAAGTGAAATTGATCTAACGTCCAGTGATAATATAGCTGAAAAGGAATTTCGTAAAGCGTACAATTTAACACTATCAAAGCACGAGGAGAAAGCAACTTTTGAATCGAAAACAATTTTGAGCAAACGACGTCAAGTTGAAAAAATTTATCATCGAAATGAGAGAGGAAGATTCACCAAAATTGAAGAAAAGATGGGTGAAATTAAAGAAGAAGAAGAAGAAGCAAGTGGCAGTAATGAAAATGAATTGACAGATGATCCGGAAATTTTAAATTTGAAGGATTTTATCAAGAATCGAAATGTTAAAAATCGTTGCGTTAGTTTTCGACCCTATAAAGACTATTGGATGTATAATTGTCTATTCAGTCGGATGAGATTAAACAATTTTGAATTATTCGAAAAAGAATTGCCAATCAGTTTTCGTTGGCTGTTGCGCGTATGTGCCGACACTATTGAAATGTCAGAACTCGATTTATATGAAGAAGTTTGCCTAGTCGAAGCTTATTGTACACATATTTTAAATTCAAATAACGAAAAAGGAGATTCACAAAATACTGTAAACAAAAAATATCTTAACTCAGTTTTACAAAAATGGTAAAGAACTCAAGTTTCCAAGTCCAACTTAAACTTAAGGTTCAAAATTTCTTTACATTAAAGTTTAAAACTGTTGGATTCCATTTTTTAACTCGTACCTAATTTTCATCGAATGAAATTATAAACCGTTTTTTAAATAAATGTAAAAATGTTTAAAAATATAATTTTTCAAAGAAAAAATAGATTTGTTTTGTGGAAATTATTTCTCAACATCTTTATTAGCTACAAATGCATTCAAAATCCGAAATATTCACACTGTCGGGTAACGCTTTTTTTTGGAAATATTCCACGTGATATATATATTTTAATTTTTTTTCTCTTTTATTAAATATCTATGTGTCGACGGTTTCAATTTACCGATATGATAAGTCAAACAAATCGGTATTATCAATTCTTTTTAGCACCTCGATTATTTCATTTTTTCGCATATTTTGCGCATTTATTTAAATATTATTGTAAAGAAAAATGCCGCAACAGTAAATAATCATAAAATTTAAATATTGTTGTATTTTATTCTATTTTGCTCATCGCTATTTTTAGATTTTATTGTTTGCTGTTTTTGCTGGCTTTTCCTTTTTAATTACGCTTCTATTTATTTACAAAAGTAAAATGATTGGTTTTTTAATGATGATTATAGTTAATTCATCAAAGACATATAATGATATATGTAATTGTATATATATATTTTTTTATATTTGTAATAATAATTTATCGCTTTCACTGCGCAGCCATATGTTATTCTCTATCAACAACGCAATGAGAAACGATTAATGAGCAACAAAGTGATACGCAATTGATTAATATAACATAATTAGAGATTTTACACTTTTCTTGACAGTTCTGCTTAAAATACTCGACACATGATCTCTTTTATTTCTCGATAATAATTATTACAAGATGATATAAATTTTAATAACACGATAAATTTTAAAATTAATTTATATACGAAATTTATAATTGATTGAACTAATTAAGTTAATTTGTTTAAAATTTGTTTATTTCTTCCTTCTAAATATAATTTTCTTATTCAGATTAATTTGATATAATTAATAGCAAATTTAATTCAATTTCTAAATTATTTTCTTATACTAATTTTGCGAATATAAAATTTTTTTTCACAATTCTCAAATTTCGACCAATTCCCTTTTAAACTAAATTTTTGAAATTTTTTTTAATATATTGATATTAGTTTTTGTATTTATAATTTCTTTTGATAAGTAATTAATTATTCTTATCATTTATCGGAATTACCTATTTCTAAATATTTGAAATTCCAATTATTTCTCTATTGAGAAAATCAAATATTTTAAGCAGAATACCTACTAAACATTTGTTTTATATGAAACGATTGTTTACAACACGACGAACAATAAACTATGATTTCATTAACATTTTTAAACAAATAATTTATTTAATCGAACGTAATAAACGTAGTTGTGCGTATACGTTTTCATTAAATCTTTTTCTTCAATATTCTAATTTTCGAATTCAAAATTCTCCTAGTAAAATTATTTTTTAGTGTAAAATTTAATTTTTCAAAATTGAATTTTCACATTAAAAATGAAATTTGAAATTAAAATTAAATTTTTTACTTGAAAATTAAAATCTAATTTTTGAAAAATTAAAATTTACAAAAATAGAACACAAAACTGTAAGTATTAAAAACAATGGAGAAAATTGATTAATTTGACTGCAAATCAATGATTTTGTGCGTCAAATCAGTACAGAGTGCTCTTTCTTAAAAAAGGCACACTTGTTCATTAGTTTATTAAATCAATTAATTATTAATTGCTAACTTCTGAATGAATTGTGAGGTGAGTGAATATTTTTCCTTAAATGGAAAAGAGAGTCAACTTATTTCTTAAAAAAGTACAATCACTTTCATTCACAAAAATGAAACAATAAAGTATTTTAAATAGATTATTATTTAATGAGAAAATTTTCCATAGTATTGCTCAGTATTGTCTCATTTTGTAGTATTCAAGTAATTTTGTTTACAAAAAAATTAAATTTTCAATTTTCTCAGTTAAAAAGTAATTAATTAATTAAATTAATAGTATTCACAAGCAGAAAACAAAAGTATAATAACTTTGAAGCATAAATTTATGAGTATCAGAAAAAATTAGTAAAAAAAAATAATAAAAATCGTATTTGATGTAATTGACAATATTTTAACACTAATATTAAAAATCGATAATTAATTGGTGCTCTATTATCACTCAAAGTGGAAAATATTTGTTATCAAGTCTCTATAACGATAAAAATGAAAATGTGTGCCTTGAAATTGAATTTTTCCTTTAAGAAAAGAATTCAACTTTTTCGATTTTTCCAACCTTAGTCAATGAATTGAAATTTGAAAATTAATAAGTTTGTCAAATTTACAATTAAGCCTCGAAAAATTATCATTAAGTCAGAATAACGTCACTGTAATTAAATTAAATTCAATTACTGTGAATGTTTAGCAATAAGAAATACATTGAAATATTAAAGCATTTGTTTTTAAATTAGACTTTCTTTAAATTTAATGACTGACTAGAATCATTAATCTGCATCCCATTTCAGTCGGTCTTCATTCGAATCATCGCTTTTACTTAAAGCGTGATTTTTTGAGTATCACAAGAAATTTTTTTTTTTTTATTCACAATATTGCAATATTATCGCCAACAAAGCGTATAGGTGCATAGTGAAACATATGAGATGAAAACAATTTTTTCATTTCCTCTTTGACAAATTTATCAAATAGTTAATTTGCCTTCTCTTTAAAAAACTGTTTTTCCAAATTGTACTTTTAAGAGTAGAATTCGGCTTATTTATTGGCTTAGAAGGCAAAGATGCAAAATACCTAATTACAAAAGAGGTAGATGACAACTCTTTGGGTCACTGTCTTTTTATTCAATAAGTACGAAATATCGAATTGAAAAAAAGCTTGAATATTAATTTATGTAAATGAAATACACAAAAATTGTAAATAAATAAAATATTATGTAAAATTTGTAAATTAAAAAAATTGAAAACTGTAATGTTTAGAAAACAGAAAGCAGAGAATTATGAAATATTTAAAATTATAACTTTAAGATTCTAAAATTAAATCAATTATTACAGTTGGAAATAAAACCAAAAATTATAATTTTTCTAGAAATACTTAAATTATTTAAGTAAATGTAATTATTAATATAATTCATAATTAATTTTAAAAATATATAAGATATTATTAATAAAATAAAATAGAATATTTTTAATAAAGTTAAATAAAGCATTATTAATAAATTAATAAAATAGAAAATATTAATAATCAAAGAAATCAAAATATATTAACAAAATAGAATAATATGAGAAATAAAATATTATTAACTAAGGAATAAAATTTTTTAAAGAAAGTGAAATAAATTTTTTTTCTAAAACTCGATATTTCTGTTTCATAAGTCCTTTAGCTTAGAATTAGTCACTGGTTTATCCAATATTTAAAAATCTTGTTCTCATGGTCAAAATTCTTAGATTCCTATTAATGCTTTGTGATTTTCATGTACAAAATTTGAATCACTTGGAACTAAGTTGTCAGTAATACTTGCTGTTGATGGAAATTCTATCGATTGCAATTGAAGAATCAATCGAATAATTACGCACTCAATTTATAAATATCATTCCTTTTGGACTTTCCAAAAAAAAATTTTATTTTTTTTGTTGGTCCTATTTCTTTATGCGATCCACAATCGTTGAGCTTCATGACACCTTCTTCTTTGTCGGTTTTTTGCTTCGTGGTAGAGTGGCGAAATTTGTTATCTGAAAATTGTCAACGAACACAAATATTAGAAAAATAGAAAACAAAATATTAGCAATTTTTTTTTATTAACCAAGAAAGTTAAATATTTTAACACACATTTTTGAAAGCTGCATTTTAAAATTTTTATTCTGTTAGAATTAGAAGAAAACAGAAGAGAAAATTAAATTATTTCTAAAAGAAGTGTTTTTTATTTTATGAATAAAAGACCTTGAGTTAAAATATTTTTTAAATTTTGAAGGGAAATATTTAGTATCTAAAAAATGTTACAACTCGAACAAAAAAAAAAATTAATTCACTGTCAAATAAAATGTTAATTTTTCTGTAGAGTAAGTTGGAAATGTTTCAAATATTAAAAACATTGTTTAAAGCCCCTTTGAATAAGAATATAATAAAAAATGAATTTACCTATTTAAGTTAATGAAAAAAAATGTCAAATATTTAAAATTTTAAAGCAAGGATAAGAAATTAATTACAATGGAATTTCCGACCTACATTAAACATATTACAGAAATTATAATTATTAACATAGTAAATTGTAGTCTAAAAGTATTAATACATTAAATACTAATCTAACATTAATATATCGGATTTCATTTAATTTTAATTTTTTTTATTAATTACTTTGAAATTAAATTTAATTTAATATATTAATATTGGACTTATTTAATTATTTCCAATGAGTCAGCACACTCTGCGTTAGATTGTACTGCAGTGAAACACATTAGTAAAATAAAAAAGAAAATACATTTCATACTGTTCAGAGGGAAAAATCCTTTTCAATGGCAGAAGTCGATGCGGTACTTAAAAAAAGAGGGGGAAAATTTCAATAAGAACAGGAGAGGCACGAATAAAAAGAAACATTCCTCTATTTGCACCGAGAAAAAAGAAAACTATTCTTCCGAATAACTTTTTCTCGAGCAACGATTTGGTGATCGTGACATTTCTCGAATTCTCAATCTCGCTCTGAATATTTGACTCGTATTTTCAATATCTTCGACATTTTTTATTTTCTCTTCTCCTTCGTCACTTTTCAATACATTTATTTCTTCCACACTGGAAACTAAATTTTCCCCAATAATTTTATCATCAGTCTTGAAATTTTCATTTTTATTTTCTAAATTGTTTCCAACATTATTATCATTAATTTTCTCCTTGTCGGTGAATTTTTCATTTTCAAATTCCGTCGACGGTGTCAGGGTATCGTCGTCAGTTGGCGTGTTTTGTGATCCAATACTCGACGATCTTGATGGTGAATCACTGCAATCTGAATTTATCGAACTTGTATCGTCATATTTGCCTCTATCTTTATTCTCCTTGTGAAATGCATTATGAAAAAAATTCTTTGGAACGGTAAGAAGTTTTGAGAATCCTTCTCGTGATCTAGATTTAACTTTCTTTCTCTTCAACTGTTGCAAATCGGTAAAACTTTTAATGGTGCCTGTTTTAATAACTAAAGTCGCTTTTACAGCCTTCTGTGAATCCGTATCGTTGTCGATAGTTTTATTATCAATCGTGGGAATTTTTGGTGCTGGTTTCTTATGATATTTTCCTGCTCTCATTGTTTTATTACATTCGCTGTCCGAATTACTTCTGGATATATTGGGCGTTGACCAAACTTCAAGAGAATTGACACTTCCATAAATTCCACTCAAATCACCACCAATTTTCATTTTATTAACAAAATTTTTCGACACATTTCTCGTCTCGTCATCAATTTCACCGGCTAAACTTTCCTGAGATGAGACAATATTGGAAACAGCTTTATGCGCGTTGGATAAAAGTTTCTTCAATTCGTCGAATTTCTCACGACAAATATCGTCGGTAAATTTTGTCACATCAGCATCAGAAGTTTTATTTTCGATTGGAACACTCGTCACTATTTTTGGAATTGACATAATATTTTTTTCATCTTCTTCTATTTTCTCTATTTCACAAGTTTCATTGATATTTGAGAGAGTCTGTAAATCTTTTTCGTTGAAATTTGTACAATTATTGCGTGCCAAATGATAAGAGAGGAGTGAAACAAGGTCTAGTGCTTGTTCCACACTGAGGAATGTTAAAGGATTAGGTGGAGGATTTTTTTCATCTGGAAACGGAAGATTGTTGTCAGAATCCTCTTCTTCTTCCTTCAAACGTGACAATTTGTAAATTTTCATTTTTAAAAAAGCTGCAAAAAATAATGTAATAGCTGGAAATAATTTTTCTCAAATCTTCACTTACTTCGGGCGCCTTTTTTGTGGTTGAACGTGGTTTCAATCGCGTTCGTCCTCCCACACTCGACGTCCTCACAAGAGAATCACTGTGAATTGACGGACGATGATTGTGCAAAGCTTCGCCACTGCTGTATCCACTAGATATGTCTTCAGATGACCTAATATTACTGAAAATAAATAAAAAAGAATTATTTTTAGGAAACTATTATTTATAATAAAAACTAATAAAATAAAAAATTAATAAAAAAGAGTAGAAGAAATAAAAAAATAGGATAAAAATATAAATCATTTTTATTCAGAGAAAATTAAAAATTCGTTAAGGTTATGCAAAATTAAAATTAGGCTAAGAGGAAAATTTGTTCTTACTTTAAACTAACTAAAGGCTCCTTCGACCTTGGTTGTCTCACTTCAACATCTACTTCAGAGAAGTACATTTCTACTCTATTATTAGTAGATTGAGTTCTCCTAGGACTGTATCCTCTCCTCCCTGTGTGTTCTCTTCGACGTGGTTCGACTGAAGGAACAAAATAATTATTACCTAAGATTTTCTCAAAGTTAAAAAATATTGAATCAGTCTTTAAACGAAATTTACTCTTCAAAATTAAAATTACAGGCCTCGGATCCACGTTATGGTGCAAAAAAGTCATTTTAATTGATTCAAAGTTCAAAATAAGTGTTTTTTAAACCATTTTTCTTCAAAAAACACTATTACTTTTCAAAATTGTAACACAATTTTTTTAAATTATAACATTTATTTCAATAGTAAAAATATAATTATTTCTAAAAATTACAACTGTAATTATTCTTCTAAAATTCAATTTTAAATTTAAAAAAATAATAAATTTTAATTTGAAACCTTCTGAAAAATTATTTCTAAAAATTTCTACTATAACTTCTTCAAAATTCAATTATTTTCTAGGATTTTTACCATATAATTCTTCTATAAGTCAACTATTTGTAATAATTATGAAAAAAAAATTCTTCTAGAGTTTAATTATTAGAAAAAAATAAAGTTCACTTAAAATTCGTCTAAAATTTAATTGTTTTAAAATTTTTAATTCATTATTAGGAAATTTCGATTATTCGAAAGTTTTTAATTAAATAATATGTAATTAAAATTTCACCTAAGTCAAAAAAAATTTAAACTAACATTTTAATTAGAATTAAGTTCTTTAGAATTTTTAATGAAAGTTAATTAAAATTTAAATTTGAAATCTTCTGAAATTAGTTATTTCTGAATAATTTTTCTACAACTCTTTCATAATTTAATTAATTATTTTCTAGATGTTTTACCTAACTAAAATTCTTAATTTTCCTAAATCAATTATTTTTAGTAATTTTCAGAAATTTTTTTTTTGAATTCAATTATATTTCAATACAGAAATTCAATGTTTTTACAAAAATTGCATACTGTAACTCTTAATGATTTTTAAAAAAAATTTTAAGGTGCAAAAGAAAATTCAAGGACAATTAAGGTTTTCAGTAATTTAAAGAAATTTAATATATTTTTTCACTACTTTGGATAAAATTCCCTAATTTCTATAATTTTCCTGACCTGCAGCAGAACATTGTAAACAAAAATGTAAAACAAGTCCAATTCAAAAATAAATTTTGAAAAATATTTAAAACTAAATTTCTTAATTAATAAAAATAATAATTTAACTTTTCAGTACTAAAAAACAGTTGTCAAATTAGAACAAAGAAGTTTTTAATCATAGCCGTTTTTTGCATTCAAATAAAACAGATAAATGTTCGTACCCAAAATTGGTTCTAAATTAATAAGAGTTGCAACAAAAATTTTAGTTTTTTTTTCACTTTTCCCTGATTTTCAAAGAGAATTTTGACTTTTCTCTGATCCTAAAAAATATTCTGATTTACATTAAAAATTATTATATATAGGGGAGACTGGGACGAAAAGTTAAACTGACAAAACCGTTAAAATTCATTATCTTTCGAACGAAAATAGTTAGAGCATTGCAATTTTAATTATAGAAGGGCGTTATCACCCTAAATAAATGTCCGGAGTTGTGTGCAATTCTGTTTATTTTTGTGGTGTCGATATTAAAAGTTTTTTTTCAACCTACTTTTGAAAATTTTTTCGAAAAAGAAAATATCAACTTTTAAGTATATTTTTTGAATTTATTCTGATCGCGATTTTTTTAGATCCTTATTTGGGTCCCCTGAAGAGATACCTAAATGTATTTGCTAAATATCTTTAGTCAGATTTTTTATATTTGTTGTTAAAGCCAAAAACGCACCCTGGGGCGAAAAGTTAAATGTATTTTTACATGTTGTTAAAAATTTTTTTTTATTTTTCGTTTTTTTGGGTTTATTTGTTTAAACATTATTTATTTGACATTTGGTAAGTACTCTGTCAAAAAATAAGCCGGTTCACGTGAAATAAACCAAAAAATTTTTTTTTTTTTTTGAAATTTCAATTTTTTAACTTTACAACTATTCTAAAGCTTTTGTCAAATAAACAAAGATCTTTTATTTACTAAATTACTTGTTTACGTATACTTTAACTTATCTACTATTTATCACCTATCAGAAAATAGTTTTAGTAGGCTAAAAATAGAATTTAACTTTTCGCCCCAGCCTGGGGCGAAAAGTTAAAAAAAAAAACAAAATTTTCAAAAAAGGACAAAACATGTATTTTTTGCGAAAATATCAGGAACTTGTTTATTGAAAGTTGTAGAGGACAAGTTGCCCTACAATATTGATATACAAATATTTGCATCTAAGCGGCTTATATTGCAAAAAAAATCATTTATGCAAAATTTAACTTTTCGCCCCAGTCTCCCCTACACAAAAAATGTTTCTATAACATTTATTTGTGAATATCTTTAATTATAAAAATTCGCTTTCTGAAAGCCAGTTGTTCATAATTTCAGTTCATGAAATTTCAATTATTGGAAAATTTTTCAATCAAATATATCCTATTTAAAAAGTCAACTAATTTCAAGAAAATATGAATAATACTTTTACAAAAAAATAAGTTCTTCTGAATTTTTAATTACAATTTTTTAAAATTCATATTTTATAATACTACAATTTAAAACCTTTTAAAATTCAATTATTCATAAAAAATTTAAACGCAACTCTATTAAAATTTAATTATTTTTGTAATTTTTAATTAAGATTATTCGCTAAATAATTTATAAATAATAATTTTATGATATTTCTTGAAGAATTAAATTGTTTAAAATGATTTCAATTTCATATTTTGTAAAGTTCATGATCCTCAAGTTTTGAACGTTCAAATGAACGAAATATTTTTTATTGAAGATATTTTTATGCATTACTAATCACAAAAAAATTTACAAACTGAAATTTTACGTTTAGAAACTCAGTAATTAATTTTTTGGTTAGAGACGCAAAATAATTGCAATAAAAATTTAATTTGTTGAAGAAATAAATAAATTTCGTTCATTTGAACGTTCAGAACTTTAGGCTCTTTAAAGTTCAATAATTACTGTCAAAGATAGAAAAATCTTCTAAGCGGCTTCTAAACACCAAAGTCTGTTTTATGTGATAAAAAGGAAAGACGTTTTACGGAAAAATATTTTGACTATAATTATTTTTCCCACTATGAAAGTAGAAATAAGCTGGATTTTATACAAAAAAGTGTTACTTTCTTGCAATATGTGGAAGAAAAATAAGAAAAAGTAAAAAAAAAGTTGCACTTTCATAAAATAGTCGAAAAAGTCATACTATCCGAGGCCTGAAAACAAATTCTTTAATCTGGTTGAAATTAGAATATTTAACTTATAAACATAAAAATTATTAATAGTTATTTAAAAAAATTATATAAGAATAAAGCAGAAATACAATATTTAGATAATTTTTCAAAAAAATAAATAAATAAACTCACCCTGCATGTCGGTCTCGTCATGAGAATTGGGCGTGTTCCTGTTCTCATCTTCCTTTTCTCCCGATAAATCGCTGAGACTGTAACTTTTTTTCAATTGTTGAACAAGACCGCCTCCTCCCTGCAATATAATTTTCTTTAAAACCAAACAATCAGTATCACAACAATTAAAAAAAAATAAGAAGAAACAAAATAAAAAAGCCTTACCAACGGAAAAAATGTTAATATTATATGTTATCTGCCGTCACCAGAGCGAAGTTTCTTATATAAACTCAAAAAGTGCACAAAAAAATAATTCTGGACCTTTTCTTAAAATAAGCATGTGCACTCGTGTAAGACAAATATTAATTCTCTATTTTCCTAGATTTTTCTCTTTTTAATGATGATTAAAAATTAATAAGCTGCGAATGGAAATTTAATAATTGGAAATTTACTGAATGAAATTAAAGCGTTGAACTTAATTAAATGCATTTATTCACAAAAGAAAACACTCGTATTTCTCAAGATCTTTGGGATCGGGTATAAAAAAACATTCTTAAAATCTAAATGATGCTCAATAGTAAATATTATCAAAAAAAGAAAGGCTTATACAAATATCTATATGTAAATAGCGACAAGTGACTGTTTCATCATTAAGTAAATATAGGACTCAAGTGACAATAAAAGACGTTAGTATTTGCAAAAAGGCACAAAGAATGGCACTTGATACTTTCGTCTCTAATTTGTCTTGGAATACCGAATTCATTTAGAAATAGACACGCGAAAAAAAAGGGAAAAATATATAAACCACGTGAACAATTGTCGCTAATAAAAAAAATAGTTAAATAACGCCGAAAAAAGAACATTCTTCAATTAGCGCTCGCACAAACGAGAATGTACAATGCTACGCTGATAAATTTTATTTCATCTAATTATTTTTTTAATCTAATAGAGCGCCAATTAAATAAATACGAAAAATATTTAACAAATTTTTAACTAATTCCAAATTATTCAATTAGAATCGTGAAACAATTATTACGCCAACATTAAAAATAATGATGATGAATAAAAAAGTGACCGGTAAGAGGTATGAAACGCAATAAACTAAATTTACTTGCAAATATTCTTGATCCTAATTTTCATTTTTCGTTTAGTTTCAAATGTAAAATTTTTGTCAAGTACTTTTTTGTAAAAAATTGCAAAAAGTGAATTCATTTATTTTTTATTTTCATTATTTTATATTCTTATAATTTATCTACTAAAAATTTATCTACAATTATGTAATTTAATTTATAGTTATATCCTGACTTATATATTAACTACTATTTAATTATAATTTTATTTTAAATATTGTATAATTACAAAATTAATTAATTCAGAAGATATGGATTTGTTGTTAAATAAATAAATTTAATTGAATGAAACTTTCTAGCAAAAATCCAAGTAAGTTTCTTTTCATTAAAAATATAAATTAAAAACATTCGAAAAGAATTAATTTTGAAAATTTTTACGGTATAAAAATCAAAATACGGAAAATTTGCTTTGAAAGAATAGTTTGAAATAAATTTGGTTTATCCGTTAATATCAGTCTTTCTACGCACTCTCAATAAATTCATAAAGTAAATACTTCGAATTTCCCTTTGTTTCAGTTTGAGCTTGCTTTGCAAATCTATAAATTAATGTTTCATTTGATTGCTTTTTTAAAAATATAAATATATATATATAAAAGGTATACGATAAATCAAAAAGTAATCTTTTAACGTAGACTCCAATAAAGACATTTTTCTCAAAATAAAAAAAAAGAAAAGAAAATTGTAAATGTCAGTAAATATTTTTAAAGAACTAAAAAACGATTGTCAGCGAGTCACGAAAAATGATTACTTGATTTTCATATATCTTAATTTTTATAATTTGTTTCCCATTTTGTAACGGGAAATTATTCTAATAATAAACTTTACAATTTAATCCAACTTTTTTACTATCACAAATAATGATGTCTAAATTTTTCCTTTCGTTTTAGTCGACGATAAGAAAAAAAAGGAATCTCGAAAAGAAAATTGTTCCACTTGGTCGTTTTGATAAATACTTTAAAAAAAATTAAAGTCTCAAAATTAGGTATAATTTAAATTTACCACACAAAAAAAATGGAAATTTTGCACTAAAAATTTAAATTTGAAAAAACTTGAATTTATGGTAATTTGAATTATTTAAAAATAAAATTGTATTCAAAATTGTAAAATACTTCTTTTTTTGTGAATGTGTAAAAAATTACTCTCGACTCTAGAATCATATTTATCATGATGACCAAAGAAAGATTTCCTTTGAAAACGAAATTCAGAAAAATATTTTGCGATTTCTTTTTCTTTTCTTCTAAACTGTACGAGAAAAAAATGAATTCGCAAATTTACTTAGAATTGACATCATCATCATCAAGATCAACGTCACTTTTATCATCTTTCGTTGATCTTGTTCGCCGTTTTCTTGATGTTGAACGTCCACGTTCTTTTTTTGGTTTACGTGCTCTTTTACCGGGCACTTTAAAATCGGGATCCTGTCTTAATGCAGCAGCAGTAGCATCATCATCATCGGCATCATTATCCACGTCATCAAGTTTTATTTCAAAATCCTCGTCCGTGGAAAAATCAGTATTTGACGAAATTTCCTTGATCACTGCATCATTGTCGCTTTTAATCCGCCGTCTACGTACGCGTACACCGTCGGGGGAATCTTTCGTTGACTCCTTTAGCGGCGATGATCCCGTAGGGCTGGCTAAGCTAGAAAGCGCCGATTCTGAATGGCTTGCAGGGAGGATACTCTTAACAGCATTTGGAGACACATTCGGCAAGGTCTATTTTCATGTTAATTAATATGTCAAGGAAACATTCCACGCGACGATGATTAGATAGCGACATTGTTTTTAATTTTTTTTTAGTAACGCAATGACGGCATGTTGCAGGATCATAGAGAAAGGTGTTGTCAGTGCAAGAAAATAAAATCAAAAAAGAAACGCAAACAAATTAGTTTCAAGCAAATTTTCCTTCAAAAGCTTATATTCATAAATAATCATTTATTATTTATAAATATTTTCTTTTTCATAGAATAAAACTTTTCTCATAAAATGAAAATTAAAGAATTGAAATTATAAACTGATAAGTTTGTAAAATAAAAAATTGCAGAAATATAATGAGCTATTGAAATAAAAACGTGCTTTTTCTGAATAAAAATAAAACAAAATAGAACTGAAGTTTGAGAAAATTACCTTTATTGCGGTCTGCATAAGAACAGTTGTCGCATAGTTAACACCTTTGCTGCCTAAATGCAAAACAGCCGTGTAACCCTGTTCGGTGGCACGAGCGAGAGCCTCATCAATTTCTGCCTCGCGACGACTTAATGCTGGATGGACGAAACGACGATAGAGGATGCTTGAGCCTTTTGTCGCAGGACTCAGCAGCCACAGAACCAAAACAATCTTAATCTCATAATAAAACGGAAACCTACAAAAAATAATAGAAATATTATTAGTAGGTGTCACAAGAAAAAAGGAATTGTTACAAAAAAATTTTAATGTCACATTGAAAAAATTTGTTTAATTTATTTTTAATTTAAATTCGAAAAGAAAAAGGGAAAAAAACTCTCATATCCAGAATTCCAAAAGTCTTGGGATAAATTACACGAAGGGGTTTTTCCCTTGCGATGTAATTCGAGCAGGTGAGGAAGTTCGGAATGGAATTTTCTTGCCAAAACGAAATAGGGGAGCAAAAAAGCGAAAGGAGAAAGCAGACAGAGCATGTGAAGGAATCCCCAGAAGCGCCTGTAAGCTGACAAAATTAGAATTTTCGAATATCTACAGACAACTTGTTATTAACTGACTTTTTCTCTTTCACAAATTTCCAAACATCCCTACAATTATTATTTCATTTTATTATTATTATTATTATCATTATTGCTATTATTAATTATTCTTTACTTAATAATTTTAATTACTAATAAATAAATAATTATAATAGTGCATAATAATAAAAATAATTTATCATTCTTTCCTTAACTTCTTTCCTGTTAAAATATTTTTTTTTAAATTATTATTATTATTTAAAATTTTTAAGAAATACAAATTCAGTATTTATTTACCTCAACATTCATTTTTCGCATATGCAAAGAATTATTTTTTAACAAAATATGATATTTAAAGAAGGAATAAAAATTTCGTCGTTCGTACGTTCAAAATTTTTGAGACATGAAAATATTTCTTTTTTTTACAAATAAAAAAAATTTTTTTTTGAAAACAATTTACTGAAAATAATTTTTGGAGCTTCCTCACTTATTAAATTACAAATTTGTACATTTAAACAAATTATTGAATTATTGAAAATAATCTCACCAAAAACTAAAAAATACGTCTGTGAAAGTTTCGGCACACGTGAAAAGTGCAAACACGATCCAATACATCATCCATTTTACCTAAAAAAAATTGAAGAAGGAAATATTAAAGTAATTTCACACAATAAAATATTTTACCAACAAAAATTTAAATTATAATAAAATAAAATTTTTCAAGTAAGAAATTTAATTGAAACACGAGAAAGAGACAAATTTAAAAAAAAATAAATAAGATAAAATAAGAAAGATAAAAAAAAGATGAGATAAGATGAGATATGATTTTTGCATATAAGATAAAATTTTAAACAATGTTTTTTATCATAAAAAATTAAAACCAAAAATACAAAATTTCAAACAATTATTTATCTTACAAAAATTGCAATAAAAGATGAACACGAACATTCTTTTGGTCCTCATCATTTGAATTTAGTGATTTGAAATTTCAAAACTTAGTATCAAAAGAATTTAAATTTTGTTTTATTTTGTAAGAAAATTAGAAATATTAATTGACATTATTGTTAAAAAAAGGCTTGTATTTTAATTTATGATGATGAAGAAGGAGAAAAAAATAACTCACGTATTCCTTGACATTTTTCGTTCGGACAGCTTTATAAGACGCATATGCCGGATAGAGTGTACCAAAGACCAATCTGAAAATTGGATATACAAGCATATAAGTAAAAGCACGTGGCATCAAGATCGCCAATATCACTGACATTATTCCAATATTTTTAATGGTCAATCTGATTGGCAATTTTTCCAATGAATCGTGAACCCAGGCCATCGAATGTCGTATAAAAACACGCGAGAAACTCATCCTTTGAGCAACTGTGATCATCATCAGATCATCGTCATTAGAATCGATTTTCTGACGACAACGATTACGACGATAATTACAACATTCCATCGTGCAAACATCAATCTTCAAACAACCATCTCCGACAACATCATCGGTCAACATCATGATCAAAATCTTATTTTCCAATTCTGGATCATTTATAGTACACAGGATTGCTAATTGTATTTTTTATTTTTTTCACCTTCCACTCAAGACTTCTCTTTGACAAGTTTCTAAAGTGACATTTTATACTCCAAATGAGATTTTTCTCTTTTTGCCTCTTTTGGCTGCAAGAAAAATTTTCAATTTAAATCCTAAATCATATATAGAGTTAATTATAATTATATCGTAATGATCATTTATGAATTGAATATTATTAAACTTGTTTTACAAACTTTTTCGAAGAAAATTATTTTTCTCCTGATTGTAAATAGCAAAAAAAATTTTTTGATAAATACGGAAGTGAGAAAAATAAAGAAAGCGATAAATTCAATAAAAAAAAGTGAATCGAAAGAAAAGTATTTTGAGAAAAAATGTTTTCACATAATTTACACTCTCTTTGACAGAATTTCTTTTGTTTGGTTGGCAACTCGTGGCAAATACTTCTCCGAGTTTGTGATGATGATTCAGAGGGAAAAATAATGCATCAATATGGAAATATTATTTATAAATTTTTTTTATAAAAAGCCATGCGCGCAGATCAACTATATAAAATGTTCTATTCGCGGTTAGTTTCGGTTAAATACTAAAAGCGTTCTGAGCTAACGAAGAAACAAAACGTCTTCAAAAAGCGAGATGAGGAGAGAGAGAGAGAGCAATGGTGTGGCTCTATTTTTGCATACAGATTTTTGCCCCTCATCTGGACCTGGATCAACTATATGAAATGAGAGCACTACATAATTTATTATTGGCAGAAAGTTCAATCATGTGATAATTTTTTATTTTTAATTTATGTCACATCTCAATTAACATCTCTGAATTTTTAATCGTGTTACACATTTTCAGGAAAATTATATCTATCTTAACTTGAGCCACTGGAAATTATTTCTTATTTCAGAAAATTTTTCCAAAGAAATATAAAATATCATTTTCTTCTTCAAAGAAATTTTAAATAATTTAGAATTTAACCAATTAAGATTGAAAATTTAATTTATTACAAGTTTGCAAAAAAAATTTGATTTTAAACTTTAAATGGATGTCTATCTATGTATGTTAAAAATAAAATTTGTTGCTGTGGCGAACTTTTCTCGATTAAGGAATGAAACTTGATAAGGACATAATTATTCTGAAAATTGTAACTATTTTTAACTAAAAATACCCAAAAATTTTGTATTCCATTACCATTAACTTTTCCCTGATTTAAGGCAACCCTGTAAATTTTAAAAATAAAAACTAAAATTTTTATTTTATACTTATAATTATTTTCTTCCAAGAAATTAAAAATAAATTATAATTTTATGCTTTTCTATGTCCCCAAAGTCTTAAACGTTCAAATGAATGAAATTTCTTTCTTTCTTTTTTAAATTAAAATTTTATTATAATAATATTGAGTCACATATTAAAAAATAATTTATAAACCCGTGTGGAAAAGTGGTTTTGGCCCACGTGGGTGATCCAGACGAGGCCCCTCATGGAAACGACATGCTGATCGATGAGGGCGCCCTCGCCTCGTCGGCCCCCTGCGTGGCCCTCGACTTACCCTCACCTTTATTTTTCAAAATTAAGTTAATAAATTCATTATTTATTAATAATAAACAAGTTCAATTATTAATAAATAACATTGTTATTTAACGATTTTTATTTTTTTTTAATTAAATCGTGACCAAAAAAAAAATCTGACGCACTCGGGAATAGAACCTACGACCTACGGACTATCAGACAAACGCTTTACCACTGTGCTAAGGGACCTACTTGAAAATTATTGCTTTATTGTAGGTGACTTGCTGACTTGCTTTTGATGATTCAATAAAACATTGTTGACACTAATACATCATAACAAAAAACGTGTTTTTCATTGTTTAAAATCATTATAAACATTAATTTTTTGTTGTAAAAAAATATTTTTTGTTTGGGCTTAGAAATTTTTGCTGGTAAATGATGTGGGTGATTAATGCGGGCCCCTCGCGTGGGCCCTCAAGGATTTGCCCCCATGTGAGTTCAATATTTTCAAAAAAGTGTAAATAATTTTATGTGAACTATGTGTTTTTCATTGTTTATAATCATTCTAAACATTAATTTTGAAGTAATAAAAAATTATTTGAGGTTTGGACTTACAATTAGAAATTTTTGCAAGTCAATGATGTGGGCAATCCATGCGGGCCCTCGGCGTGGCCCTAATGGATTTGCCCACATGGATCAGCCCTCGTCGGCCCCCGCCGGGGGCCCTCACGTCGTGTGGGCTTGATGGGGGCTTTTTCCATACGGGAAGTTTTAAAATATTTAATTTACGTTTTTAATTTGTATACCACTTAGCAATTTTTAAAAATATCTATACTGGAAAAATATGTCCTTCATTTGAACGTTCAGAATTTTTGGAACTTCAAAATTTTTTTCTTCATAAAATCAATAAAATGTGAATTAAACCAGAAGAAAATTTTTTCAATATTCAACGATAAAAAATAGAGTACATGGGTGATTAAAATTAAAATGTCATTTTTGATCCTACTAACTTTGATTTTTCGATGTTGGATTTTGAACTTAACGATACTCTATTTTGGTTGACTAGAATATATGATGGACAAAAATAATAGTGGTCGAGCAGGTGGAAGCAAATTTTAATTTTCACCAGGTGAAAAGCGATAGGCAGAAATGATAAGAAATTTTCTGTTTTCGTTCATTTTTTTCTCAAATAAATTCTTACAACTTTAAAAAGTTAAAACATTTCTAATTACAACCCAGTGAGAAATTGCCAATAGACTTTAATCGGTCCAATATCGGTCCAATATTGGTTGCCGTGCTGGGCGCTGATTGACTCCCAATATTGGACCAATATGGGCTGATGCTTGGTATGTAACGGCATCGCCAATCATCGGTTGTCAATATTGGTCCAATATTGGCCGAATATTGGCAACCAAGAGAAAAAAATTTTTTTAAATAAATTTTTTTTAATTAAATAATAATAATAAAAAATTAATGTTTATAATTTTTGTTTAATATATTTATTTGTTTAATTATTTATTTTTAATAATTCATGTAAATAATAAATAATTTATTATTTATAAATTATAATTATTTAAAAATGCAGCAGCTATTAGAAAATAGCATTCTGCAAAAAAATTCTATCATTGAAAAATCAATGATAGGCGAGAGAAATCCGCGTCTTTAAATAGATTCGCAGATGATAGACAAGAGATATCCGCGTCATTAAACGGATTCGCAGATATACTCTGGTCTCGCGACGAATCTCTCGATACTTATATACACTGGAGTCGCCGTGTCAGTTGCGAGAACGGTTACAGCGTCCCTCTTGCGGCAGAGATAAGAATTGTCACGTAAACTGCTAAATCGCTTTACCGACCGCCTTATTATACCCGCAGTTTACGTGACAATTCTTATCTCTGCCGCAAGAGGGACGCTGTAACCGTTCTCGCAACTGACACGGCGACTCCAGTGTATATAAGTATCGAGAGATTCGTCGCGAGACCAGAGTATATCTGCGAATCCGTTTAATGACGCGGATATCTCTTGTCTATCATCTGCGAATCTATTTAAAGACGCGGATTTCTCTCGCCTATCATTGATTTTTCAATGATAGAATTTTTTTGCAGAATGCTATTTTCTAATAGCTGCTGCATTTTTAAATAATTATAATTTATAAATAATAAATTATTTATTATTTACATGAATTATTAAAAATAAATAATTAAACAAATAAATATATTAAACAAAAATTATAAACATTAATTTTTTATTATTATTATTTAATTAAAAAAAATTTATTTAAAAAATTTTTTTCTCTTGGTTGCCAATATTCGGCCAATATTGGACCAATATTGACAACCGATGATTGGCGATGCCGTTACATCCCAAGCATCAGCCCATATTGGTCCAATATTGGGAGCCTTTATTGGACCGATGATCGGTCTCTTGGCTCCCAATATTGGACCGATATTGGACCGGTGAGAAATTTCTCACTGGGAATAATGAATGTTTCAACATGACTTAAAAAATATTTGTAAAGAGTTCTGCCATAAATTGTATACTTTTGAAGACCAAAAAAACATATAAACATTGAGGGACACCAATGACATTTTTGAAAGATTTCACTGATAATTTTGTTTGAATAGTGAGAATAAACTCAGCTTATAAATTACAATCCAGTATCAAATCTTCATTAACTGCATATAAGGAGTAAATTTAACACTTTATTAAAAATAAAATAATAAGATGCAAGAAACAGAATTTTGAGGGGACACCACTGACATTTTGCTTCATTTCTCAATTTCGAAAAAGAAAGACTTTATTTTTAAGTTAAAGTCGTAGCGGTTTTTAAAGTACGTGTAATAACTGAAAACGAGATACAATAATATTTAAAAAATATTAATATTATATGAACAATATTTTTCAAAGGGGACACCACTGACATGGTGTGCTCGACAAACTGATACTTGCTTTCTGCCACCAACCGTACAAGTTATAAATGTGATAGAATGTTGTAATGTTTTTTCTTTAAGAAGCTATACATATCACCAATACTATTAACGCTTAATAAGGCAATTATCTGCACTAGGTTATTTAAATATCAGGCATGATATTCAAAATTTGCGATAATTACTTAAAAATATGAAACTTACGGACAGGCGATTTTGATTT